GATAGTAGATAGGGACAGTGGGAATCTCGTTAATCCATTCATGCGCGTCACTAATAAGGCTTTGTCAGAAATGTCATATTCTTATTACACTATCTTATGGAGAGGAGAGACAACTGTTTTCATGAAACCTTTGTTGAAATATGGCAGTACACAGGGAAGTATAAGCGACACTATCGTGCAACACTTTGTAGCTACACATTAGGTTGAAAACTTTATTAAGTAACACAGCGCCTAATGTCAAAAATGAAAGACGAGATTCTAACCTTAATAATTACAGTATACTCCCTACTTTCCACATTCCCACATTCTACTTTCTTTTTACTCTACATTATTCCTTCTATTCTACACTATTGTCTCCTTTATTCCTCCCCTTATCTTTTCTGTTCAAATATTTTGGCCCAAATTCTGGCCAAATTTTTTTTCTCTTGTATAAATCAAATACAAAAAACTCATTTAAGAGAATGCAAAACTCACTTTTATTGAATCCAATTTACCTCCCTCTTCTCTTGTTATAGTATTATCTCTTCCCCTATAACATCAACCACCAATAAACAAGGTTGTATTGATTTCTTAATCAAGACCCAAGGGTCCAATCAATAACATAACCTTTGAAAGTCTGTAATAGGTCTGGGTGCAAAAACACAGTTGTTTCATGAATTCATGACTCACCAAGAGATAGCCTTTCTGATGTAAGAGTACTCATGCAAAAAAAAAAGTACTGGTATAAGAGTACAACCCAATTCGATGCGGTTGATTGATCCCATCGCAAAAGGCTGCAAAAAAAAAAAAAAAAAAAAAACAATTCAATTGGTAGCATCTTTGAAAAATGTTACAAAACTTCTTTTTCAAAGCTCATCGGAACCCCCAAATAGGCCCCATCGAAATCCAAATTCATAATGAAAGTGTTAGTATCGTCAGATGATACGGGAGGCGCGAAGCTAGCGATTTTTAAAAGGGGTACAGATACTTCCAAACAGGATGCTATACAACCCGAAGCAATTACGAATTGTTTGATACAACCATATTCTAATTATGGGTCAAGGATAATACATTTGTTGAACTACAATTATCAGTATCTCATTGCCTCAAGGTATGGTGGGATCTTGTCCATATTTGATTTTGAGGAAAAAGAAGAGAAAGAAAACGATAAAGCAAATAAGGACGATGCAAACGAAGAGACACTATTTGAGCATTTGCATGATTATAGAATACCTGTCGAAAAGGACGACAAACCCGTGGCATTGGTAAAAGCAGAGAAATTGGACAGTGTATTTGTAGCTTATGAATCGGGAAAAGTGTTTGTCATATACATTGGGGATTTCAAATTTGAGCCATTATTAATTAATTTATCAAACTCAGGCCCAATTAGTGCCTTTACTAATAATCCACGTCGAGAAAATGTATTCGCTTATGGAGGAAAGGAGAATGATCTCCAAATAGTTGAGCTTTACGATGCTAAAGTGAATAGTACAATTTTCAAAAAGGAGGATTATAGGTTGGTTTTCAGTCCAAAGACAATCTTTAAAGCAAAAAATGTCAAAAATGATCACTTGAATCTAAGAGTTCCGATTTGGATTACGAATGTCTTGTTTTTTAGTGATAAGAAAGAGGGTAGTTGCAAACACTACAATCTCATAACCTCAACACGATATGGACAATTGAGGATTTACGATACAGCTCATGGTAGAAGACCTATTAAGGATTTTCAAGTTGCAGAAAAACCTATTGTAACATTAACATTTGCAAGTGAGGAGGAGAACGAGGTCATTGTAACCGATACGCATAATATGATTGCCAAGTATTCCTTGACACAAATCGATGATAAAGCTTTCAAAACAAACTCTGCTTCTGCGGGCAATATTATCAAGCCTGTTCCAAAACTTTTAGGAAAATTTACAGGAGGAAATACAGGTGCAACTTTTGGTGTTCAAATTCATGAAGAATTAGCTACCTTTGCTGGTCTTGATAGATATCTTCGAGTTTTCGATCTAGATACTCGCCAGGTATTGGCAAAAGTTTACTTGGGGGTTGAAGCTAGTTCTTTACTTATTATAGACGATGAGGATGAAGAAGATGAGGATCAAAAGCGAAAAAGAGAAGAGGAAGAAGCAGAAGACGAGCAAATGTGGGATCAACTAAACAAGAAACAAAAACAAAAATAACAACAACTTTCATTTAAGCTTGTTAGCTTCGTTTTCTATACTGCGATTGTCAGATCTGTTACTGGTATTGATCACACTCATGCACTTCCATTCACTCAAATAATTACATTTCCATAGCCTCAATTTCCCATCATCACCAGCGGAAGATAGAATAGTTCCAGTCGTGTTCCAGTTTACTCTCCACACTTCTGATTTATGATCGTTCAATTTCGCAAGGAGCTCGACTTTAAAGCTACCTGAAGAATTTTCACTAGCCTTAAAGATTCGCACGTAACCATCTTTACAACCTGTTGCAATGAGATGGTAACTGCGTCCCATTGAAGGGGCCCAGCTAACAGACCGAATCAATCCATTATGTTCTGGTAAATTGCATATCTTTACGTATTTTTCACCACTGTCTTCTCTACTATCAGTCCGTTTCGGTACATTTTGGTAAACAAAACCTTGATCCAAAGCTACCACTATAAACTTTTCGGTTGAGGTAAATTTGGAATGGCACCACTCAATTCTAAAACTACTCTGTAAATTTTTAGCAGGTAGCAGATGATTCAAGATAGGCAACTCTGTCGTTAGACCCCAGCTAGTCAAGTCATTGGGCTCTAAAGATTCGTAAATTCTAAATACACCGTCACTTCCAACACATCCCAATTTCAACCCCAAGTGACTCGGTGCAAACGCCACATCATATATCGGCGCATGCGATTCATTCAACGTCGCTAACCGCATCCACCTTCGGCCCGATCCATGCATTTCATCTGGCTGCTCCTGCCAAATTTTTACTGTCCTGTCAAACGAGCATGACGCTAATATTTTCGAAGTCGAGAACCCCGGATGTGCCCAAGAAACCTTGACTACCAGCGAATCATGAGCTTTCCACAGATCGTTAAGTATCCACGATCCTGTCGACGCTTCAAAGTCAAATACTTTTATATGCTGGTCTGATGAACAAGTGGCAATGGTTTTGCCATAAAAGTCGTATCTAATATCATGTATCAATTCCTCATGACCTGTAATAAATGGTTTCATCTTTTACCAACAAAACTAACAAACCATCTCTCTTTCTCCTCTCTCTTTCTTTCTCTTTCTCTCTTTCTCTCTTTCTCTCTTTCTCTCTCTCTCTTAACTTTTTTAGTGAGCACGTTTGTTATTTGATTAGTTTTTTTTTTTTACTATTGACATTTATTTTTCTTTTATTTCTCCATCTTTTCTTATAAGCTTGAAGTTTCTTGATCAGGTTTAGTAAAGTAATAAGTGAGAGAAAAAAAATGTATAGTAGAGGGGTGTTTAGCAAGGCTATCCGTACGTCTTTGTTTATAGGTGCAATTGTGGCGATTGCTCCGAACAATCCGCTTCGTACTCTGGTGGCATTTGCTGTTATTGGGTATGTAATTACTATACTGGTAATACCCAAGGTTGGCGCGAGTTTTATTAAAATCGGCCTCAAGGGAAAAGATATGTCAAAACGAGCTCCGGTTAAGGAAATACCCGAGACCATGGGTTTAGTAGCAGCAGCTACATATTTGCTCTTGATGTTTGGATTGATACCTTTTGTCTTTTTCAAGTATTTGGTTTCGTTTGGTTCGTTAGCTAATGATAAAATTATCTCGGAAAACTACACGAGTCAATACCAAGCATTGAAACAAAACAACTTATTTCCACACAATAAGCTCGCAGAGTACTTGAGTGCCGTTTTATGCTTACAAGGTACCACGGTGATTGGTTTGTTAGACGATTTATTTGATATACGCTGGAGAGACAAGTTTTTCTTGCCGGCAATAGCCTCATTACCGTTGCTCATTGTTTACTATGTTGACTTTAGTGTTACTTCAATTGTTGTTCCAAAATTTTTCACTGATTTGCCGGGCGGTGTTTACCTTTTAGATACCATCAATTTCTTTGTCAAAAATGGCAATCATTTGGTAACTTCGATCTCAGGATTATCGTTTAGAACTCTACAATCAGATTATGTCATTCCCAACGATGCTCCAAAATTAATTGATTTGGGTGTTTTCTACTACGTGTACATGTCGGCTATTTCCATTTTTGCGCCAAATTCAATCAATATCCTTGCAGGTATAAATGGATTGGAAGTTGGCCAGTCTATCATATTAGCAGCTATATTTTTGATCAATGATTTTTGCTATTTGGTCTCCCCAAATATTTCTCAAGCGGCACACGATTCCCACTTGTTTTCAGTTATTTTCATCCTTCCATTCTTGGGGGTTTCCTTGGCCTTGTTGCAGTACAACTGGTTTCCTGCAAAAGTGTTTGTAGGCGATACTTATTGTTACTTTAGCGGAATGGTGTTTGCCATTGTGGGGATTTTGGGTCATTTTTCAAAGACATTATTGTTATTCTTGATACCACAAACATTGAACTTTGTATACTCGGTGCCTCAACTATTTCATATCGTGCCATGTCCGAGACATAGATTACCTAGATTTAATCCTGAGGATGGTCTCATGTACCCTAGTTTTGGCGAAATAAAAAAGGAGTCCTCGACATTAAACACATGGATGCTAACCTCACTAGAGTTTTTTGGCTTGATAAAGTTGGAGAGAGACGTGTCCCTGAAAAAGATTGTAAAGTTTAGCAATATGACAATTATTAACCTCACTTTGGTTTGGTTCGGACCATTGCGTGAGGATAGACTCTGCTTACTAATATTGGCAATTCAGTTTGTAATTGGCATCTCAATGATAGTTGCAAGACACACTGTTGGCCCATGGCTCTTTGGCTACGATAACTTATCCTGGGGGGTCAAATAATATAATATAAAATTACATTACATTGTATATAGAGTTATAGATTTTTTTTAATAATAGCTGCAAAAAAAAAAAAAAAAAAAAAAAAAATTTTCCAGCCCAGTCGTGGCCATTTCGTCAATTTTTTTTNACTAGATCATTTAATCAGTGAAAAAGAAATTTTGTAAAAAAAAAAAAAAAAAAAAAAAAAAGATGTTCCAGCCCAGTCGTGGCCATTTCGTCAATTTTTTGTCAATGACACAAAAGCTCTACTTTTTCCATCTACTTGATATTCCCAATTAAATAGTTAATATGTCTGTCTATTAGACAGCTAACTTTATTTTTGAGATAAGACGTGAGTCAGAAAGATGGCTGCACCGCCGCCTCCACCGCCGCCACCGCCGCCTCCAGGGCCTCCACCACTGTTGGGACTGCCATCTGGGCTGGGCGATTTGCCAGCAAGACCACCGCCTGCAGTTGCTCAAGGAAGAAATGCTTTACTTGGCGATATTAGAAAAGGAGCAAAGTTGAAAAAGGCAGTAACTGTGGACAAATCCAAGCCCATGATTGATACTAAACAGCTGTCATCTATATCTACATCAACCCCTAGCAATAATTCGACGAAAACTGCGCCTCAGGTCCCAGCTGGGGTACCTCAATTGGGTGATATTTTTGCTGGAGGCATGCCAAAATTGAAGCGAGTAGATAATCGTGCAGGAGTTGTGCCACCATCGGCGCCTAAAATACCCAACTTAAACTCACACAATAATAAAGCTACAGTACCACCAGCACCACCCCCTCCAGTTGGTCTTCCACCAAGTATGCCGCCAAAACTACCACCAACGAGACCAAAAAAGTCAAATCACCTTCAAAGTAGTTCGATATCTTCAATTGAAGAGGTCAGCAAACCTCCGCCTCTACCATCGGGCCCACCTCCAATCCCGACTTCTGCACCTCCACCCCCTGCAGTGCCAATAGCAAATAGACCGAATATGAAAACACCTTCAGCTGCACCGCCGCCGCCGCCACCAGCACCACCAGCACCACCACCAGCACCACCAGCACCTTCACATACAATGCAACCAGCAAACAAATCAAACCTGGCAATACCTTCGGCTCCTCTGATACGTCCCAGTGGACTACCTTTCCTTGCGGAAATAAACGCGAAAAGAGATGATAAAAATGTCATTGAAAATGTTGATACTGGTTCCAAATCTCATCAAAAGAAACCATCAATACTGTCGTTAACTGCATCGCGTCTCCCATCATCCAATGCTTCCAAACCTCTGCAAGTTCCTTCAATACCTGTCACAAGACCACCACCACCTCCTGCACTGCCTGCACCTCCTGCACCATCTATGCCACCAGCACCACCTGCACCATCTATGCCACCAGCACCTCCTGCACCACCAGCACCTCCTGCACCACCTGCACCTCCTGCACCACCAGCACCTCCTGCACCACCAGCACCTCCTGCACCACCAGCACCTCCTGCACCACCAGCACCTCCTGCACCACCAGCACCTCCTGCACCACCAGCACCTCCTGCACCACCAGCACCTCCACCTCCTCTGACGTTACCTCCGGCTAACTCAAGTGCAAAAGCTTCAAGTTCCAAACCTATTCCAGCACCTAGTGGCTCTCTCCCATTTTTGGCCCAAATCAACGCAAAAAGAAATGATGATTTCGTGATTGACGGTAGTCGCAACTCTTACTCGACTGCTGCAAATGATAAAACCCCTACTCCTTCGCTGCAAAAGCCCAAGTCGGCTAAACTCGCAATGTTCAAAGAAAACATCACGAAGAGCCCGATTCCTCCAGTTCCGTTTACATTACCACAACCTCAAAAGACTAAACCACCAGCTCCGCCAGTGACTGCTCCCACTCCGGCGCCACCACCACCACCACCACCATCATCACTACCATCCATGAGAGATGCTGAGCCTACTTCTCCAGCCATTCCATTGTCTATCCCAATGCCTATTGCAACACCACAAGCTCCCAAATTTCATCCTCATAAAGAACCAGTCAAAGCACCAAACCTAGATCCACCCGCACCACCAACAGAACCGGCTCCTTCAGCTCCTAAATTCAAAAAATCCCCACCCCCTTTACCTCCACAAGGACTGACACCTATGAGGTCTACCAGCGTACCAAAAAATAACGGCTTGGACTCTAAACAAGATGCTGGTTTATCATTAAGAAAAGTCTCGGCTCTGACATTCACCATTAATGGCTCAGCAACAGGCAAAAGCAATGGTCAAAAAGTTGTTATTGATGATAAACGATTCAAATTTGTAAACGCTAATTCATTGCCAAATCCGAGAAGATTTGAAAAAGTTCAAAAGCTATATCCAAGCGGAAGAGGTTCATCTATTCCATTGGACTTGAGTCTTTACTCTTAGAAGAGTAAGCTGTACATTGTATGTACATGTATATATACATGTATATATACATGTATGCATGTATGTAATGTATGTATGTATGTAATGTATGTATCATAGCGGTCAATACCTTAATGCACATTTACTCAAGTTTCATTTGGAGACCAGATTTGTACCACGTTGTCATAAAAAGAGCACGTTGCCACAACCTTTCCATCGCTTGACCAATCACCACCATAGCACATACTCTCATGATCGCCTTTGAAGTATCTTTGTACTTGAAAGTTGACATCCAGGGCGTCAATGATTCGAGCACCATCGTACATGCAACAACTCAATATTCGGCTATCATTAGGGCTGGGGATAAGTCTCCAAACACCACCGTTTAAATTTTCTTTATATAGATTTATTGGCATTCTATTCGGAAGAAGATTAGGATTTGAGCTGCTGATACACCGTAGATCCCAAACTCGTAGATGATCATCGTACGAACCGGTCCACAACAAATTCGACTTGCTGCTATTCCATCTTGTAGTAGGAGATAGTATGCTGACAACGCCTGCATCATGACCTTTCTTCAATGTCCATATCGCAGTTGCCATTCTGAGATCATGAGCAATCAATTGGGAGTCATCACCACCTGTATACACAACATCTTGTAAATGACCCAATCCGCCAAATGACCCTGTCCAACATTCCAAAGAATGTTGAGTCTCTAGCAAAGTAGGCGTGCAGTTTTCAAGATCAAAAACAGCCAGACTACCATTAGTAAGCGTCAAGAGCATCAAGTTTTGATGGACAGGGCTAAAAAATATAGATGTGATTAAAGTATCTTCATCTACTGCGATATCCTTAATCAAAATTGGTCCTTCACCACTAGATACAGTCCATAGCATTATGTGCCCATTTGAATGAGCCGAAACTAAAATAGAGGTGTCATTAGGGTTGAATTTCATGTCCAATATTGCAGCTTCGGTCATTATAGCTTGAACAAGAACTAGTCTTTGCTCTGATGGATCATAATGGTAATAATCAAGAGATCCATGTTTCCGCCCATTGTCTTCTAACTTATAAGTTCCAATATAAATCTTACTTGAGTCCTCAGGGTGAAATCTCAAACAACAAGGTGGAAGCTTTGTTTTTGAACCTGAAAGTCTTTTGCTAATCGTAACCATTCCATCTCATCTTGTACAATTGAAAAGAATAAAGATCAAAAAAAAAAAAAAAAAAAAAAACCCCAAAAGAGAAACTAGGGCATAAAACATCAGCAACAAAGTAGCCAAGGACAAGACATTGCCGTTTGACCAATGGGACTATATCAAAAATGGATGTCATTGCCCTTGAAAGTGAGATACTACATTGGGTTTTCCACGATGTTAGTTGCGGTAATTGGGGACTATGTTTCTACAAAGATTAATGAAGAAGTTCAAGCTCGTAGTAAAATTGTTGCCGAAGTAGATTATGAGGCTAAAGAACAAGGGGAGAAGAAGAACCAGGTGTAGGATGTTAATGCTGGAAATATTCTAAAGTACGAGTACTCTAGATTTAAAGTTTGAAAAATTCGACTTGGTTTATAATTGAGATAAGAATAGAGGTGCGAACACTGTGAAGATTGTACCCTATCCCTTTCATACATTAGTTTACTACTAGAGAAGAACTGATGTATAGGTTGTATGTGATTGTAGAATTACTCAAGGTTTAGCAACACAGTAATTGCGTTTTTTTGTATAAACTTGGAGTCACAGTTTCTGCATTAAAGCCTTTGTTTGACCAAGTTCATGCACAAAGATGATAAACAAATTATATATGGATTATCACTAGTCGTCTATATCTTGATAAATAGTTAAAGTTACTTCTTATACATCATACACAGACACATACCCCCTTTTTCTCTCGCTCCTTCACATCTTGCCCCCACACTTAATACTTCAACAAGCCCCTTTTAATAAATTGTTTTCGAAGGTTACTTATGAATTCCAAAAATTTAGCAGGATTTGAATCGATACCTCTTGAGTATACAAAGCTAGAAGCCAAATGTGTAGCAAATATTGCTTTCAAATACGCCTTTGGAACACGGGCAAGTACATTTTCGATACCAATTTTTTCCAACAACAAAGGTGGCAAGGAGTCCAATAATACGGCATTTCTAAAATCAACATCATCTTCCCATAACTCCTTTGAGTTTGCTAATTCATCGCCCAACTTATTAATAGCGAGCGATAATTTGTCCGATAATATGGTAAATGGAATACCAGTGTCCTGATGCAATCTCCAAAGAGCTTCAAATTCAGCATTGGCATTCAATACAATCTTGTTTTGAACATCTTTAACAAATTTCTCATAAAATTCAGGTTTAGTGCCAGTTTCAGAATTAACACACATATTTTCCAAAAATCCCTTGTCATCAAAGGCAAGAGCAGCAAGAACTTCAAGGGAAGACGAAGTCACACCACCTTTATTTGTTGATGCGTCTTTGAAAATAATAATCCCTGCTTTCTCCAAAATCAATTTAGCAGATTGTGTAATGAACAAATTGGCACCTTCAACAAAGTAGGGAACAACAGACTTGCCGGTTTTATCGTCAATTAATTCATGCACATTGTTTGTGTCAATGGCTGCTGGTCTACCACCACATGGAACGAAAAGGTCTACTCCATTTACACCATACTGCTTCTTCAATTTCAAATGGAAAGTGTTTCTAAATGCAACCCCACTCGTGACCACTTGACCGTTTGGTAAGGTAACATCCATATCATCAACCAAAACAATATATCCATTTGGGGATAGTTTTGATCTGTCATAATGTTCAATCATTTTCCTCTCCTTGGCTAATCTGATCAACTCTCCCTTATCCAATCCAGTTGGATCACAAATGACACCCGATCCATCAACAATACCAACATAATTCTCATTTCTGGATAATAAAATCTCATTGGATCCCAAATCACCATCAGGTCCACCAGTTTGAAACTTGCGAATCGTGGAATCATCAATGTTTAATTTTTCGTAAATCTTATTAACATAGGCACGAACCGATAAGGTGGTCATGGAATACTTATCATGTGGTATACCACCAAGTTGTGGCGATTTACCAGTCAAGAACGACTTCCACCAAGGAGCTCCTCTTGCTCTTGCATGTAAAGTGGCCCAATTGACATAGCCAGCAGTACCTTCATCAGGACCCAAGAACAAAATTTCCGGCTTATTGTACAAGTCAACATAATTATCCTTAACACCAGGAATATGTTGCTTCAAAAGTAAATCAATCAATGCATCTATATATTTTTCAAAACTTGCTTGTGAACGATCTTGAGCAGATCCGGCATCTAACAAAATCACACCTTTGGATCCTCCTTCTGGAATATCCTTGTTCTTACGTTGTTGTGTGTTTGCCAAGTTATAATTTTCATCAAAGAGATTACGAGCATTGACATTGTAGGCGTCTAATGATCTCAGTCTCACGATTCTGATACCACCTCGAGCAATGTCTCTGAATCTAATGTGAAAGCCTCTAAACTCTGAGCCAACAACAAAAAACATACCATAAGGACGCTCTGGATATTCCGCTTCTGGTAAAAACGATGGGTCCAATCTGAATGACAAGGCGACTTTTGTGGGTGTGTAGAAATTGGTTTTCAATATCGCCTTGTTGAATGTGTACAAAGCCCTCAACACAATTGCATGATGCTCATTTTGTGAGCATTCTCTACTCAACAAGTTTTCAAACTCTTCTTCTGATCCAACGGGAGATATTTGCGATAATCTTTGATACGATAAAGTTTTTTCCATTGAAGATCTGATATAGTGAACATCAGCAAATTGACGATACAATTTGCGAACAATTTCACTTCTCACATTGAACACCTCCTTGATATATTCCTGAGTGTACGTTTCAGCTCTTAACCTTTTCTTCAAACTATTCAAAACTTCAGCATGTTCAGTAGATTTTGAAGGGTCCAATAATGATGATAGTTTAGTATATTCTGGTCCTAACCGATTCAAGAAATGCGTAACAAATATTACACCTGATTGTGCATAAATGGATTCTTGTAGGGATAAATCTCCTTGAATAAGTCTATCGTGGAAGAAGTTGTGAGGAATACAGTATAACAAAGAAGCCTCCTTGATCACTTGATAAATTGACAAGTCCACTGATGACTTTCTCAGTTTCGAGGTTACATACATTGAGATGATAGTAACACCATTTGCAAACTGCTCAATGTATTTTCTAGTGGTTTGCAATTTATAGTAATTGGCCAAATCGCTCAAACCTGAATTATACCTGGGGGCAGAATGTTGTCGATATCCAATAATGACTCTATACTCCTCACTTTGGTCAATTGGAAAATGCTTAATAATGGGCCCAGCAGAGGTGATGACTTCTTTGTTTATACTTTCGTAGAGAGACTTTGTATGTGGAGAAGCAATTTTCAAAAAAGTTGTATCACCAATCTTGTTGATATCAGTTTCTTCCTTGGAAACTTTACCATTTAAAGGATTAAAGTGGTTTTTGTAGACGAAAAACAATCGAACGTATTGCTCTCCCAAGTTCTTATTCTGTGAGTAAACACCATTGAGAATAGGGTCAGTTTCGTATTTCAATGGTGAGCAGAAATACTCTAAACGGTAACTCTTTGCTGAACCATCAAACGGATCAATGTACTTATCGTCGATTCTTTCTTCAAATACGTTTCTTTGGTAAACGTGTGCGTCGATTGTATCGAAAAACACAGCATGATCCTCAGCTTCTCTCTTGTATGAGATCAATGGCTGTTCTCCTGAATTTGCAAACGCTTGTACTTTACAGGCATATAAAGCATGTATATGTCCCGCGATTTCCTCTGGCGACAGTCTAGCAAAAAAGACATCATCAATACCCAAAGATTCATAAAACCATTTTGCTTCCGATTCTAATAGCGGCTCGGGGATAAAACCTGTGGAGTCAAGCACATCAAGCACTTGGTCAAACTGATCCTTCTTACCGCTAAAAGGATTATCTATATAATCCTGATTTAGACTAAACGGTAAAGATTGACCTGTCTCGTTTGAGTCTCTATCTTGATTAATAGCGAGTTTTGAAACTCCATTCTCAAGTCCAACTGCGCTCATCCTTGTATTTCTACTAGCGATAAACTGGCTCTATCAAATACTTGCAATAATAAAAAGAATTGCAAAAGAAACTTGTATTACAATAGAAACTTGTATTGCAAAAGAAACTTGTATTGCAAAAGAAACACTTGTATTGCCTTATTTTTTTATTGTTGTTATTGAAATCAATCTAGTTGACTTTTGAGAGGCTTATATACTTGACGCTGCTCAGACTCGGACTATGTAGCAAATGCTGCATATTAGAACCGTAATACATTTTATGTAACAAGTGTTTGGGGTTGATTGGCGGTAGCAGCCGAAGACGGTAGCATCTAAAGGCGGGGAGAGAGAAAGAGAGAGAGAGAGAGAGAGAGAGAGACTAATGACGTATAATAGATCTATAGAGTTTCATGGTGTAGTAGGTTATTATAGACTAATTGCGTAGAAATTTCCCTATATAGCAAGTCGCTAGCGATTGCTTCGCAATTAGTCTCTAATAACCTACTAATGCTATTGGGGGGGGGGCCTCTAGAGATCTAAACTATATATGTTTCATAGTGAGCAGGAAAAAAAAAAGAAAAACCTAACCTAATCCTCCAGTTTCGCTTTCAATACCGAGCTGTTTCTACTTGTAGTTACTAGAACTTATCTAGGGCAATAGACTATTCTGATGCCAATTGGCTGTATGTTGTGGAGTAACTGAAAACTAAAACTGGGGCAAGTTGTGACCAACTTGTAACTGGGGTGCAAATTATGAGCAATATGCATTTTTGCCGGAATATACTTTCCTTCGGCGTTTCTAACGGGTAAAGCACAGCGAGGGAAAAAAAAAAAAGAAAAGAAAAGAAAACAAAATGCATTACCGAGAATTTTACCGTTGAAGACACAACCAACTGGGGAATAAAAAAATGACACTATCGAGCAGAGCGAGATAGTGGAGCACACTAGCTCCAACTGATATGACACTAGCCCCCCACTAACATGACACTTGCTCCCACTGACATGACACTTACTCCTACTGATATGGCACTAGCCCCCCACTGACATGACACTTGCTCCCACTGACACTCTTGACTTATATGTGTCTTGTTGTTTTGACAAGTCTTATTTTGATAGGTCTTGCTTTTATATCTTGTTATAGAGAAACTTTTTGTGTTACTCAAGCTACGAATAAATGGAATCTGCGTGATTTCAGAAAGTTTCGAAAATTAATGCAACCACTTGTAGACTCTTGTCTGCCACCTCAATAAACTAAAAGTGAAAAAAAAAAAAATAATCCATTGCCATAGACAGCTTGGCTTAGAACTTCGAGTCCTGCACCGTTTACGGCAATTGGACGAATATATTTAAACATAGTTTTCACTCCACATAGATGATGTCGCGCTAACTGTGGGTAAAAAAAAATGTGGGGTCGTAATTGAATGCCACACACAACAGGATGGAGGTAAATTTCAACGTCATTAATGAAAGCGGAGTTGGAACGAAAGGGCTTAGACATAAATTAATTTCAAAGGAAACCAAAAAAAAAAATAAATAAAAATAAACAAATAAACGAATGAATGAATGAAAGGAGTCGTGGCCTAGGTTGTTGTTGAGAGAGTCTACTTTTAAAAATTCTAGAAATTCGCAAAAGCGTTATTTATTGGGTCACGTGATTATATTTGTTATTCTATTTTTGAAGCAGAGCTTTCTTTTTTTTTTTCTTTTTTTCTTTTTTTCAAAGAAAATCATTAACGCTTAGTGAGAAATAGAATCATCCATTAGGGTGAGCATTTACTCGTTTGGATCCACTATGCATTTCTCACTCAACCGAACCGATAGTGGTGGTGGTAGTGGGATCGGTTGCTAGTATCTCATGTGTAGTGCCGCCGCTTGATGTAGTCTCTTAAAACTGGATTTAGACTCAATATAACGATGGTGTTGTATATCTCAACTTTCTTTTTCGGGTAGTGCTCAAAAATTTAATTGAAAAATTTCCAAACTAAAGGGTAATTAACTATAGTTTCATTAATGATCAGTTTCTAGTCTTGTATGTCTTTCCTTCCAGTTATTGAAAAAGTAAACTCTTTCAAGAGCCCGGAATTATTCTACACATTCCTAGATCATGAAGGTGTTACGGAATTGGGCTATATATCACCTCGTATAGCGCAATTCTTCCAACTAGAGGTTGCATCGTTTGAAATAGATGTTGAGAAGAAAACTATTAGAATTAGAAACCATTTCGATACCCTCGAAAAACGTAATAAACTCTTTGAAGAAGTCTCCTCCAGGTGGCGAACCATTGCCGAACTTGACGAATTGTTGAACAAAGGGTGGAGAAATGAAGCATACACTATATACAATCCAACGTCGGTGCCTTATTTTTACGTTGAAAGAGCATTTTCCGTGTTGATAGGCGTGGTCACCTACGGTGTCCACATAAATGGGTATATACCGCTAGAACAATCATCAAACGGCGAGTTGAAGCTTTGGATACCAAGAAGATCCTTATCAAAACCGACATATCCCGGTATGTTGGATAACACGGTTGCAGGAGGACTAGAAACTGGTCGCACATTGATGGAAACTGCAGTGAAGGAGTGTTTTGAGGAAGCCGGGTTAAGTGAAGCTTTTGTGAAACAAAACTTGCGAAACGCTGGCGTCGTATCATATATCTACCTTACAGAAGACGGAAGAGTTCAACCAGAAGTAGAATTTATTTACGACTTGAAATTCAAAGAAGAAGATGCAAGTATTATCCAACCTCAAGATGGCGAAGCAGAGGATTTTCAATTGATGTCATATAAGGAAGTCATAACTGCTGTAAAAGGTCAGAGATTCAAGCCTAATTGTGCTCTAGTGATTGTTGATTTTCTAATAAGGCATGGTTTTGTTAGCCCTGATAACGAACCGCACTTTCTTCAAATTGTATCCCAATGCCACGAAAAGATGCCTTTTCCAACAATCAACTAAAAGAGAAAAACATTATTTTTTTTTGTTTTTTTTTGATAGATTGGCAATATTGCACCACAAGAACTTTGTATCTGTAGAAGAGAGGTGCCTTTCTACTGACAGACGCTTGACGCTTCAAGTGGAGGAAGTGATGTTTTTCTTTGCAAAAGCAAAGGGGGGTTTAGAGATTTCTAGTTAGAGCTACCATGTGTTATTTCTTTTTGATAAATTTTATTAAATTCTTCTTGATATAGTTATAAATTAATACTTGTATTACGGTTGCGTTTCACATTGCCCTTATTCATGTCGAAGGAAATCTCTTCTTCACGAACAGAAGCAAATTTATTTGGTGTAAGGGAAATTATCGAGGAGAAAATCCCAGAGCAGCTAACGGATGGAGGATGGACAGGTACTGTTGATGCAGTTATACGTAAAGTTAATGCATACGAGGTGTTTTTAAAAAGAATAACAGACTTGCTCTCAACATCACCCATTGAAAACCACCAAATACTCTGGATCGAATGCATTTACGAGCTCAGCAGCAACCTCCTTACACTCAAAACGGCGGCGTTTGAGCAAATTTGTAGTACCAATCGCGAATCAAATATTGATCAGGTTTCAGCAATTCAAACCGAATATGTAAAGTTTATCGGCAAAATAATGGACCTATTTAAAGTTTGTTTGTCATCCAATTGCATCGACAAATTCACAACTAGAATTCAAGATCTTGTAATTGTTCTTTGTATGATTATTTCAGCCAATGACTTTGAATTGCAAAATAGTCGTGTTGACAAAGTGGATGACAATAAGGAGAAAGAGAAAGAAGAAGGAGGAGGAGGAGAAGAAGAAGGAGAAGAAGGGCTTCTCCTGTTGATTTTGGAAAATGTGCAAACCTTGGTGGAAAGGACTGGAGGAGAAAATTTAGAGCTTTTGACAGAAATCAGCAAAACATTGTACTTGCGAGATAAGTCCATTTTGATAATTCCCATACTTCATTTGTACAATCCCGAGCTTCCAATTGATTTGTTAAATAAAGGAATTAGTATGAATTTTGCTGATTTGATAAATTTCTACAAGTTTACCGCTTTCAATTGTGTTTCAGTTTCATTAAATAGTGAGCCTTTAGACGATTCGTATTCCAAAAGGGCCGATATCTACTTTAAGATCCTTTTAAGTTTCCCCAATTTGATCATTAACACCTCGGAAGAAATCGCTGACTTTTCCAGTGATGCTATTATCAACTTGCAACTACGACAGGAGATATCATATTTATACGTGATCAATTACCTTTTAGGATTGAGGAGAATTGAAGATTTTTTTGATCAGTCACAAACCTTCAAGTCAGAGATAACTTTCTTGCTAAGGTCCATGTCTGTTTCCCTATCAAGAGACATTGAAGAGCAAGCTTCTCAGCCAGGCAGTAGGTATTCCAGTGTGGTCAACATCCCGCTGTTAAATTTTCCAGCACAATCTAGTATCTTTATGAAAAAATCAACAAATCTCGGAGCCGTGATAAATGAAGGGACCTACAAAGAAAAATTGAAGCTAGTTGTGAATTTTTGCGAAACATTGTCCCATTCTAATCTCAATTCCGTCCCCACCATGTGCGAAAAATTGAACGAGCTCAGTTTCGAACCTTTTGGAAATTGGAATGCCTCAGTAACTGCAATTGACAAAATAAGGCGTCTTTTGATCTTGATTTCCATTAAACAAGTATATGTAACAGGAGGAGTCAACAATTTTTCTATTGCAAATTTGCATCATCTTTACCATGTTGAGGATATAGAGAACGTATTCCAAGTGAAGGATCTTTTGGATTACAAAGTACACAACGATACCTTAACTTTGATTCCCAAATCTCAAAAAATTTCTAGTGAACTGTTGATTAGGCCAGAGCTAGAAACTATTAGGCTAACTCGAAAATTGAAAGAATCGGTATAAGTTGGTGATGACACACACTTTTTCCTTATAGTAATTCTTTTCTGTTTTATAGATAAGCCCCACTACCTTAAGTCAACATTTGTTACTTCCATTTGATATTGAAGTAACAAGCAAAATGTATAACCTGGGCTCACTATAGAACTTTTGCTTTTTATTGCAAAAGCTCAATAGGTTTGATTGTCCTTTTTTTATTTTATTTTATTTTTTTTTATTTTATTTTATTTATTTTATTCGCAGCCAACTTATGACGGATTCTTGGTAAAATATTCGTTTTTGATTAGGGGATCAGTGTTATCAAGTTCAAGTACTTTTTCGGAAAACGGAGGTTCACTTTGTGGTTTTAAAAGATCTTTTTTCAATTTTTCACATCTCACTTTTTCATTCTTCCCTCCAGTACGAGTAAGTTGGTGAGTTTTAAGGTACAATAAAGTCCCCCCTAATTGTCTACTGAAAAGAAAGGTTCCTTTTTTTTTTTCTTTTTTTTCTCTATACTGTTTATGTAAAGTGAGTAACAAATGTGTTTAGCTACAAATACATAGTGGTCCTTCTCCCTCAAAAATTCTCTAAGCAGGGAACTAAAAGTAGATTTGAAAGTTACTTGAGCTACCCTTCTCTAAGCAGGGAACTAAAAGTAGATTTGAAAGTTACTTAAGCTACCCTATATTCCCATTACAAGCAAAAAACCGTGTGTTGAAAGCTTTGTACTATAAACTAGAGAATTGGTACAAATTCAATTTAAAGATGTAAACTGAAACTTGCAAACTATACTCTTTTATTGCGTACTAACTATGTTGATGTAAAAGTTCAGAGAGGAAATAAAGTGGAATATAATTATGTTTGTTTAGAGAATATACATAGTTTATATTATTAAATAATTATAAGCTGTATTCCATACCATACCATTTTTTTTTGTGTAGGAGGAGGTGGAAACTTATGTGGAAAGAGTAACCAGTATAAAATCCAAACCAACCCTTTTTTAGTCACGAGGCACCAGTATGTATATTAGTAACATCATATCAACACAAGAGCATGCAAATAGGCCTTCCTAGTTCAGTTGGTTAGAACGTTTGTCTCATAATTATCCGTAATGTGGGACATCAGGAGGTCGTGAGTTCGATCCTCACGGAGGGCATTTTTGTATTTTTTTTGCAATCAACTTGATTTCTACCGCCACCCTTTCCTCTCTACTACCATACCATTCCCATACAAACATACATGTTGGTCAAAAATGCACATATTTAACCTTTTCACTTTTCAGAATTTGATTACGAATGTCCCATACCTATTTGAGAACAAGATTGAAGAGTTGAAATTGGTTCATCCAACTCAAAACACACAATCACCACCATCATCGCCACCACCGTATAGACCTATAATTATATGGCATGGACTCGGAGACAACTACAATTCTACAGGGATTCACAAGGTACATGAACTTGTTGATCAGTTGTATCCCGGAATATTTACATACTCAATTTATATTGACAAAGACCCTTCTAGGGACCAGCAGAAATCCATGTTTGGAGATGCTAACCGTCAAGTGGAGCAAGTATGCCAGCAACTTCAACATGTTAGCAGCGGCTTGTCAAACGCCGGTTCGTTCGACGCCATTGGGTTTTCGCAAGGTGGTATCTTGCTACGCGGATTGATTGAGCGGTGTCCAAACATCAGCATTCACAACATGATCACATTTGGAAGCCCACACATGGGTGTAATGGATATGCCTTTGTGCAAAAATGATAAAGATTGGTTGTGTAAAAGAAGGAATGAGCTTTTGAAAAAACAGGTATGGCATGAAAACGTGCAGAGAAGCATACTACCGGCACAATATTATAGAGACCCATTACAATTAGACCAATATTTAGAGCATTCCCTATATTTGGCGGACATAAATAATGAGAGAAGCGTGAAAAACTCAACATATGTGGATAACTTTACTAAGCTTAATAAATTGATCTTGGTTACATTTGCAAAAGATACTACGGTAGTGCCAAAGGAGAGCGCTATGTTTTGCGACGTAGACCCGGTTACAAAAAGAACAATCCCATTCAATGCAACGGATTCATATATTAATGATTACATCGGGTTGAGGCAATTGCACGAAAGAAACGCAATTGATTTTTTAACAATTGACGCAGAGCACATGTCCATCACAGATACTTTTATCCGGGACATTGCCCTGGAATACTTTGGGACCCCTATTGAAAGCTAGCTAAATGTCTCTCTTGCAAGTAGATCTTGAAGTGGGGAACATGTCCGTGTCTTTCAAACCTTTCTCTTGAGTCATGAATTAGATCGTTATTCTCATCAAAAGTTTTGTTTCGTTTCGTTTCAGCCATTCTTTTTTATTTCTTCTTCCCTTTCAATACCCCCTTCTTCAAATTTCAAAAAGTTTACGCTTGACTAATTTTTCAGGACTGAATATTGTTGTACGCTTGCTTGGGGTAAAAAAGTCACATTCCTCGTCCGAGCTTATATCAAAAATCGACCGCTTTTTACGTAAAACTTTGTTTTTGAAAACGGCAGAGTTGTTTGAGCTTTGCGATTCGTTATTCTTTAAGTTTCCTTTACATCTCAACAGAAGAGTTGTCAAAGTTGTTGCGTATAAATCCAGTTTTCCAGAATTCAATTTGCAATTCTCCTCCTCCTTCTCCTCTCCACTATCTTCATTCGAACCACCGATTGTTTCTGCGTTGTGATTTGCATTAGAACTCGTTTTCACTACTGTGCGTATTTTGTTTTCCTCCTTCTTCTTCTTCTTCTTCTTTTTTGTGTTTGATTCATCACTCTCCATTGCAATTATTTGACTTCCATTTTGCACCAACAAAGAAGGAGCCGCCTTTTTGATTTGAACAGAGTCGGCAGGTACTCCTTCTTTGCAACATAAATGTCGACACCCTGTTTTATCTTTGCAATTATGTTTACATTGATAATTTCCATTAGAGAGCATTGCACGTTCTGAAGGAACCAAGTTTTGTTTCATCATATTTTGCTCCTTCTTCACTTCTACTTCTTCCCACTTTTTACCTCGGTTGAATTGTTGAGACCGAAGGTCCTTTTTATCATCCACCTCTTCCTCCTCTTCCCCCTCCTCCTCTTCCCCCTCCTCCTCTTCCTCCTCTTCCTCTTCCTCCTCTTCCTCTTCCTCCTCTTCCTCCTCGTTCTGCAGCTGGCTAAACTCAAAATCATCAATGACTTCTTCTACAAATCTTTTCTTGATTTCTGGAGAAGTTTCAATGCAAAAACTGCGACTTATTAGCATGCCAGCAAAAGTCTCCACTGATGCTTGGCATGTAAAAGTTTGTGCTAAAGTACTTATTGATGAAGTGACGGTAAATGTTTTAGAGCCCGCCAACTTTTTGACAGGAATTCTTCTAAAATCAATCAAACGCCCCCCAATCTCGCTTATAATTTGAACAAACATCATTTGATTCTTCCAGATAGTTGAGGGGGTGCTTACAGCAACAGTGACTTCGAAAACGCACTTTATCGCATTACACAAAAGTTCCAGAAGATGTTGGCTTCGTAGCTTAATATCAAGGTCCAAAATTGGTATGCACAGTATACTTCTTTTCACCTTTGTGCCGGCACCTGGTTTTTGTGCTAAGAAATATTCAATTTGGGTATCACTTAAGCACTTGGCATCCTCTATACACAAGATATTGTGACTCACAAATTTTTTGACTCCAGCAGGCCCAACACCCTCCAATTGTCGAAGTTCGTTTGGTGTTCCTTCCCAGCATCGTCCTTGAATACAACGCATTAAGTAGCTCAGATTTTTCAACGATATGGCATCTCGTCTTTCCACAAATACATCTAAAATCGCCGTCATAATACGTGCAACGTGTTTGAAAGTGTAAAACTTGTCACCTAAAAAAGCCGAATGTAATTTCATTGCTCCACTATAATTAGGAAGCTCCATGCCTCCTAGTTCAAATTGTATAATGATTTTGATTTTGTCGCTATGCTCCATATTCTTCAGATTACTACAGGGATATCGTAATAGTGAAGAATTGTTGATTTCTTTGTAAAATCTCTTTTCTTGATGTTTCAACTTGATATCGGAAAACTCTTTAGCTCTTGACAAAATATCCAATAACTCGGCAATTGTTAACTGACTTTTTGCTTTGATTAGTGATTTCATCGTATCGAAACATATATAATGCATCGTCATGGAGTAGCCGTATGCAGTGCAAACATAGTTTTCTGAGATTAACTTCTCCTTTACTAAACTAAATGCGTGATCTTTGCAAAACTCAAGCAAGCAATTCTCAAGACCAGTGCTCTTTTTAGGAATATCATAATATGAAGGATTGGAAAGAAACCTCACGTAAAAATAAGTTCTTTTAACCCATGATAGAGCGTCATCAACGCTCTTTATATTCCCCGCTGCTATTTCAGCAACTAGATGTTCTGGAAAATTCAAATGTAAACTACTTTCTACTATTTCTGTGCCTTTAACTATTTTTTCATACTTTTGCTTCAGTGTAGAATCGGTCATTATCACAGCCACGCCTTCATTTTCAAACTGTGGTCTCCCTGCTCTTCCCATCATTTGTAAAATATCCGTTTCAGTGTACTCTTGGAACCCCTTATCACTCCAACATTTTGTTCCCTTGATAATGACTAGATAAGCGGGAAGATTGATACCAACAGCGAGAGTAGACGTACAGCAAAGATACTTGATTTTCCCATTCAAAAATGACAACTCTATTTGTTTGCGATCGCCAAATGTAAGACCAGCATGATGATAACCAATACCACATTTGGCGTAGGAGCAAAGATCTTTATCTTTCAATTTCAAAAGAACTCCTCTCGACGTGCTATAATTTTCAGCTAAAAACTTGGCAGTAAATTGGCAACTACTCCTTGTACAACAGAAAATGAGAACTGGTTTATTATTTGAATGCCTGTTGATCACCTCCGTTAACTTGGAGTTCAATAGAATATCAAATAAGAAAACATTCTCATTACTTGATTTGAAGCCATAAACGAGTTGCCGCAAGTTTACCGCTCGATAAGAGTCATTGAAGGTAAAGGTAACGGCCGAATCATTACTTTCATAGCTGCGTCCAATCCATTTAGAAATATCATGTGCGTTGGCAATTGTTGCAGAAATAGCCAATACCCGCAATTTTTCACATATTTTCTTCATTCTAGTGATAACCACTTCCAATGTTGCTCCGCGAGATTCCCTTAAAACGTGAACTTCATCAACCAAAAGCAATTTCACAAATCCAAAAAGTTTCTTGTAATCTCTCCATTTTCTTGTTACTATATCCCATTTTTCTGGAGTTGAAATGATCACTTTTGATTTCCGTACATTCTCAGCTTCCTTATAGGAGGTGTCTCCAGTTAGCATTCCTACAGTTATACCTATATGGGCAAGCTTCTTTGACCACTCAAGGTGTTTTTCATTACATAATGCTTTTGTCGGCGCAAGATATAGTGCTTTTACTTCATTGGGATTGGAAGTATTGGAAAATTCACGAAGTATCGCCAATTCAAACAAAACTGTTTTACCAGAACCAGTTGGGGAGCTTAGGACGCAATTATTGGAGGCGTTGTAGATTGCGTTAAAGCAAATGGACTGCATTTGGTTGAATTCGGTAAAGGGAAAAACCAATTGCTCAATGGGCGGCAAAACACTTGTTTGAAGCTTCCTCCTAGTTGAATGCAGCTTATTATCTTGCAGGCAAGACAAATTCCTCGGGTCTACATCTGTAGTAACAAATTGACGGCCATTGAAATGTACTTGGCGATATTTGCAAGTTGCAGCTACTTTCTTTGAGCAATCTCTGACAATGGAAACAGCATTCTTTTTAGCTTGATTATCTGGTTTAAGAAGAAGTTTACACTTGCTTATCAGTTCCCTTGAAGTTGAAACGTTGCGAGTCTTATCCTCATACCCTAACAAGTTCAAGTTTGTTTTATCAGCAAACGGTTGCCTCTGACACCTTTCCTCTATAGCATAATTAGTATTACAACCGCCCCACCCTAATTCAAAGTTATATCTTTTTTGGTCTTATATACCTTTGACGTTATTTTTTTCAGTCTCAATGACGGTTTTCAAACTATTCAGTAAAGACATTAAGGTTTTTCTTTTGGCAACATCAATCGCAAGGAAATTTTTTTTGTTTCTCTCTTTTTATCTTCATTTTCGTAGTCTCTTTGATCACAATGAATAAGATCTACTTGTTTCTTTAGAATCTTTTATCTATGATGCAAAAAATTTGATTACAGCTTGAACTGAATATACATTTTTATCACCATCTAGATACACCTTTGATACCATCTAGATACACCTTTGATACCATCTCTATACACCTTTGATACCATCTCTATACACCTTTGATACCCATCTCCTCGACAAGCTATTAACCACATTTCTTTCACTCCACTACTCTATTCATATTCTTCAATATTTGTCTCTACTATTCCCACCATCTACAGGAGAGTCCATTACTCCCCCGCTCGTGTTTACAACTCTCTACTACAGCAAGCCTACGAGTCCCTGTTTGTGTCCACCATCTCGCTCGATAGTGTCAATAGTGTCGCTAATGTCGGTGTAGTCAGTGTGCTCCACCATCTCGCTCGAGAGTGTTGGTGTAGTCAGTCTCGCTCGATAGTGTCGGTGTAGTCAGTGTGTTCCACTATCTCGCTTCGCTCGATAGTGTCGATAGTGTCGATAGTGTCGCTAATGTCGGTGTAGTCAGTCTAGCACCACTATCTCGCTTCGCTCGATAGTTTCTCTACAAGTGTCTACAATTTTCTACTATCGCCCACCATTTACATATGGGTTTGACTGTATCATATAAAAATAACTACTCGAAAAAAAACACCAAGATAGTGTCGGTGTAGTTAGTGCTGTTCCACCGTCTCGCTCGAGAGTGTCGCTAATGTTGCTAGCGTCGGTGTAGTCAGTGCTGTTCCACCGTCTCGCTCGAGAGTGTCGGTGTAGTTAGTGCTGCTCCACTATCTCGCTCTGCTCGATAGTGTCGATAGTGTCGCTATTTTTCCCATTCTCCATCGTCTCCCACACACTTTTTTTCCCACTTCTATTTCCATCACTATGACAGTAAACAGAGTATGAGCGAAAATATCGATAGAAAACAAAGACTCGCAGAGTTACGGAGAAATCGTGCTAAAAAAGATAAGGATGAAGGGAATAAGCTGATTGACGCAACTATAGCAGCAGCAGCCACTGCTGATGTAGATAGAGAAAATTTGCAACAAAATGTTAATCTTAGCTCAATACAGAAAAATAAAAAAGAAGAGGAAAAACGACATGTAAAAGAGGAGGAAAAACGACATGTAAAAGAAGAGGAAAGACGACATGTAGAGGAGCAAGAATCGAATCTTATACCACTGTCAAAGAAATCAATTGGAAACGATGAAAACAACAACAACAACAACAACAACAACAACAACAACAAAATTAATGAAGAAGATATCATACAATCACAAGAGAAAACAACTACTAAAAATCACCAATCTGTTATTTCAGAAATGAAAGACGATTTGAAAGCTTACTATCACAAGGCTAACTTGCGAACCAATAAAGCCATTAATTCGATTATACAAGATAGATTCGTATAACATACTCTAATGATACAAAAAAAAAAGAAAAGAAAAATGAATACCTCTATTTGACAACTCTTTGCACAGATATTACCAAATCGAGAAGTCTACATTTTCTTCCAATCAAACTTTGATATCGCATTTTTTTTTTCATCAAGTAGTGTCCACCAATTCACTTTTGAAAAATCGAAAATCAACGAAAAGTTTTTTGAGTTAATTACAGAAGATTATCAGCGACAAATTTAGAACTATTCCTAGAGAGTGTGTGAGAGAGAGAGAAAGAGAAAGAGAGAGAGAAATGTCGATCATTAATAAAATTGCGTTGAGAAACGTTCGCCCTTCAATGGGTATGGCTCGTATAGCTTTTCGTCCAGCTGCACCGTATGTAAAGTCTCCCCCCCCCCAAATTCGACGATCGATTTGCACGTCAGAACCGCTACGTCTTTGCGGTCTTTTTCTTATTTCTCAAACATCAAGAGCTCAAGTTACTAACTTTGATCATTTTTCTAGAATCGGGTTGAGATTTCTTTCTACTCCAGTAGAGCCCAAAAAGAAAGCACAAACTATTGTTGATGCCTTGCCTGGAAACAACTTTTTAACCAAAACCAGTGTTTTAGCAACCTCTGCTGCTGCCACCATTTACGGTTTGTCCAACGGGTTAATCATCATACACGATGAAACAATCTTGGTCGTTACATTCTCCATTTTCGCTGCGTTATGTGTCAAGTTCATTGCGCCATTATATACCGAATGGGCTGATGGAGAAGTTAAAAAGGTAAATGACATTTTGAATGGTGCTAGAAACAAGCATATTGAAGCTGTTGAAAACAGAATCAGCTCAGTTGGAGAACTAAAAGACGTTGTAGCTCAAACCAAAGATTTGTTTGCCGTATCTAAGGAAACTGCTAAACTCGAAGCTGATGCCTTTGTCTTGAAGCAAAAATTGGAAGTTGCTACAGAAGCAAAGAATGTATTGGATTCATGGGTCAGATTTGAAAACCAACAAAGACAACTTGAACAAGAGCAATTGGCTAAATCTGTTATTGACAAAGTCAACAAGGAGATTGAAGATCCAAAATTCCAGGAAAAATACTTGCAAGAAGCTTTGAGAGAGGTTGAAAAAGTTTTTGCAAAAGCTTAATAGAGAACAACACAGCTTATATATAAAAGAGAGAAGGCATGTTTTTAACTACTAGGTAGGTTTCTTCTAATTGGTATTTTTGAAACCAAAAAGATTAAAAATAAAAAAAAACAATAAAATAAAATAAAAAAAAAAACAAAGCCATGAAGGTGGTGTTTTGTTTCTTTCTCTTTCTTTCTTATACAGCGACTGATTTTGATACTTGGTGGCACGGCTTCCATATATGTAGCGAGTTGTCGTCGGCAACACTTGCAAGCATCCAATCATCGGCAAAAGACCAGTCGAAATCGTTAACACCCAACATGTGTCCCAAGTGTTGAAATATTGTAGTGGCTGATCCGTCGCTGTGCTCGTGTCGGGATCTTGACAAATCGTGAATCTTCACCAGGTGGTCACTTGATGAAGATGCTATTATTTGCGCAAATTTAGGATGCCATTTCAATTGTGTAATGGCATCCAGATGCACATTTGTCAAACTTGATATTGGTTTGCTCATGTTTCGGATATCCCATATATCTATAATCCCTTTTGAGTCACCAGTAGCCAAAGCAGTAGAGAAGTTTGCATTTATTGATATCGAGTTAATGCTCGAATCAACAAAAGTCTTTGAAATCGTTGATTCCAATGGTTTTACTCTTGTATCATAGATCTTAAAGCTGCCATTTTCGTCCCCGGTTCCAAATAGAGAGTCATGTGTAGGAAACCATTCCAAATCGTTGACCCCGCTTTGGTTTTCCCAATACAATTCCTGGCTTAGCAGTTCCAGCAGCTTATTATACTTGGTCAAATCATACAAATTAATCACTCCTTTGATATCTCCTGATAACAAGTAACCTTCTTTATTCCTGTTCCAGTCCATGGCAAATATTTCAGACTTTTTGTTGCTCAAGGATGATGTATTGTTAGTCAAACATACTTGAGCTTTATTGACGTTGGTGTCATCTATAATCAGTTTTTGGAAACTCTTGTGTCTTGTTCTTTCAAATATTACTATATCGCCAAAATTGTTTGCACTTGCTATGACATTAGGTTTCTGGGGCATATATTTCAATTTATTAACATCGCCAAACTGGTTAATCTTTTGAAGTACTTTTGGTTTCAAGTTTTGCGACGACTGCAACAAGTTTAATTCGATTTCTTCTTTTTCTTGGTTGTAGTTGAGTTTTTCCGGGTCTATCTGTTTTTTCAAGTTGGTGCATGTAGGTATTTGCAAAATGGAAATTGAATCAACTACAGATTGTCCCATTGTAAAAGTCCCGTGTAAAAGTCGCTGTAGAACCACTTCGCTGGAGGTCGATAGAAACCCATTTTCATTGCCCAACAATTCGTTCCTATCTCGACTCTGATGTGTTATGTCTGGAAAAAATTGTACTGTTAGTGATGGCCAAAGTAAAGAGTTTGTCGATAGATAATCATATAAAAAAGGCGCGTTTTTCTTCCATATTCGGTAGTTTCTCTCAGTTGTTTCGTCAATCAGCGATGCCATCGTCTCGGAAAAGTCGGTAGTTTCAACGGTCTCAATATCGGCGTCTGCAATTGCAGCTGTCGCCGTCGCCGTCGCCGTCGTCAGTGCCACGTCCATCACCTATTTTGCCAAAATGTCAAAATAATCAACCCCAATAGAATGAACAAATAAACGCGGTTGTTCTTCAACAGAGTGAAAAAAAAAAAAAAAAAATTAAAGTGATTTGAGATGTGCGGCTCTGAAAAAAGTAGAAAACTTGAGATGAGCTATGGGAAAGAAAGAATGACCGATCAAATAGAGCTAAACCAGTCGAAGCTTGGAACACGGGAATAGTACGTATGTGCGTGTGTCCGTATTGCGGTGACATAAGTAAGAAAGTTGGGGATTATTTTGGTTACTAACATTTTGTTTTGTTGAAACCCAGCTGGAACGAATTTTATCGTAAAGAACAGCAGAACTTTCAGGATAATGAAGACGACACGGGAGAATGTTGGTTCAACGATTCTAACGCCGAGGAGAAAATGATTGAATTTATAATCAACAATATTCAGGAAGCCACATTCCCCGATGGTTTGGCAAACAAGTCTGATATTCTGTTTCTAGATATAGGTACAGGCAATGGCCATTTGCTTTTCCAATTATGCGAACAACTCAATGAGGAATTGGGAGACAAGAAGGAGGGAAATCAATTCCATTTCCATGGGATCGACTACTCTCCCGACTCAATACAATTTGCCACAAGTATTGCTGAAAAAAAGTACCCCAAAAACAGTTTCAACTTTTGTCAAGTTGATCTTCTTTCTAAAGATGAAGCATTTTTGAATTCCCATAGCTTTGATATACTATTAGACAAGGGTACATTAGATGCAATTGCATTAAATCAAGACCCTATTGCAGAATTTGGCGGGAAAAGGGGAATGGATGTGTATGCTAAACAAGTAGCCAGAATGATGAAGACGCACTCTATATTATTAATTACGTCTTGTAACTTTACTGAAAAAGAGTTGATTACTTTAGTAACGCTGGGAACCAATTTGAAAGTATGGTCTAAAATAAAATACCCAAATTTTTCATTTGGTGGTATGGAAGGTTCAACAGTAGTCAGCATAGCATTTGTTCAAAATGGGGAGTTTGCGTAGAATTTGTTCAAACTGGGGAGTCGCATAGAATTTATTCAAAATGGGGAGTCGCATAACATTTGTTCAAACCGGGGAGTCGCATAGCATTTGTTCAAAATGGGAAGTTTGCGTAGAATATACACATACATCCTTCTCTATTCTTGTTCCATGTTTACTACATAAATAGTACATAAACTTCTTTATCATCCTTCTCCTTTCTCTTTATATTATTTCATCTCCAACTTTAATTTGTCTATTTCGTTAATCAACTCATCTCTGAGTTTCTCATTGGCTAGTTTTATAAGATATTGTATTGGCTGCCCTTCAGAGTTTATTGAGTTTAGTCGAAAGTACTTTCCTGGAGATAAACTTGCTTCCAAGCCTTTCATTACTGCTGTATCCACTTGAATTTTATAATTCAATATAACTCGCAACAAACCTTGAGATCTCATCACTATTCTTACCAATTTCTTATCTTTCTGGGACTGATTCAAATGTAAGGGCCCCACACCTCGTTCTTTCCAACCTTCACTTATCTTGGATAGATTAAGTTCAAATAATTTTGCGTTTGATGTAAACAAGGATTTTTCGTCTTCTTCACCCGTACTTTGTTCTACTGGATTCAAGTCAACTTGCTGAAACTGTTGCGTCGTTGTCGTCGTTTGCAACTCATCTTTACTATCGGGTCTAGTGGTTTTGTCTTGAATTGAAGTAGTCGTATCGCTGGTATTGTCGAGAAAAGACTTTTGCTTAAGGGACTCCTGAAAAGCGTTACCAAAACGAGATTTCGATCCAAATGTTGATTTAAAAGTCGATCCAGGGACGGGGAATTTTGCTGAATTTTGTGTTGCAGCAGTAGCAGTAGAAGCAACAGCAGTTGCTGTTTCTGTCGCAGCGGCAGCAGCAGCAGCAGGGGCAGTAGGGGCAGCAGGGGCAGCAGCAGTAGCAGCTGACGAATTTATGTCTAGTTTGGTTTTCAACGGATTCAGGTTCTTGGCCATGTTGCCGAAAGATGTAGTTGCTCCAAATACAGGTTTGGAACTTATTGGTATACTACGCAACGACGATGACGACGATGACGATGGTTCTTTGTGTGCTTCACTGTTGATACAGTCTTGTCCATTTTTTTTCACACCAAGTTCGGGAGAGAGCTCGGAAGTTTTTTTAAATTGAAATGAGCCACCTTTTCCAAAAATTTCCTTATTTCTAGGTGGAAGAGCCGGCGGGTGTTTACTTGGTGGTTCTTCCTTCAGCTTTGTTTGTTCTTGTTGCTCAACCCTGTTCCCATTATCTACCATTGTATCTGCGTCAGAGACCTCAATTGACTTTTCCTGCTTACCCCCTTTTTTATTATCAACCTTTAATATCTCTTCCAAAGCCTCAACTCTTGACTCTAGCTTGGCAATGCGATCTTCAAATGTTCTCTTGACTTCAGCAAGTATACTTGATGTCAAATCCTCATGACCAATCAGCTTCGTCCGCTTCAATTTAGCATTGATTGTACTATCCTCCAAATCTATTTTCCGTTTAGCTGGACTCTCATCTGGCATTGTTTGTAAAATAAAAATAAAAAGTCTATAGATATAGACTTGTTTGTTTCGTAATAAGATGTTCTTCTTACAGAAAGAAAGGAAGAAAAAAAAAATTATTAACGAATGGAGAGAATTAAGAAAACAAACCGATTGTTACAAAAGTTGAGTAAAATGCTTTTTTTTTTTTCTCTTCTTCTTCTTTACTTACCCGGCATTCACTAAAAGCTCTCGAGTATGAGTAATGCCTGGTAATACCTAGTTCTACCTAGTCCCGTCTGATACTGCGTACAAACCTCGACGTAGTTTGTTGTTGTTGCTGTTGTTGTTGCTGTTGTGTTGAGTTACTTCCTATAGAAGCGTATTTGGCATATTTGTCAGCTGTAGTTGGTTCTTTCTTTGTGTCGATGGAACCAGAGTATTTTGCGTATTTGTCTCTAATTGACGTTCTTTGAGGCGGCGCCGCTTGTGCAACAGGAGTTACTGTTTGGTAAGATGCATAAGACGTAACCGGTTGTTGTGGCAATGGTTGTGATGGTTTTGATTGCACTGAGTAAGAACCTTGAAGATCAACTCGCCGCGAAAACAATGTTTCGTTGGTATACGCGTTATTTGAAGACCAGAATTTAGTCCTTGGTTGGTTTTGATATGACGAATTCACTGGAACTGTGCCAGATTGGTAATGTTGATGAGCACCACTACCACCACCACCACCACCACCACTAGGCCGCGAATAGAAATCTACTGAGCCATTTCGCAGCGATTCAATTTGAGAACGATACAATTGACTTTGATCACGAGCATTATTGGCAATGTTTGTGCGTCTACCACTTGCAGCAACAGATGCCACTTTGCCCTCCCTTGTATAATGTCGACCGCCTTCTCCACCTCCTAACCTTCGAGGTTTCCAATTTTTCAAAAGTCTGCTTCTTTCAATATCAACCAATACATTTCTGTCCTTTAACTTGACACCGCTCCTACACGTTTCCGCAACACATGTGGATGCGTCTGAGCTTTGCTCATAAACAATAAATCCATACCCTCTACTATTACCTTGGTGATCCCTGATAATCTTGACCGATTCGATTATTCCGTATTTTTGAAAATGTTGCGTTACTTCCAACTCCGTTAAACTGTACTCTAGCCTAGCAATAAACACTGTCCTATATGGATCTTTCATCACTCCTCTTTCGTGTTTTTCAAATAGCTCAGGATCGTTCCAGTCTTTTAGTTGGCGATCAAAGGATAATTTTTGTGCTTGCCTCTTTAATTGGGCATTCTTGAGGTTCTGTAGATGTTTACTTAGCTTTGGTTTGTGAACCCGTGCCTCTCTTGACGGTAGTTCTGTTTGCAAATAATCCTCAATTATTGATTTGTAATCTGAAACAGGAGTCACTGATATTGTTCTCCGTTTCTCAGGCGGATAATCTAGAGGGTCGACATATGGAAATGGTGGCTTTGGTTGAAACAATCTTTGTATATTTGGAGGGTACTTTTCAGTGTCATCAGACTAAACATTTACCGTTAGTAAAGAAAAATGCAACAAAAAAACAACAACAACATTATCGGCCTTAATAACACATACCATAGCATAACACTGAGGAGTAGAGAAGTAAAGTAGGATTGGTGGTTGGTTCAACTAACAATGAAAAATTACAAAGGGCATCAAGATTTTTTTTTTTCTGCTAGTGTTTCTTTTTATTCGTGAGACTAGACGTGTGAAGCGAGTCTAGTCGATAGAGAGAGAAGAGAGAGAGGAGAGAGAAGAGAGAGAAGAGAGAGAAGAGAGAGAAGAGAGAGAGAGGAGAGAGAAGAGAGAGAAGAGAAACTAGACGAATGAAGCGAGTCTAGTCAATAGAGAGAAGAGAGAGAGTATAGACCATCAAGCTGCGCTAGTAATTATTTCAGAGTAACAAGTTTGAGTCCAATCGACCAGACTCGTTTCACTAGTCTAGTCGATAGAGAGAGTACAGATATATGCTATCCTGGTTTGCTCGATAGTGTTTAGGAAGAGCTTTAAACTTCTACATTGGGAAAAAATAAACTAATAATCTGAGAAGGATTTATTCTGCTCCACAATTCAGGGCTGGTTAAGTTTTTTTTTTTTTTTGTCAGATTGTAATAGTAGCTTAAAGACAGGTTATTTGTAGCAGCTTAGAGACAGGTTATTTGTAGCAGCTTAGAGACAGGTTATTTGTAGCAGCTTAGAAATAGGATGTTTGGGGATAAGAAGAAAGAGCCAACTGAGGTATATTTGGCCAATGCTAAAATTAATAGGGAAATATTACCGAAATTTACTAGAGCACAACTCCTGTCGTATAATGGAGTTGATAAACCTCAGTTATACGTTGGAATAAAGGGAGATATATTTGATGTGAGTGGGAATATCCAAAGTTATGGTCCTTCTAAGCCATATAATAAGTTTGTTGGTAAAGATGCGGCAAGATTATTAGGTATGAATAAATTACAATTGAAAGAAGAAGATGGAGATCCAACTAATACATGGGATTTATCTAGGTTAAACGAGAAACAATTAAAAGTTGTTGATGAGTGGGTGGAATTTTTCAAGATGAGATACCCCATTGTGGGGACCATTGAGGATAAATAAACCGGAAACTAAGTTTCTCATTTACTTATTGGATGAATGTGAGTACATTACACTATCGAGCAGAGCGAGATAGTGTTTTGCTCGCTAGTGGATGCTATCGAGCAGAACGAGATGATATTTTGCTCGCTAGTGGATGCTATCGAGCAGAACGAGATGATATTTTGCTCGCTAGTGGATGCTATCGAGCAGAACGAGATAGTGTTTTGCTCAGTAGTATTTTGCTCAGTAGTATTTTGCTCGCTAGTGGATGAAACTGTGTACATTTATAAAGCTCTCATATTTAGTTTGTTTCTTGCAATATATAGAGATCTTTAAACGTGATAAACTTTTGCAACAATTGACAAACCTCTCCCGAGGATTTCAAAAGATTATTATCGATACAATAAACTGTGCTTGTAAAAGATTACAAAACTACCACTACAACTGTGCTTCTAAAACGTCTAGAAAGATTACAAAACTACCACTACAACTGTGCTTCTAAAACGTCTAGAAAGATTACAAAACTACCACTACAACTGTGCTTCTAAAACGTCTAGAAAGATTACAAAACTACCACTACAACTGTGCTTCTAAAACGTCTAGAAAGATTACAAAACTACCACTACAACTGTGCTTCTAAAACGTCTAGAAAGATTACAACTGGGCAATACTTTAGGATTAATTTTCCAAAGAGCTAGTGCCGGTGGCAGCTAGTGGTGGTCTACTAATGGTGTTCTACTAGTGGTGCTCTATTAGTGGTGCTCTATTAGTGGTGTTCTATTAGTGGTGCTCTACTAGTGGTGTTCTATTAGTGGTGCTCCACTATCTCGCTTCGGTCGTGTGTGTCGATAGTGCTGGTGGCAGCTAGCGGTGCTCCACTATCTCGCTTCGCTCGATAGTGTCGATAGTGTCGATAGTGTCGATAGTGTCGATAGTGTCTAGTGCCGATAGAGATGCATAAGTCAGATTCATCGGCATCTCAACTATGCAGAGATGTTTCAATACGCGCTGTACTTTTCTTATTTAAGCGAAATTTCATCATTTTTCGGGCCGATTGAGAATAAAATAACTCGGTCAATATAGAAATGATGTATGAAATTATTGTTTTACCAGCTGTAACTAAAAGAGTCAAAGGAGAAAGAATCTCGAAAGTAGTAGTTTTGACAGGGACACTATCGAGCAAAGCTAGAGAGACTACACCGACACTATCGACACTCAGTAGCAACACAACACTATCGACACTCAGTAGCAATACAACACTATCTCGCTCTGCTCGATAGTGTCCATGCTCAGTAGCAATACAACACTATCTCGCTCTGCTCGATTGTGTCCATGCTCAGTAGCAATACAACACTATCTCGCTCTGCTCGATAGTGTCCATGCTCAGTAGCAATACAACACTATCTCGCTCTGCTCGATAGTGTTATAATTAGTTTGCTCGATAGTGACGGATTTAAAATGTCATTTGGTAGCTTATACTACATAACCAAACGAAAAAATAAAAATTGCCAGGGTAACTTTTTAATTTAATCACACTGTGTGTATGTGTATGTATATGTGTATGCGTATGTATATGTGTATGTGTATTTGTATGTGTATTTGTATATGTATTTGTATATGTATATATGTGTGTAATACTCTCATTAAAGTCGTTTTGGAATTTGTATTAAACTCTACTTGCTTCATACTTGCTTTCTACTTGCTAATTCGAGTTGGACTCATTTTTTCTTCTTATTCGCCTCAATATTTGCTTATTCAACACTGTTACTAGGCTTCCACTATTGACTTATTCACCTTTTACTTCAACTCAAACCCGTGTGTTGGTAGCTATTAACATAAACTGTTAATTCCCGTTATTGGTATACACACACACACACACACTTAAATCTCACACACACACATAATTCCACTTGCTTGAAGGCTAATATTTGCGTACCTCCACTACCGTCAATAGATCATAGATCTAATATCTGGCTTAATACCACATTAGCCCTCTGAAAAAGTGGACTATCAAAAATTTTTTTTTTTTTTTTCCTTCCCCTTGCCTCCCTTTTTATTATCATCATCATCATTTAACTTGGTGTTTAATTCATTCGTTTAAAACTCTAAAGGTTTGCAAGTACACACACACACACTATGGAGGCCGGAACGTCCTTGGCTGTTCAAAGAGGTCGCTTAAGACGACAGTTGCTTGAAGGCGAACAGAATATAGACACCCTAAGTGAATCGCTTTTGGAACAGCAGTATCAGCAGCAACAGCGGCAACAACAGCTGAAACATCCACGCTTTGTTCCAGCCTATTTACAGCAGCAGCAGCAGCAGCAACAGCAACATCCTTATAATGGACCAAGAACTAATCTGATAAATTCTATATCGACTGCAAATTACGATATTATGACCCCCTTACCAGGAAGCCATAGTGGAACACCCTTCACCAGTAATAGCAATTCCAGTTTCTCAAATATAACTTCAAATTCAAGAAAGTCTTCCTTGACTACTCAATCCATAAACAAGTTCTTTCGTCGAAACCACCATAAGGGTGACTTTAACGAAGATGCCGGTGTCGATATCGGAGACTTGGCTGATGCAACAAATATGTCGTTTGACGATATAACTCATTTAAGAAATACAAAATCATATAATTCAACGGCACCTATTATTCCTACATATGGCACAATGGGGAGTAATACAAGCAAAATCAATAATGTTCAATACCGCAAACAGATGAACCAACAAAAGAAAATGGCATTGCTAACTGGCGCTCGTGCCAATTCTATTGCAGGCGGGGCAAATCCTATGCTACCAAGCCAGCAACTAGCTCAGCAGCAGCTACCCCCACAGCAGCAGCAAATGGGTGTAACGGATCCGAGATCTATGTCCTTGGGTGGGAACTATTCAAGGGCAAGATCATTGAATTCACAACTTCCTGGTGCAATGCCTCCTATGAGGAATCAATTTTATCCCCAACAAAATCAACCAATGAGTAATTATCCGTTTTCAGGACAGTACAATCAGAATCAAGCGCAAGCCCCAAACCAACAGTTTGCATTTTCTCAAATTCAACAACAACAACAACAGGGCCCACGAGCAATGTCTTTGAAAGCAGAACATTACATGATGCAAAAACAGCAGTACCCTCCGAGTAACTATAACAACAACAATAATAATAATAATGGCCAAATGCAGTATGCACAAGGAGCACCTCGCTCAAATACTTTTATGGGCGGAGGTATGCCCAACTACGACCCTAAAATTCAGAACGGCCCAAACTATTCATCAAGAACTAAGTCTTTGGGTGGCATGACATCAATGGGAATGGCCGGTCCATACCAAGAGCCAAAATATCAAGGATTAATAAATAGAAACCAAAACCTAGCTGTTAACAATCTGGGTCCACCTTATAACCGTCAACAACAATACCAACAGCAGGGACCGCTTAACAATCAACAATTTTCTTACTCGCAACAACCAAACAGTCAACAACCATTTGCACCTTCTTCGTTCCAGAACCAATATAATCAAGATTCAAGTACATTTGGACGACCTTCTCAATTGGAGCAAGTTTCCAGTGATTCGTTGAATGATGTACCAGAGGAAGAAGAATATAATCAAAACCAAGTAGCGCATCAAAAAACATCTCCATCTGAACCTGATGAAGGCGATGTTATTTACAACTTTGATGAGCAAGAGAACATGGGCAGTAATCAGCTTTCACGAAAGTCTACATTGAGGAAAAACAACTCAACAAGAGTACGTAAGTTGAACATATTTAATGACGAAGCAAATTCAAGAGTTGCCGTAGGAAGAAAGAAACCTCCGTCAAGTAGTGTTCAAGAGGAGCAGGATTTTCTGGTTCATCTGGATCAGTTAGAGAAGACACCCGAGAATATACCTTTAACTAATGTCCTGCAGGAAAAGCATGTACCTTGCGATTTGGATACAGATGAATCATACGACACCGTTGAGTCAATGGCGGCTGATAAATCATCGAAGGCGCACGCGGGATATAATAGCAATACACTGTCTCAGAAACCCGGCGCAATTTTTGCATCTAATCTGGATAGCTTGGCAGGACAATTATCACAGGATGACGAAACAATAGGGGAAAACGAAAACGAAAACGAAAACGAAAGCGTTAATACATCTGGTAGAGGATCAGTTTTGAAGCCACCATTTCCCAGGAAGATACTGGAAAGCAGTTCTATAAGGAATCTTGTTGCAAATACTGCATTTAGCAATTTTAGATCTTCCTCAAACGATAGTGATTTGAAACTTTCCAGTCCACTGTTGCCGCTTGTCAGAACAAATTCTTCACCAACTTCCATTTACGAGGAACCTGGAAGGAGAGTGAAAAGTTCTGAAACAGATGAAAGCCAATACAGTCAACCTGAGCAACAAACGACTTTCGACAACAAGGAGGATGATGGTAATAATAACGATAATAAGAATAATAATAATAATAATAATAATGATGATGATTATGATAAGAAAAACGGCGGCTTGGTCTCACCTTCAATGCCGATGACAACGCCCACCACTCCGAATATTTCACATAATCGTTTTGTTGGCTCTGCATCAGAAGAGCCTATGCATGCAACTTATAGCATGTCGCACGCTATTACCGAGCCCATACAGGATACGTTCAAAGAAGAATCCCACCAGTTTACACCTGTATCTAGAATTGGTGCTCATTCTCGTCATGCGACAAACTCTTCAATAAGTACAGGGGGTAGTAATTACGACTATCATCATGGAGAAGGAGAAGGAGAAGGAGGGAAAAAAATATTATCCAACTCTATATCGAGTCATTCGAGTCGCAAGGAAAAACGTTCATCTTTTGCGCATACGGGTAAAAAGTTACTAAAGAAGTTGTCGAAATCAAAGAAATCGAGTCCTTCAGTTGGTGATGATTATCTAGAAAAGAATGATACAAAGGGGGTATCTACAAGTAGAACTTCGTCGATTAATAAAAGGATTTCATCCCCGGCAACACTTGCGTCTTCAGGAAAGTTACCAACATCTATCAAAGAGCCATTGTCATTTAGCAAAAGCGAAATGCATGTAATGAATTGCAATAGTGATTTGCTTGCTGAATTAGAATCAATCACAAGAGAATTGGCTTCGTCGATTAAAAGAGAAATGGCATTAGAAGCAAAATTGAAATCAAATAAGCAGCAATCGCCACCTATTGGTACAGGAGCAATACCCTCTTCTTCTCGTTCTTCAATAGCTGAGGAAAATTTACACACTTCTCTTTTAGAAAAATCAAACATCATTTGTGGCTTGCAAGAAAAGCTAAACAAGGAGAAAAGATTGAGATTTATTAGTGAGGAACATGCTTTACTATACGAACACGGCCAATCGCCAAGCCCACTCAAACTTAATTATGAGAAAACCGAAATTTATAATCAACTTGTAGCTAAGAACGAAATGGTTACACAATTGACCAATAGAGTGAGAGAATTAGAAGAGGAACTAGAAAAAGAAAAGATGATTGAGTATTCTCAAATGCAAAGTATGGACCATGATTTGATGAATAGAATTAGTTCACTTGAGAAGGAAAATACGGAAGTTTCAGAGGAAAATGCATTACTTCAGGAGGAGATTAGAACTTTGCAAACTCAAAGAGATGACTTTAGGGAGGTTATAAGTAAACTATCAGTACAAAGCAGTCAAGATATCAAGCAGCTTAGTGAAAAAATAAAGACTTTGGAGTTGAAGAATTCAAATTTGAAAAACATAAATGATATGCTAACAAATAGGGAGGGTAATATCAATACCAATAATAACAATGGAGGCGTCTCAGAAAATCAAAATTATGGAAACTACGATAGCTCTATGAGTGGCAATGGCAGTTATAGTAGTGCTAGTAAAAATTTTTATGGAATGAAAAATCGGATAGGACTACCATCATCAGGAGGCAAATTGAATGGATTCACTATCATCTCATCTGATCGGAAGTTTCACAACAATGAATAAAAAACCATACAGAATAGGCAGCAGCTCATTTTAGTTTTGGTTTTCCTTTGATAGAATAGTTCAAATAGAAATGCAAAAACTGAATGTCTATAAAATTATTCATACATACATACATACATACATACATATATATATATATACGTATCATAAAGTGTCTTGAAAAATGCTTTTATATGTAGCCGGGACTAATTGTTATTCAAGTTCGTTACCGTTGCTTGAAGTAAAAATTTACAAATCACTTTTCCTATTAAATCTCCTTGATTATTCAAAGTACTAGTATGGTACTTTGCCTTTTCATATTCAAGCTCGGTCAACAACTTTCGTTGATACTTAAAAGCCAACAAGTCTAATGCAATGGCAGTTGTAAACTCTGGATGTCCTTGAAATGTCAAAACGTTACAACTTTTGATTCCGTCTGAATTGTTATTTTCAACGCTAATCATACCTTGTATTGAACATTTAGCAGTGGATCCGAAATTGATAAATCCCGGGGGTACTCCTCCATATACCACGTCACGATGAAACTCAACCATATTCAAATGCTGATACAACAAAGTCTCTTCTATTTCACCTTTTTCTTGACCCAATTCATTCTTTACTTCAACCGTTTTCTTACGGCTCAATTCCAAAAAAGGCGAGTCTTTGATTTTGTAGATTTCGTCATTCAATTCAATAGTTGTTGTTCCCACTTCCCACCCGTTGCTATTTCGATCAACTTTGCAGCCAAGCACATTTGCAATAACCTGGTGCCCAAAACATAAACCCACCACGGGCCAGGCCAACTTCAATATAGTATTTTTCAAAAATTTTTTAAACTGAAGTAACCAGGGATAAGATTCAAAAGCATCACTAGTCGAGCCGGTCAAAACAAACCCTCTAATCAAATGGTTACTGATGTTTGACAACAATTGGGCATATGTATTTTCCAAAACCTTGGGATCTTCGTTTTCTGCTGGCTTGAGTTGGTATTTGTGAAATGGATAAATCTGGTTAAATGAATTTGTCAAAAGGGATATTGTATTATCACCAAAATCACCATGTTTCGAAGCTACCCCTGGTACTGGCGTATCAAGGACTAGAATGGCAATATGAGGCTCCTCTTGAGAGACCATTCAGGCTTTTCTCAACAGGGGAAGGATGAGCCAAAAAGGAATCAAAAGTAATCAAAAGTAAAAAAAAAAAAAAAAAAAAAAAAAAAAAAAAAAAAAAAAAAAAAAAAAAAAAAGGGAACAACTAAGAAGCTAATCTCTTGATATAATAAAAGAATAGTAATATAAGAAAGTCCTTGAATTTTTTCCTTCTACAGCTCTTATCTTGGATTTTTAGCTTAATCTCAAGTTTATGATTTTCAGTTTTTAGCTCTTCTTGCTCCTTCACAGTCTTTAGCTCTTCTTGCTCCTTCACAGTCTTTAGCTCTTCTTACTCCTCTATTCAACTCATCTCATCTGCTCTGGCTCTTTTTTTCTTTGTTTAATTCCACTTAAATATTTAAGCAGGCGCACGCGGAAATTTTTCAGTAAGTTTAACGTGACAAAGATAAAATTATGTTACACTATTGAGTAAAGCGAGAGTGTCGCTAATGTCGCTGTAGTCAGAAATGCTCCACTATTGAGTAAAGCGAGAGTGTCGTTAAAGTCGGTGTAGTCAGTGTCGGTGTAGTCAGTGTCGGTGTAGTCAGTGTTGGTGTATTCAGTGTATTGTTTAAAATTAATTGCTTAATCCAAAGTAATTAATATATACTACTGCATAACTACATATTACTTGTTACTACATACTACTTGTTACTATTTACTATTTACAATATACTACTGTATTACTATATACTACTATACTACTTTATTATTATATACTACTTTATTACCATTTACTACTCGCTCTGCTCGATAGTGTCGATAGTATCGGTCAGTGTGCTCCACTATCGAGCAACACTATCGAACAGAGCGAGATAGTGTTGTAACAAGCTTCAAAGTGTTACTCCACTATCTCGCTCTGCTCGATAGTGTCGCTCGATAGCGGTGCAATATACTTTTGACAGAAACACTCCATCTTCATCATCAAGAAATGTGAAATCATCATGATTAACTACAATTTAAATACACAAGAACTCATCTGATTTATACCAATCTAAATCATCTCTCTCCTTTGACCTTGTATCCTTTTCGCCTCCGGGGTACTTTTCACTATCGAGTAGCGACACTATCGAGCAGAGCGAGATAGTGGAGCAACATTTTGTAGCTTGTTACAAGACTATCGAGCGAAGCGAGATAGTGTGCTCATAGAGTCGATGAAGTAGATACGCCACCCCTCCACAAAATAGCTTGTTACAACACTATCTCGCTTCGCTCGACAGTGTTGCTCGATAGTGGAGCAACACTTTATAGCTTTCTACAACACTATCTCGTTTCGCTCAATAGTGTACTCATAGAGTCGATGAAGTAGATACGCCACCCCTCCACAAAATAGCTTGTTACAACACTATCTCGCTTCGCTCGACAGTGTTGCTCAATAGTGTCGCTCGATAGTGGAGCAATACTCAGTAGCTTGTTACAACACTATCTCGCACTGCTCGATAGTGTCATTAATTAGTGGAGCAACACTTCAGTAGCTTGATACAACACTATCTCGCTTCGCTCGACAGTGTTGCTCAATAGTGTTGCTCGATAGTGTTGCTCGATAGTATCTTCCAACTCTTTCTCCTTTGGAGAAACAAAATTTGACAATTTTTTTTTTTTTTTTTTTTTTTTTTTTTTTTTTTTTTTTTTTTTTTTTTTTTTNTGTTTTCCATCTCTTTCTCCTTTAAAAAAAAAAAATTTTAAAATTTTTTTTTTTTTTTTTTTTTTTTTTTTTTTTTCGATTTTTGCAATTTCAACAAGGGGAGTTACCATTAAAAGTCGAGATAAATTAATCAAGTATTCCCAAAGAGTATACACTGCAAGTTTTGACGTCATTGTGGCCAAAACTAGACAGAGAAACAGCTATACACAAACAGAGATCCTTTCACTTCTCCACCTCGAACCTCGCACCTCCCTGAATCCTTCCTGGCACTAATTTCAGCGTCATTCAAAAAAAATACAAACTTGACGAGTTTAAAAACACAAGACCCGTGTGTTTCCCAATGTCCGAACATCATGTAAAACACAATGGCAACACAAAAACTAGCACCGATAGCGACAATGTTATTAGCCATAGCCAGCCAAATGCGCAAACAATATCAAATTTATCAGTAGGGTTGAAATCTGTATCGATAGCGGATCAACAACAGAATGAATTGAACTTGAAGCTTTTACAGCAACAGTTACAGAATGAAACAACACACTCGTCGCGGGATAATCTACAACAACAACAGCAACAACAGCAACAACAGCAACAACAGCAGCAACAGCAACAACAGCAACAACAACAACAGCAGCAACAGCAACAGCAGCAACAACAACAACACCAACACCAACACCAACAACAATCAAGAATAACGCAATTTTTCCAAAACCAGCCTACCGAAGGGTACACCTTGTTTTCACATAGATCTGCACCCAACGGATTTAAAGTAGCGATTATATTATCTGAATTGAATCTACCATTCAACACTATTTTTCTTGATTTCAATGACGGAGAACAACGAGCTCCTGAGTTTGTTACCATAAATCCGAATGCAAGAGTACCTGCACTAATAGATCATTATAACGAAAACACATCAATATGGGAGTCGGGAGCCATTATATTGTATCTTGTTAACAAATTCATTAAGGAAAATAATGGAGAATGTACCTTGTGGAGTGATAATATTATTGAACAAAGTCAAATAAATTCATGGTTATTCTTTCAAACGAGTGGCCATGCACCGATGATTGGACAAGCTTTGCATTTCAGATACTTTCATTCCGTTCCTGTACCTAGTGCGGTTGAAAGATATACCGATGAAGTTAGGAGAGTCTATGGTGTTGTGGAAATGGCATTAGCCGAGAGAAGAGAAGCATTAATTATGGATTTAGATGTGGAAAATGCTGCCGCTTACAGCGCGGGCACAACACCCCTATCGCAATCGAGATACTTTGATTACCCGGTGTGGTTAGTCGGAGACAGAGCAACAGTTGCCGATTTATCATTCGTGCCTTGGAATAATGTAGTTGATAGAATTGGAATCAATTTAAAAGTAGAGTTTCCCGAAGTTTATAAATGGACAAAGTATATGATGAGAAGACCTGCTGTCATTAGAGCATTACGTGGTGACTAAAAAAATAATAATGATTTTATACTAAATAGGAATATATATAAGAGAAGTAAATACTAATCTTTCCAAACAATTGGTACTGATTTATCCAAACTGAATTGCTCTTGCCTATTTGCTTACTGTTTTAATTTTTTTCTTTTGGTGAGAGCATCGATTAAATTTTTTTCCAGGAGCAGAGAAAGAAGAGTAAAGAAGAAAAGACAAGAGCAGACAAGAGTAAAGAAGAGCAGACAAGAGCAGACAAGAGTAAAGAAGAGCAGACAAGAGCAGACAAGAGCAGACAAGAGTAAAGAAGAAAAGACAAGAGCAGACAAGAGCAGACCGGAAATGAGTTCTGAATTTATTCTAGGCCCAGATGCACGCCGACAGACTCAAAAGTCCTTGCGAGCTTTGAAGCAACATTTGAAAGAAACGACAAACGTTCATTCTTTAATATACCTCACTATCAATGTAAAAACGAAGCTAGCCAAATCCAAAGACTACAAACCTAGAGTTGTTCCCCTTACTTATAAATTAGACAAAGTGCCAAACAAGTCTATTCTGCTAATTACCAAAGATCCATCAAATGTTTATCGAGATGTGCTATTGGCTAAGGACTCGCCTACTGAATATTCATTCAATGAGATTATATCTTTGAAAAGACTCAAGTCAATGTCTAAACACCACAAGTTGTTGATCAAACTATATAAAGAAAATGACATACTTGTGGTTGACAATAGGATACAAAAGTTTCTACCTGAAATTTTAGGCCCTATGTTTTATCAAAAGAAGAAGAAGGTTCCATATATGATTCAAATGGCAAAGCCAGAACCTTCTTTACGCCGCCAACAGCAGCAGCAACAGCAGCAACAGCAACAGCAACAACTAAGAATATCAAAGCAAAATAAACTCAAAGATGATAGGTGTGACGCGAAATATGTATATGCTCAATTAAAGTCCATCGTGGGGAACACTTCATATTTACCAACAGTTAATCCCGGCGATGTAATATCGTTAAAAATCGGCTATGCAGACTGGGAAACGGACAAATTGCTAACAAATATTAATGACGTAATCAGCTACTTGGTTGATGAAAAGTACAGGCCCGTAGGAGGTATTTTGGTTTTAGATAACTTGGGAAGTATTCATGTAAAAAGTGAGGATAGTATTAGTTTAACTGTTGTTGCGGCTGCGGAGGAAGAACAGGAGGAAACCAAAATTGATGAAGATAACAGTGATTTCGACTTTTAGAGAAAACACACGGGCTTACTCGATAGTGTCGGTGGTGTCGCTACTAGTATCGCTACAAAGTGTGCCCCACTATTTCGCTCTGCTCGATAGTGTCGGTGGTGTCGCTACTAGTATCGCTACAAAGTGTGTCCCACTATCTCGCTCTGCTCGATAGTGATAGATCAAACTTACTTTCCAATTACAAACTTTGATACATAAAGTTTAATTTCAAAAAGAAAGTTATCAGATGAAATAGATAAAGCGCGGCTACCATGTGTCATCTGAAAAAATATATCATACAAGAAAATAAAAGACTTTTTCTTGTGCTTCTAGATCTACGCTTGTTAATTAATACAAGAAGGACCCTTGTTTATAGCGTATATAGATAATATATGACCATTAAAGAGACTGGGCTCAATGAGGGGGAGCTAGTATTGCCAATGTCATCAACACACAATTTTATATATTCGTCTTCCACTTCATCTCCATCTCCATCTAGTATGGAAACTCCGACAACTCCACCGGCGATGACTTCATCGGCAACAACTTCGTCGGCAACAACAACAACAACAACAACAACAGCAACACCACCGCCATCTTATGCATCTCATTTTTTCAGCAATATTCAAGCACTGGCTCCGATGCAATATCTTGGATCTTTGCTAGATCCTGTAGCCGACATCTACTATGAAGGAGATGAGGACGAAATTGAACAAATTGAGCATTTCAAATATAAGCAAGTTTTAGACCGAAAGTTAACTGTGACGTCAGTTATTGGACTAGGGTTTTCTGTCATGGGAGTACCGTTTGGTCTATCTTCTACTTTGTGGATAGCGCTTATGGACGGGGCTAATGTTACCTTATTATATGGGTGGATTCTTGTTTGTATAATGTCTTTGTTTGTTGTGCTAAGCTTGAGTGAAATTATATCAAAGTATCCAACCGCAGGGGGGGTTTATCATTTTAGTGCATTATTGAGTAGCGAGAAATATTCCTCAATCAGTTCATGGATCACCGGATGGTTGTTACTTATAGGGAATTGGACATATGCCATTAGTATAATGTTTTCAGGTTCCCAGTTCATACTATCGATTTTTGGCTTGCAAGATTTCGAATACAAGGAAGATAGACTTTATGTTATTGGAGTTTTCTACTTGATTTTAGCAGTTGCTGGATTTGTTAATTTCAAATTCGCCAAGTATTTGGAGATGATTAATAAAGCCTGCATTTTTTGGACAATCTATACCGTACTAGCAATTGATATCTTGTTGATATTTTTTGCCAAAAGGACAAATTCAATTAAACAAATTTTAACAACTTTCGATAACTCAAGATCCGGTTGGCCCGACCCGTTGGCGTTTATCGTGGGATTGCAAAGCCCGTCATTTACTTTGACTGGATATGGGATGCTATTTTCAATGACAGATGAAGTTAAAAACCCAGAAAAAAACATGCCAAAGGGTACTATTAGTGCCATTCTAATGTCTACAGTCACCGGATTAATTTTTATTATTCCAATATTAACAATCTTGCCTGAGTTGGAATTGTTACTAGACAAAAATTCAAATATAATGCCCATCGATTTGGTGTTTAAAATTTCCACAGAGTCCTATGTCGTAAGTTTCCTAATGGCTTGCTTGATGATTGGCACGATGATTTTCCAAAGTATTGGGTCTTTGACGACAGCTTCAAGGAGTACGTACGCTTTGGCTAGGGATAAGGGACTACCAATGGCTCAACATTGGACTCAAGTTGACTCAGTTGGTGACTGTCTTGTACCAAGAAACGCATTGTTTTTGTCCATATTGGTTTGTGCTGTTTTGTCGTTACTATCTTTGATATCAAAATCGGCTTTCAATGCATTTATGGGAGCTGCAGTCGTGTCACTAGCTGTTGCTAATGGTATCCCAATTCTTTTGTTAATGTTGAACAAAAGACAAAAGATCAAAGGAGCTGCCTTTAGATTAAGAAAACTTGGCTGGGCTATCAATGGAGTATCTGTGTTTTGGATTGCCCTTTCAATTGTTATATTATGTATGCCCCCAACCATCAAGAATTTGACGTGGACGAAAATGAATTATGCAAGTGTCGTTTTAGTTTTATTTTTGGCCATTGCGGCCGTGTGCTATGTGACATGGGGAAAGTCAAGTTTCACTGGACCGCCATTAGATACGGATTACTTTGAGTTGAATAATTTGGAAGCAGCAGGTAGAAACAATTTGGATACATTTGTTTTGGAGGAAGATGAGGAAGATGAGGAAGAGGATGAAGAGGAAGGAGAGGAAGGAGAAGGGGAGGGTTACCACGCATTGAATGTGAAAGTTCCTGAAGCCACTCATAAAAAATCATATCAGCCTCTTGAAGGTAATTCTAGTGGCATCGAGGAAAGATCCTACAACCTAGATGAACAGATTACTGAAAAGTTTCCCGAAAAACTTCACTTGGCCTCACACGATGAAGATAGAGATGTTAATGATGTATTATTTGAGGCTGAAACAGGAGCGGTAATGGACAATTCTTTTTAGGGAGATAGTGTCATTAATTAGTGTGCTCCACTATCTCGCTCTGCTCGATAGTGGAGCAACATTTTAGTAGCTTGTTACAACACTATCTCGCTCTGCTCGATAGTGTCATTAATTAGTGGAGCAACACTTTAGTAGTTTGTTACATCACTATCAAGCAGAGCGAGATAGCAGAGCAACACTTCAGTAGTTTGATACAACACTATCTCGCTCTGCTCGATAGTGTCGCTCGATAGTGTCACTAATCGATTCTCATTGCCCGTAACCGGTAACCGCTTTAGTTTTTTATAGAGAAAATAGACTTGCATTTGGTACATTAGCAAAGCCTCTGTCCCTGTGCCAATCTCTATCCTTCTCTCTCTCTTTTTAGTTTTGTCAATCCAGAAACGAGAATGTAAAGAAAGAAAAAAAGAAAAGAAAAGAAAGCTCATTGATAAAAAAAAAAAATTTCAGTTTGATAAAGCAAAAGGTTCAGTTTGATAAAGCTTACAACTTTGGAGAGCTTCTAGCAACAGCCGCCATTTGGAAGTTTGTATCTACTAAAAGCTACGTGTCGCTCTATAGAACTCATATATATACTCGCTCAGAATGTCTGCAGATCACACAAGAGATCCCTGTCCTATAGTGATACTTAATGATTTTGGAGGTGCTTTTGCCATGGGGGTCATTGGTGGATGCGTGTGGCACGGTATAAAGGGGTTTAGGAACTCCCCCCATGGAGAGAGAGGATATGGTGCACTTTCAGCTATAAAGGCAAGAGCGCCAGTAGTTGGAGGTAATTTTGGTGTTTGGGGTGGATTGTTTTCCACTTTTGATTGCACGGTGAAAGCTGTTCGTAAAAGGGAAGATGCCTGGAATGCGGTTATTGCAGGGTTTTTCACAGGTGGTGCTTTGGCAATAAGAGGAGGTTGGAAACATACTAGAAACTCAGCTATAACTTGTGCTTGTCTTTTGGGTGTGTTTGAAGGTGTTGGTATGATGATGCAAAGACTTCAAGCACAACCAGCTATGGCACCGGTGTATCCAGAAGAAGCACCGGTTAAACTTGCTGCTTAGAAGAAACAAGAAGGAAAAGGGGACAAGAAAAGGAAAGAATGAGAGATTGACACTATTGAGCAACACTATTGAGCAACACTATCGAGCAACACTATCGAGCTGAGCGAGATAGTGTTGTAGAAAGCTACTGGGTGGGTGTTTGTCAAAACATGTATATACGCGTTGTCATAAAAAAGAATATCATGGCATAGTAACACTATCGAGCGACACTATCGAGCGACACTATCGAGCGAAGCGAGATAGTGGAGCATCTCTGACTACATCTACATTATCGACACTATCGAGCAAAGTGAGATAGTGTAGTACATCGATTAATAACACTATCTCGCTCTGCTCGATAGTGTTGTAACAAGCTATTGAGTGTTGCTCCACTATCTCGCTCTGCTCGATAGCGGAGCACACTGATCTCGCTCTGCTCGATAGCGGAGCACACTGATTAATAACACTATCTCGCTTTGCTCGATAGTGTTGTAACAAGCTACTGGGTGGATGTTTGTCGAAACATGTACATACACATTGTCATAAAAGAATATCGGCATAGTATGAGATTTTTTCTCCTCTCGACACTATCGAGCGACACTATCGAGCGCGGCACTATTGAGCAGTGACACTATTGAGTAGCGACACTATCAACCAGAGCGAGATAGTGGAGCACACTGACCGATGCTATAGAAACTATCGAGCTCTGCTCGAAAATAGAGCAACACTTTGTAGCTTTCTACAACACTATCTCGCTCTGCTCGATAGTGTTGCTCGATAGTGTTGCTCGATAGTGTTGCTGTTAGTGTCGAGAGTTTTTTTCCTTAGCCAAGCCTCTCATCTCACAGACTAAACTCTTTTCCCACCTCTAAAGACAGTTTAACCACTTGAATAAGTAAATTCTAGATCTATATGCGAGTTCTCTTTGAATCCACACATTAGTTATTGTTCTACTTAAATAGGTTTTTGTTCCTTTTATCTTTAAACCTTCTTTTACGCTGGACTCTCCTTGAATTGATTACCCCCCCCTTCCCCCCCTTCCCCCTCCTCTTCTCGCCTCTTGCCTCTCGCCTCTTCACCCCCTCTTCTCTTCCCCCGCCCCTTAATTTCGAGCCCCCCCCCCCCATTAATCATTTTTGCTTTTCTTCTGGTAACAATTATTTGCCTTGGTTGATTTTACTTCAGCTCTTTACATCTGTTTTTCACTAACTAGCAAAAACCAAAAAGTCAAAACGATAATAGTAACCTTTAAATATATATTTAGGTTACATACACCAATTGTTGAATATAAATCAGTACCAAAGCTGAACAAGAATTTAATTACTCTTTATAGTCATTGAGTGATCATCTACTGACAGGGAGTCAAAAGAAAGAGAAAGAGAAAGACAAAGAGAGTGAGCTCCTTAATGGCATATAATTACAATTATCGACACAACTCGATAGGTGGCAATTGGCGTTTGCCACCACCAGCTCAACAGCAGCAGCAACAACAGCAACAACAACAGCAGCAGCAACAAGGTCAGCATAATGGATCAAACGACGTTATCCCTGAACAATTACATCCCCCCCAACAACAAGCTACTGCTAGCTGCTACAAACAAAATCAAATACCAGGATTTCGTAATCCGTGGTTCTCAATTAACTCAATTAGCTCTGCTGCCACTTCGCCCAACTCAGCACCATTGTCTGCCATTTCACAATCACCGACAAAATCGCAGCACATTTCCTTACTTCATCAGCAACCTCCACAATTGAATAAACGGCTATCCTTCACTAACCAGTTGCCCACCACATACGAAAACGAAAATAGTCACAACTCAAATCAGCCTCCTTTTGTGCAGCCTCCAACTCGAGCCGATAACCCTTTTGCGCAATATTTCGCTAACCAAGAGGTATCACTAAATAATGCTGCCAGCGATCGTGGAATGTCATCAGCAATTGACGGAACATATTATAACAGTCCTTACGGATATAATTCACAAATAGATTCCGGCACGTTACAATCTCAGGTACCTGGGGGAGGAGGAGGAGGAGGAGGACTTTCGCAAATGTTAAACAATTCTTCTTTAGGACCAGGTGCAGGCGGTATACTTAATCGAAGATCATCCATCCCTGCTGTGCCACTTCATTATCAACAGAATCCAATGATAACCTACGAGAATAAAGGAGGGGGGTATTTGGTCACGCCTTCGCAAGCTGGGAGGTCTCCATCAATTGTTCAACAATACCAGCAAGCTCTTCAAAATCAAAAGAGTTTTAAGTTGAGGAAGGCACCGAAAGCAAGAAAAATATATAGTAAACTGGACTTGAGTCCCAAGATTCATCATCAACCAAAATATAGACGATGTTCTATTAATTCCATCCATATATCACCTGTTAATGCGTTATCTGTTTATCTTACTGAATCATACAGCATATGCCAGCCCAGAAAGTTCCAGTACTCGAGATTAACCAATCCGAAAAGAGTACTTACAAAGCCACTGGAACAAAAATACAATAATGGTTTTGATAATGAAGAGAGCGATTATATTTTGTACGTTAACGATGTATTAGGAAGCGAAGAAGGAAGAAAATACATGGTTCTAGATCTTCTTGGATCAGGAACATTTGGCCAAGTTGTCAAATGCCAAAACTTGACTAACCAAACAGTTTGTGCTGTTAAAGTTATTAAATCGAAGCCTGCTTATATAAATCAGTCGCTAACAGAAGTGCGGTTGTTGGAATTTTTGAATAACAATAGTGACGGCAAACATTTCATTAGATTGTTGGACACATTTATGCACAAGGAACATTTGTGTTTAGTATTTGAGCTACTAGCGTCGAATTTGTACGAATTAATAAAGCAAAACCAATTCCAAGGGTTGAGCATGAGATTGGTCAAATTGCTAACAAAGCAATTGTTGGAATCACTTGCTGAGCTTAAAAACTTTCAAATGATTCATTGTGATTTGAAACCGGAGAATATTTTATTATGCCAACCAGATAAACCAAACATCAAGGTTATTGACTTTGGATCTGCGTGTTTTACGCGTCAAACAGTTTACACATATATTCAGTCCAGGTTTTACCGATCACCCGAGGTGATCCTTGGATTGCCCTATACCGAATCAATTGATATGTGGTCCCTAGGATGCATAGTAGGAGAGTTTTTTTTGGGTTTGCCTATGTTTCCTGGCACTTCAGAGTATAACCAAATTTGGAAAATAGTTGATATGTTGGAACTTCCTCCGCGTCATATGATTGAGGTTGGTAGAAATGCGCTAAATTTTTTCAAAAGAGTACCAGGGCAGATCCCAGATGAGAAACCAAACTATGCGTTAAAAACATTTGAAGAATATACCAAGTTCCTTGAAGCGTTCAAGAAATCAGCAGAACACTCGCATGGATCGAGCCATCTGCAGAAAAAGGAGCAACCAAATAAAAACTATTTCAAACATAAGCTGTTGAAAGATATCATTTTAAACTACAAGATGCCTTCAAAGAAAATGACAAATTCAATGATTGAAAAGGAAATGCAAGAACGATTATTGTTAGTGGACTTTTTAACAAAAGTGCTAAATCTTAACCCCCTAGAGCGACTAACCCCACAAGAAGCATTGAAACATCCATTTATTCAAGACGTGAGAACAATCGACCTCTCAACTTAGCTTTAGGAATCTTCTTTTACCCCATACCCTCCCCTTTTTGTTTAATTCATTTAATCAATAATAGCACCTTCTTCTTCTTCTTCCTCTTCTTCTTCTTCTTCTTCTTCTTCCTCCTCCTCTTCTTCTAGTAGCTGTATCAATTGTCAAAGTCGTGTGAGTTTGTCAAACACAATCTTTGAAGAAAAAAAAAAATTATCAGAAAAAAAAGAACAAGACAATACAAGCCATACAATACTCTAGTTGATAAAAGTCTGGATTAACGGACCCTCCCACCCCTTCCCTTTGACCTTGTAGCTAAGTCATATACTGTAAATATACTACTGAATTGGAGAGTGTTATTTTTTCAAGGAATTACGTTGGTATTGTATCTTGTTTTTTTGTCTGGTTTCGATATTCGACTTATTAATTTAAAGCTGAGTATCAATATATTATCAAATTATTTATTATACGGTGGTCCCCCTCCTTTTGCATAGTATAGTTTTCATATTGGAAATCTCATTAGTCAAGTAGCAAATGAATGTCAGTACCAGTGCTTTGGGAGTTAGACGAAGAAAAGTAGCGACACAAAACATAGATGATGAGGAAAATTCGGCGGTACTAAAACTAGGACCAGAATTTCGATTGAATCAACTAACAAACTCCGGAGAAGAGCAGCAATTGATTGCATTGAACTTATCTGAGGCAAGACTTTTAATAAGAGCTGCTTTGAAGGAGCGTAAGAAGAGCCAAAGAAAGGGCGGAGTTGGCAAACAACATCAGCAGCAGCAGCAACAACACCTGCAACAACAACAACATCTGCAGCAACAACATCTGCAGCACCCTCTGCAGCATCTGCAGCAGCAACAGCAACAGCAAAATCGGCAAAAGGATATAAACGACTCGGATTCAGACTCAGATGATGATATGAACACCAAGGAAGATGAAATATCTAATATTGAATTGGCAGGTCCGAATCTGAATGAAATAATGCACAAGACACTAAACTATTTAACCAATTTTGCCAGATTTAAAAATAGGCTGAGCTGTGAAACAGTTGAGAAATTACTCAACGATTTCAATGAGCAACATTGTACTGAGCCTTTACACCCTTTTGAAATTGCCCAATTGGGCACTTTGGAGTGCGAGGATTCAGAAGAGGCCAAGAGTTTGATACCTAGTTTGAATGGTAAGGTATCCGATGCGCACTTGCAAACTTTATTGACAGAATTGAGAAAGTACCAAACGTTATCTTGATTAGATTATTAAACTTTATATAAATCAAATTGTGGATGAGGAGTAGTAGCAGGAATAGGTGGCGATTCCAATGGCAACGGTTCCAATCAAACCCTTCTGAACCGGATGAGAAAAGCGTTGGAACCCGCAATGTATTATTATCAACTAGATAACATGAAAAAGCAAAAAAAAAAAAAAATTGCAAGAAAAGTAAAGAACAAAAAGAATAAATTAAGAACTCTATTCTTCTCAATGGCAGGATAATGTTTTCTATTTCTAACATATGGCCTTGGTTTCAGATATGTACCTGCTTTCTACACTCTCTTAAAGATAAAAATGTAGATTTTTCAAAATCTCTGAAAGAGGGAAAAAAAATTGAAAAAAAAAAAAAAAACCACTTAACTTTCCAAGATAAACCACCAACCTTTTCAACCAAAAGGAGAAGAAGATATGGAGGAAGAAGATTTGTATGATGAATTTGGAAACTATATAGGTAGTTCCAAAGACTCTGATGTGGAAAGTATAGAGAATAATGTTGAAGCTACAAGTATAAATAATGTTGAAGGACAACAGGCGATGGCCTTGACCAGAGATGAGGAGGAACCAGATCTCACGGAGGAGGCCACAAGTCAAGCATTGGTTAAGAGCCGCTCAGTAGCTAAAAATGAAGGAGAAATGATTTTCATTGATGCAATTGAACCTTTATCTGAAAGACCTGTAATTAGCCCCAATGTACAGAAGCAGATAAAAGAAGAAGTCATTTATGAGGATAACCTTGCATCTTTTGGGCAACAACAACAAAATAAGTTTCTAAAGGACACAATGAATAAAGTTCCTGAAAGAATACGAAATATTACAATTATGGGCAGTCACCAATCGGGGAAAACCAGACTAATTGACTCGTTACTTTTGCATTCACATACACTTCCCAGTGAAACAGCTGAAAAGCTTAAGCTGGCACCACGGTACCTTGACAATCACCGGTTGGAAATTGATAGAGAAATGACAATAAAGACTCTGGCGATGACAATGATTCTTGAGGACAAGAGAAATCGATCTTTTGCATTTAATATACTCGATACTCCTGGTCATGTAGATTTTAACGACGAGGTGATTGCCGCGCTTGAACTTTCTGATGGCGCAGTGTTGGTCTTGGACGTTGTTATTGGCGTTACTTTTCAAGATCAAAAACTCATTAACGAGATTATGAAAAGGAACATGCCTCTAGTTTTAGTCATTAACAAAATAGATAGGTTGATTTTGGAATTGCAATTACCACCCAAGGATGCATATTTCAAGATTTTCAACATTATTGATGATGTAAATCAACTTATCCAACAAAGTGAATATTTTGAGTCTTTTTCGCACCAAAAAGAGTTTTCCCCGTTACTAGATAACGTCGTGTTTGCTAGTGCTGATTTTGGCATTTTCTTTAGTTTGAGAAGTTTCACCGAGTTGTATTCTCAAACACAAGTCCAATTAAAAGCAGATTTCGATGAGGAGTTTGTGGGTATGCTATGGGGGGAATATTTTTTTGATCCGCAGCAAAACGCAATTACAGATGACTCCCGTAATGGCCAATTGTCAAGGACGTTTGTGGCGTTTGTTCTAGATACATTATACAAAATCACATCTTTAGTATTAATTTCCATGCCATCTGATAAGAAGCTACCTAAGCTACTTTGGCAAAACTTTGGAGTCTCGATTCCAAAAAGGGAGTATAAAAAGGACATTAAACAATTATTGAAAGTAGTTTTTATGACCATTTTCGAGGGAAATACGGGGTTTGTTGATTCCATAACGAGCCATATTCCACTGCCGTTGAGCAACTTAAGCAATACTGGAAATGAGTCTCGAATACTAGGAAAAATTGCAAAGCTTGTGGAAACTCTGGATGGTAAAGCCTTCTTTTGCTTAGCCAGAGTCTACCTGGGCAATTTAAAAGTTGGCGACAGCATTGGAATATATACTGGCGGATCAGACAAGGATGCCAAAATGTGTAAACAGGAAACGATAGGACAAATTTTTATACCAGGAGGCAGATGTAATTTCCCCGTCACTGAGACTGGTCTAGGCACAATTGTGTTAATTGAAGGTATTGACTCAAGCATCAAAAAAGGTGCTACAATAGCAAATTACACAGAAGAAGCACCGCCAATTTTTGAAATACCAAGATATAGTATTAATTCAGTATTCAAAGTCGCTATTGAACCAGAAGACCCACGTCAGAGACCTTTGCTTCTTGAAAGTTTGAGAAAGGTCAATAAATCGTATTTATCAACAGTCATAAATGTCGAAGAATCGGGAGAGATTACAGTTCTCGCCCCGGGAGAACTCTCTATGGATTGCGTTCTACACGATGTGAGGATCTATTTTGCTGATGATTTGCGAATCAATGTAAGTGATCCATTGACTGTGTTTTCCGAGACTTGTACACAAACATCGTTTACCAAAATACCAGTAAGCACAAATACAGGGGAGTTTACAATTTCAATTATTGCCGAACCTGTGAATGATCCGCAACTAAGTTATGCAATTGAATCGGGAAAACTCAACATTCATCAAACAAAAAGGGAAATCTCATCCATTTTGAAAAAAGACTTTGATTGGGATGCATTAGCTGCAAAGTCAGTTTGGTCATTTGGCCCTGATGATCTTATTGAACCGGACATCTTGCTAGATGACACTTTGGAAATGGAAACTGATAAAGTGCGACTACTAGAACTCAAAGAATTGATAAAGTCTGGTTTTACATGGAGTATTAGTGAAGGTCCATTAATTGGTGACACTATCCGAAACACAAAATTTAAAATATTAGATGCTACGTTCAAAACAAAGACAGATTCATCACTCAACTCAGCACAAATCATACCGTTGATTCGACGTGCGTGTTATACCGGATTGTTAACTGCAAATCCTAGATTATTGGAGCCCATATATAGAATGGATTGCATTTGTTTTTACAATAACATACGCGTGATAAATGAGTTGTTGAAATCGAGAAGGGGTTATATCAAGAAGCAAGAGGCAATAGAAGGAACCCCTTTGCATCATGTTGAAGGGTACTTGCCAGTTATTGATAGTTTTGGATTTGCATCTGATGTAAAACAGCATTGTCAGGGAAAAGCGAGCGTTTCATTAATTTTTTCACATTGGCAAATCGTTCCTGGCGATCCTTTCGATATGGTTTGTCAGTTACCAAGACTCAAACCAGTCCCAGAGGAATCGTTATCTCGTGATTTTCTACTAAAGACGAGAAAACAAAAGGGCTTAACTGGCGAACCAACTTTGCAAAAATACATTGATCCCGAGTTTTACGAAAAATTGAAAGAAAGAGGATTAGTTTTGTAAAAGAGAAGGAAAGAAAAAAAAAAAAAGGGGGGGTGTCCAATGTCTTCTTGTAGTCACTGAGAGTATATTCCAATTTGTATTGAAGTTTTATTCTGTGTACATAGTTTGAAACCTATTGAAATTTGCCAACTTTCTTTCCCTCTTACCTTTCTGAACTGCATTGATCGCTATAATTACCATTACCCAACAGCAAACCCAAGTTTTTCTTTCCAAAAAAAAAAAAAAAAATGAAAAAAAAAACAAAATCTAAAAAACTACTGGATTGCGTAACTTAGTTTCAACCAAACCATTTGTCCCCTTGATCACCTATTATCCCTATTCCAGACCCTCTGATGGATTTCAATTGGTAGTCTTGTATTCGAAACGGAACGTAAAGATGTGTATTTCCTTAATAAACCCAATAATGATTTTAATATCGCTTTTTCCCTCCTGTTTCCCTACTCTATAGATTCCATTGCATCATTTGCGCATTAACAACGTAAATGTTCCCCAGAAATGTCTCCAAGTGGAGCTTTATTGTTGACCTCTTTCTTTCGTATTTTTTTCTTCTTTTTGCTTCTCATATGTTTTTCTTTTCATTACTCAGTTTTTCTCTTTTTGCGTGGCAGTTCATCAATCTCTGCATCTACTGATAAAATTCCTTCAAATCCACCCTTATTCTGTACGGTTTCAACTAAACCGTTGAATTTTGTAATGAATCGAGACTGGGTGGTCAAATCGAAATTCAAAAACGTTGGAATATTATCCTTTGAATCAGAACAGTCACAAAGTTTATAATACAAATCAATGAAATCCCCAATAGTCAAATCCTTACAATAAACATTATCTTCGGTAAGGGAAATCCCTCCAAATTGTGGGATGCTTAGTATGATTTCCTCACTCACCTTAAAAATAAAGCCTTCTACACTTCGAAGTAAACCAAAGAATTCTTCGATTGAAAGTGATTGTATGGAGTTATCACTGAATAGCGTGGATAACTCTCGGTCCGTGTCTGTGTTTGGGTTTGGATATAGTAAATATTTCTCATTGTTATAAGTGACATATACGGAAACGGTGTCGTGGGTTTTCTCGGTCGCACTATCGGTAAATATAATTGGTTCTTGAGAGTCAAGATTTCTCGTTAATGTGTTTATGTCATCTATGTCCTCGTTGAAATTTTCCTCTAAATTTGAACCTAGTCGCTTGTATTGTTGGTCTTCCTCTTGACTCGTCTCTTTTTCTTCAAAAATCAGTGTTTCCTTTTTGCCATTTCCTATTATGATACTAATCTTTTCCTCTCCATTATGCTCTTCCACTTGTGGTTCGGGTTTTCCTGCACTTTCAAAAGTTGGTGGAGTTGGATCAGCCTCAGCAACATCTCGACATTCGCCCAATGCTTGATTGTGGCTAGTTTCTGATTCGTTTGATGGACGGACCTGTGAATTTACTGTGTCATAGCCTTGTGATAAGGTATCAGTTTCCATAGTAGACTCTGTAGAACCATCAGCTACAGAGGCTTTATCTTCTATACAATCTTGAGCTTGCTCATCCACTAAAGATCCAACAGCGTTATTAACATCAATGGGGGTATCTTCGTGACTAGTTAGCATTTCTTTGTCTTGTTGAAGTTCATCCTGAGGCGGATCATCGGCAGTAGGCAATTGTACAATTTCAACATCCTCATCGTCGTCATAAACCAACTCTTCGTCTTCTTCGTTTACTTTTTCTTCTTCTTTCTTGTTGTTGTCCATAACATCCACATCAATGTTTGCTTCAGTTGAGACTAATTTCCCCCTTTGATCAACATTTCCGTTGTTTATAGTGTCAATATTGGCTTTATCAAGGTCATCTGGATGATTATCTTCAACAGCATCGTTATTCTCTTGAATGTTGCTGACTGGCTCTGAATTCCGCGTCTCTTCAACACTCAAAATAGCTTCAGAATCACCATTACCAGTAGTGCTACTTGTAACAGCTTCAGAATCACCATTACCGGTAGTGCTACTCGTAACAGCTTCAGAATCACCATTACCAATAGTGCTACTCGTAACAGCTTCAGAACCACCATTACCGGTAGTTCTACTCGTAACAGCTCCGTTATGTGTGAGAACCTCAAACGCGTGTGTTGAATCTTTCTTTTCCAAATCAGCACCTTCACTTTTGTTCTCCCTTACGTCATAATCGTCGTGGTTGGTTTCCTCCACCAAATTAATTACGTTAGCAGTTGGCTTTTCAATAGGTTCGTCACTTTGTACACTAGTTATTCCTCCCTGTTCTTCACTCATTAACAAATCGGCCTTGCCTTCACACATAATCTCTCTCTCTCTCTTTCTCTCTTTCTTTTTTTTTCTAGTATTGAAAATGTGTGAAAACAAAAACTCTCAATGATGGGTCACGAGTTTTATTTCTTTCCCACTAAACCCACAATTGTTAGTAATTAAAGTAAATCTTAAATGTATACTCACAAAGTACTCTATTTTGAGTCACTTGGTTGTTCGTTTAGAAAGAAGTGAATAACACACTAAGATGTTAAACTGCGGTTTTTCTTTCCTCTTCTTAAAGTTTTTGATGAGTTTTTCTTTTGTCGCAAACCCGTTTATTGTCGTGTCGCAAAACATGTTAATAAAGTTTTTTCAAATCAAGAAAAGCTCAAATAGAAAATAGCTTGGAGATAAGGTATATGTATTCAATTATAAATAGAAAGAAATGGTAAAGATATATTAAGCTGTAATGACCAAAAGCATCAAACAATGTATTATATATATATATATATATCTTCTATGGTGCCCACACTCTGAATGTTTGCGGAGAGGTCAATGACAATGGCTTATAATCGTCATTTTGATAATCAGCGTTACTTTTAGATACCAAACTAGTATCATCCGACAGTTTGGTATGAATCTCCTCCAACAGTTGTTTCGTTGGCTTGTATAACAAAACTTTGGCATCATCTATCAAGCTGCGCACTTCGTCCGGTTTCCCTTCACTCCTACTCTCAAGTAGATTGCATGCCTCTTCCAACTTCTTTATAACTCCAATGGTAGATTTAGTCAATGCTAATCGATCCATAAAGTTAGATTCGACTTGCTTGGCCAAGTTCTGCCTCTCACGCTCATATATCTTCTCCAATTCCTCGATTTTAGACAATTTCGTTTCAACCTTAGCCAACTCATGATTGATAATATTGGCACTGATCTTATTCATCTCCCGTTCTTCGTAACATGCAAATAAATGACTTCTGGCCCCTACAATACCAAATGTGGCCGCCATCGCATCTTTCTCATCAGGGTCTCGACCCCTGTGTCCATTTTGTTCCAAAATCGTGTCCTTGTTTCCAGTCGTTGATTCTCCTTCACTTGCTTTCTTTTCCTCTTTATCCCCATACACCTCGGTCACCTTTTGTTTCATAGACTCATCCATAGCTTTGCTGGCAGCTTCACTGGCTACTTTGGCAACTTCGGAATCCACTATTCTGGTCATAAATACCAAATTGGCTAAAACAGGATTATCGACCGAGTTCACAGGATAGTTCGACGAAAACTTCAACAATTCTGCTATTGCCTTGACATCATATCTGGCTGGATCAAATTTATCTTCCAATGGCATCTTCAAAAATTTGAGCACGCACTGTTGCGGGGTTTTGTTCGAGCCCACTGCATCGGCAATTTGATACCAATCATTTTTGTACGTCTTGACTGCATTCACGAGCTTGGAATACTCATCTACAGTCCAACCATCATCATCTTGTTTCTTCTTCTTCTTCTTGAGCGGTTGCTTAACGTCATCAGGGATATCATCTGTAGCGCTATGCTTTCTATTCTCACCATTGTTGTCACTCATCGTTGGACTAGTATGGCTATTATTGATTTGTAAAAGTTTTCTCAATTTGCTAACATCAACTCTTTCCGGAGGTATCCTAGATGTATCAAAGGGAAAAAGTCCACGGGGCGTGTCAAATTTAACATGATAATCACCAGTATAGGGTAGCTCAACCAGCAGTCCATTTGGAGCTTTTTCGAGAGCATACCCTGGTTTGAATTGGGGTCTCACTTGATAGTTGATTAAGCCCCACTTGTTTAAAAATCTGTGCACCCGCATTAAAGTTCCCACGTCTCCTACCAAGTTACGACGGCACGATGTCAAAGTTAAAAACTCATTGGGGTTTAATCGATAAGCATTAATCATAAAATTTCTATAATTGGCATATAATTTGGGGGATTTAGAAGGATGTGTAGAATCAAAAAATTCTGGCAAGGATTCTTTTTCAATCTTGTGTATCTTTTTCATGTTGAACCAACTTGCATATGATGGTATCACTATCAAATGTGTTTGCTTATATTTTGGAGCTTCTTTTGCAGGTTCTTCAGTGTTGTCCTCTATAACTTCTTCCTCTGATTCTTCGTCTTCGTCTTCAACTTGAACTTCAATATCATCAGTTTCCATTGACATTGATTTGGCTTCTTTGGTAGGTTCTGGCTTTGTAGCACCACCACCAGTAGTAGTGGCAGTGGCAGTCTCCTTTGCTGACATATTCAAAGACGGCTGATCATCAGGTTCCTGTTTCACTTGGCTGACGATGTTTACTGAATTAGACTGAGTAGTCGGTTCGTTACGATGAGTTTGCAGCAGAGGCTCTTCATTGTTTAGGTCTGCATCTTGAGAAACCTTCTTTGCTGTATTATCCTCAGCGTTGGATTCCTCTTTCAATTTATCATCAATTGCCAAACCTGCATCAAACAGAGGGTCATCAACTTGAATTTGTTTCAAAATCTCGTCTTCTCCAGCTTCTTGTCTCAATTCTTCCATCTCGTATTTTTGGCTACCTTTTGCATCTGCAAAAGCCTCATCATCATTGTCATCATCATCATCTTTTTCTTTCTCTTTCTCTTTCTCATTTTCTTTTTCTTTTTCTTTTTCTTTTTCTTTTTCTTCTTTGTTTTCTTCACTCGTTTCTATATGCATATCAACGTCCATATCATCTATGCTACTTTTACCCAAATCATATTTTTTGCCAATGGAATCAGGGTGATTTACAATCTCGCCATTAAGTGTTGTCGTAATAGCAGTATTGTCGCTTGGCTCATTAAAGTGGTTAATCTTCTCTGACCCATTATCTTCTGGTATACTCTTTTGATTAAGACCTTGTTCATCTAGTTCTTTCTCCGGTCCCAGTTCTGGCTCCATTTCCAGCTCCATTTCCATTTCCAGTTTTAGTTTTAGTTCCAGTTCCAGTTGCAGTTCCATTTTAGATTCTCCTTTTACTTCCAATTCCGGTTCGATTTTTATTAACTCGTCTTCTTTCTTATCGGTGCTGCTATTCTTGTTGTCATTGTCTTTAATATCCCGAGTTTCAATGATTTCACCATGTTGTCCACTTTCTTTGTCTCCTCCTTCATTACTTTCAGTGTCAGATCTCTGTGCATTCCCTACTAAAGTTTCTACCTCATTGGTATTTTTCGTTTCTGTGGGAGGAGTTTCCTCTTTGAATGCAATGTCATTAAAAGTTTCATCTTTTGGAAGAGCTGGTAGTTTTTCTTCTACAAAGGCATCTGCACACTTTTGTTCATTTTCAGCATGAATTGCATTGACTTTCAAGTCGAGTTCAGAAGCATTGTCATAGTTTTCTCCTTCCTTATTATCATTCTCCTCAAAAGCAAAGTTTTCTCCATTATTGTCATTATTTTCCTTCTCTTCAATTATGCTATTCAATTCGTCAACCGACCTATCTCTATCACTCATTTTTTCAGCATTTGAATGAGACAAAGAGTCCAGCTCTAGATCTTGTAGCACTTGTTCTTTCTCCTTCTCTTGGTGTAATGCATTCATTTCTTCTACTTGTTTTTCATCCAGTTGTTCCACTGAAATTTCTTGCTCAGTTTCAGGCTTATCTCGGTCACCTTCATCCTGTGAACCTTGCAGAAACACGTCATTTCCATCATCTTGACTTTTTCGATTTTGCAAATCGGGATTTTTCTCATCTGACAACTGAGAACTCATTTTTGACAAAACGTTACCTCTTGGTTGAAACTCAATGGGTTACCCAAAAAAAAAAAAAAAAATAAAAAATAAAAATAAAACAACTCTACTCTAAAATTGAGTAAATCAAATAAACCTGTCACAATGGGCTTTTGTCACGATGGGTGCAAATGTATGTTTTAGTTGTCTTATATATACAACCAAAACTGCTTTTGTAGATTTCTGCTCTATCAGGAGTTATCTGTTTGGCTACCGGGGGGACAATAATTATTAATAATAATACAGTGAAATTTTTTTGATTCTTGTAAATGTAACTTTTGCTCAAAAATTGGAAAGATAGATAGTATCGTATCAGCTTGATCTTGGCATTCAAATGGGTCCGACGTCTGACCTTTTGTATACCTCCTTATCGCCTTATACACTCGGTATCTCTCTCTCTCTCCTGAGTAACTCACTCTCTACCTTCTTTAGTAGTTAATCGTTCTTTCCGCTCTCTCTTATTCTCTCTCTCTCTCTCTCTCTCACTTTTTTTTTTCTCTCTCTCTCTCTCTCCCTCTAGCAATTTGTTTTGATTATTTTTTTGGGCACAATCGCACTACCAGGAAAACAACACACGCTTAAAAGGTGTGTTGGGAAGCAAAGCAAAATTGAGTGATGTACACGCCCTCAAACAACAAATACCATATAAAGCACCAGCACCCAGCACTAGCACCAGCACCTCAATTATTTTTTGCTTCTGAACAGGCTGGGATTGGATAGATAGGTAAGCTTTTAAACACTCAATTTGCAAGTAGAACTCAATAATAGTCAACCAGAATTCAATAAGCAACCAGCAAAAGACATCTACTGTGACCAAGCACCTTTCCCACAATACAACTGTAGAATGTTAATACAACTATAGAATGTTGATACAACTGTAGAATGTTGATACAACTGTAGAATGTTGATACAGCTGTAGAATGTTGATACAACTGTAGAATGTTAATACAACTGTAGAATGTTAATACAACTGTAGAATGTGGTTTAATTTTTGGCAGTAAAACTCTAAACGCGGCCTTTTGAGAAAAGAAAAAAAAAACAACCAATAACTCCGAGGTTTAATTTTTGTTATCAACCCACACGGGCTAAAAAAAAAAAATCTCAAGGGGGAAAGAACCGTTTTAGTGGAAATAGTATAGGAAGGAAACGTTTAGTCAATTACCATACGGGAAGAACCCATTTGAGGCAAAAGGAAAAAAAAAAAAAAGAAAATGCAAAAAAATGTGGGAGTCCATCTTATTTTCATATGGAGGAAGCACACACTTTCAAATCTGCACTTTGAGCTTTCGCACTCCTATTCTTTTTCTTTTGTCTTATCTTTATTCCCCTTGTAATTCAAAGTTGCAACATGAAATTAATTTGATACCTCTGATTGTGTGTTATACTTTGCTAGCACTTTTTTCTCTTTACTTCAACACACGCACCCCCTTTCAACAATAATTTCTTTTTTTTAAGGATTAGTTCAAGGTTAATTGTCTTTAAGGATTAATTGTCTTTTCGTATTATGATTTGTAATTTTCTTGTTTTTTTTCCTACACTTGCATGCTATTTACTTCATTGTCTTTATGTAGTGATAAGTTTTGGTAACTGGGAGATTGCAATTCACACCGAGAAGAATGAAAATGCTATTCAATTGCTTCCTACACCAGTTCTACTGAATCCAATGCGAATTCGATTCAAATGACTACTCCTCTTTATCCCCCTCCACTCCTCCTTTTCCTTTTAGCTCCTTTTCCATTTAACTCCTTTTCTATTCAACTCCTTTTCCATTTAACTCCTTTTCCATTCAACTCCTTTTCCATTTAGCTCTTTTTCTTCCTTTTAGCTTCCTCTTTTTCCCCCCCGTTTCAAGCAACCAGTTTTTGCCCACTCAAAACTCTATTCAAAGCACAATATATCCTTCATTTATGATACATCTCTAATACCTCGCAAATGAGCCAACACACGGGTTTGATTGGCGACTGTTGAGGGCGACATTATCTTCACTAAGCAAATGAAAAGATGTCATTCTCACAAGGGTTTGATTATTGTGAATATGGTCATTACCTACTTTTAATCAAGAAAGAGAGAGTTGAAAGAAGAATAGAAATGTGTATGGTTTGGAAATTGAAATTGAAACGGGAATCTGTTTAATTATATAATGAATATACATATAGTGAATATATATAGTGAATACATATAGTCACAATAATATAAATGTAGATAAATACATTACTCCATCGATTAGAATAAAACAACAACAACAACAACAACAACAACAATAAAAGCAAGTAACTACAAGAGAAACTACGATAATTGCAACTATGTTGACATCAAAATCGTAAGTTTTCCTACTTATCAATTGCCTTGATCAACTTTTTAATTCATCATTCCGTTCCCTTGATCTTTCTATTTTAAATCTCTCCAACAATGTCTTTTACTTCTTCAAGAGAGTTTCTACAAAATAAAAGAAAATAAAAAGAAAACTCATTACTTCCCAAGTAACCGCAAGCTACGGCTCTTAATTTCGTTGTTGTTGTCCTTGTCAAGTGTGTTGTCTGTTGAGTTGACCTGGTAGAATATTCAATTTCACAAAATTCAAAAGAATTTTTATTATAAAAATTTCGTACATAATATATGTTACACAAACACTATCATCTTTTTCTTTTTTAATAGTGATGCAAGTATATATCCAGTATATGCAGTCAAATAGTAAGACCTTATGACTATATCTTCAATGATTTGATGTGACATATTAGTAGCTACTTACACCTCAAGGAGTGGGGAGAGTCGGAAAGGAAACAAATCAGGTAATGAGACAAAGAATAGAGAACAGTTAGACTTTTGCTACCACTTCATTGTAGTAACAGTAGTGGTAGTTGGCCTCCAGTTAAGTTCAAGCACAGCTTAAATAAGACAAGTAGAAATTTACTCCACAAGATAAAACAAGATCAACTGAGTTAAAAGAGACGACGAAACGTAGACTTAAACGACTTGTAATTTTGACTTGACTTGACTTGACAATTGAGCCAAAACTTTTATTTTAACCTTTATTGCTTGTCTAGAATTAAAAATTTGAAGCTACACTCGCCAACCTTTTTCATCTTTTTTTTTAAACCTTTTTTTTTGACTTGGAGAGGCCCTTTAATGCGTTATATGTGTGTACATGCATATCCGAAACGTATTTTGATGGTTTTGAAAATTCATGTTATTAATTTAGTAGCAGCAGCAGAAATAGCCACCATTATCATCAATAATGGAAAAAGCACCTTGCAAACTAGTTAATCTTCATCCACAATGCTTCTTTTTTCTTCTTAGTACACTATCTATCTATCTATCTATATATATATATATATATATATATATCTTATATCTATATCTATATCTTGATAAAATACTATTACCAAAGAAAGAAAAAAAAAAAAAGAAACTAAAACAAAAGGGGTATGTCAGAAAGAGTATAATTGACTCCGTTTTTGATAATCAAAAAAAAAAAAACCAGACTAAAGAGAGAACACATATCCTTCAAATTTGACTAAACACTTTCTACAGAAATCATCTGAAAAAAATCCCGGTTGTGCTCTCAAACCAAACATACCGCTAGCTTTATGAAAAGTTTGTATTTTTCAACTAAAACGTTTTTAACCTTTAAGCAGATAATTCTCTCTTGCTAATGAAAAATGTTCTTGTTTGTATCAATTATTACAATATAGATAGATACAAGATACATGGCTATTTTCTTTTCTCTTCACACCCCCCGTACATACTGCGCTGCGCGCCTCCCAAATTTTAGACACGTGTATATACTTTATTCATAGGGCTATAAACACTCATTTGACATGCTGATCGAGATGGCGCTACCCTTTGTTCTCTCTTCCTTTTGCTTCACATTTTTTCCCTCTTTATTTCTCTCTTACTTTCTTCAACATTTTCCAACAAAATTCGTTCATCACGTGACTCCTCGACCAAACGCTGTAAACAAATTTTTCAAGAAAAAAAAAAAAAAAGTAAAAAAAAGGAAACCAGACTTTGGTGTAGTGAATATTTGTAAGTTATATACTCCCTTGATACATCAACAACAATGGTTCGTTACGCTGCCAAAGCATCCAATCCCGCTAAATCAGCTTCAGCTCGTGGATCATACTTGAGAGTTTCATTCAAGAATACTAGAGAAACTGCACAAGCAATCAATGGTTGGAAATTAACTAAAGCTCAACAATACTTGGATCAAGTCTTGGACCACAAAAGAGCTATCCCATTCAGAAGATTCAACCACTCCATTGGTAGAACCGGTCAAGGAAAAGAATTTGGTGTCACTAAAGCAAGATGGCCTGCAAAATCTGTTAATTTCATCAAGGATCTTTTAAGAAATGCTCAAGCCAATGCTGAAGCAAAAGGTTTGGACGTTGAAAAATTAATCATCTCAAACATTCAAGTCAACCAAGCACCAAAACAGAGAAGAAGAACATACAGAGCTCACGGTAGAATAAATGCTTACCAATCAAGTCCTTCTCATATCGAATTAACCTTGACTGAAGAAGCTGAAACTGTTGAAAAAGCTACCGATAAAGCTGTTGTAAGATTAAACTCTAGACAACGTGGAAGATTGGCTAGTCAAAAACGTTTGACTGCTGCTCCTGCTGCTGCTTCTGCTTAAAAATTTGGAATACAAGGAAATGGTAGGAAGATGTTGAATAGTTGAAGGAATGAGGTCTTTTGATGGTTTAGTCTGGTTTTTTTTTTCTCCAAGGAAAGTTTGTACATTTAATATAACTGAAACATTTTCGAATTTTGGAATTGATGTCTTTTTTGGAATAGAGAAATTGGAGGGCACTATTTTAGAAGTCCGTTCCATGGATCATGGATGGTATATTTTTACCTCTTTTTTTTTTCTTTTTTCTTCATCAACTCACTGAAGTCGACTTTTATAGTGAAATGCTGGGATAAGGAATACTGATAAATGTTTACTTTTACCCTTTTTGATACTCCCTTTCTGCTCCTTTCTCAGGGCAGTAAAGATGGATCTAATCTTGTATAAGAAATGGAAGATCTTCTCATGTATTTTATTTGTAGGTAGCGCTTACTCTTCCTCATCTCATCGAGTGAATTTTTTTTGAGAAATCAGCATTTGCCAATTCAACCTGATATATCATACATAGGTATACACCGTTTACAATGGGTAAAAGCATATTGAAAAAGCAGCCGAAGAGTCAAAAATCTCAATTGAAAAGAAATGGTGGCTCAGAAAAAGTTAATAAACAGGAAGAATCTATAGAAGAGACAAGACCTTGTGGAACTGAATCTAAATCGATTCTCGAAAAAACCCTGGTCTCGGGTCAAGTTCCATCTCCTATAGCGAAGCCTGTTTTGAAGACCGTTAAAACGGAAGATGATGAATACAGGAGTGATGCGTTATCAAAGAAGGAAAGGAGGAAATTGAAGAAATTGCAAGAGAAGGAAGAGAAGGAAGAGGAGGAAGAGGAGGAAGAAAAAGAAGAGGAAGAGGAAGAAGAGGAGGAAGAGGAAGAGGAAGAGGAAAATGAAGATGACGAGTTGGATTTGGATAAATTGGCCGCCAGTGAGAGTGAAAGTGACTTTGATGATGATGAAAATCAAGAAGAGGAGGAAGACGAGAGCGATGAAGATGAAGATGAAGACGAAGACGAAGAGGAGCAAGACAAGGAGGACAAAAACATAGAGGAGGAGGATGTTCCATTATCAGAAGTTGAATATGATTCAGATGCTGATATAATACCTCATACCAAACTCACGATAAATAATATGGCAGCACTTAGAGAGTCATTGGCACGGATACAATTACCTTGGGCCAAACATTCTTTCATTGAACACCAATCCGTGGTAAGCGCAGAAAGTGCCGAGTCGCAAATAAAAGATATTTATGATGATACAGAAAGGGAGTTGGCATTTTACAAACAAGGCTTAGAAGCAGTGAAACAAGCAAGAATCAACCTACTTAAATTGAAAGTGCCCTTTTCACGTCCGGTGGATTATTTTGCAGAAATGGTAAAAAGTGACGAGCATATGGATAAATTGAAAACCAAGTTATTGAGGGAAGCTGCTGATAAAAAAGCTTCGGAAGAAGCGAAAAAGCAAAGACAGTTGAAAAAATTTGGTAAACAAGCGCAGCACGAAGTGTTACAACAAAGAGCTAAAGAAAAGAGGGAAACTTTGGACAAGATCAAGAGTTTGAAAAAGAAAAGAAGCGCTAATGAAATCAGTAATGATGATGATTTCCAAATTGCATTAGAGGAGGCTACAAAAGAAGACCATTCAAGAGACAATAAAAGAAGAAAACCAAATGGGAAAAGAATGGCTAAAGACGCCAAATATGGTAGAGGTGGTAAAAAGGCTGGTAGTAGAAAGAACGATGCTGCTTCGTCGGCAGATATAAGTGGGTTTTCTGCTAAAAAGATGAAGGGGAAAGGCAAGTCGTTGAGACCAGGTAAGAGCAAACGTTCAAGAAGGTAGAAGGGGAAAGAGTGACAGATGGAGGTTGAAAGGGAAAGAGTGACAGATGGAGGTTGAATATTTGTGTATGTGCTAATAGGGTCTATATATACTTTCTTTTCTTTTTTCGCTTTCCTTTCGCAATCTCTTACCCGGCTCCAGCAGCGACGATGGAAAAATAAAGGAAAAAAAGAAATGGACTTTAATTAAACGTTCTTGCATGTTTAATTTTCGAAATTTTTCACCAATTTTAACAAAAGAAAGGTAGTTTTAATCAGTAGAAGCACCAGCAGCCATGTCGTCGTCGTTGTCTTCATCCACCGCTGCCACTGTCTCTTCTAAAGAAGTGTCACGCCAGAGATTTGTCAATGTTTTTGAAGGCATTGTTGAAGAATTGACATCGATTCTCAGATCGTACAAAATGCCTCAAGAAGCAATTGACTGGTTCCAAAAGAATTTGAACTACAACACCCCTGGAGGTAAGTTGAACCGTGGGTTATCGGTGGTAGATACGTATGCGATTTTAAACAACACTACAGCTGACAAATTGAGCGATGAGGAGTATAAAAAAGTTGCTATATTAGGATGGGCTATTGAATTATTGCAAGCCTATTTTCTTGTTGCTGACGATATGATGGATCAATCCAAAACAAGAAGAGGCCAGCCATGTTGGTACCTTGTTGAAGGTGTTGGTAACATAGCCATTAACGATGCCTTTATGTTAGAAGGAGCTATTTACGAAATATTGAGAAGACATTTCCGTCAAGATTCCTATTATGTTGATTTACTAGATATATTCCATCAAGTCACATTCCAAACTGAATTGGGACAATTGCTAGATTTGGTTACTGCCGACGAAGAGCATGTTGATTTGAGTAGATTTTCCCTCGATAAGCACTCGTTTATCGTCATATTCAAAACTGCCTACTATTCGTTTTACTTGCCTGTTGCCTTGGCGATGTTTATGAGTGGAATTAGTGACACAAGAGATTTAGAACAAGTCAAAAACATCTTGATACCATTGGGCGAATATTTCCAAATACAGGATGATTTCTTAGACTGTTTTGGTACACCAGAACAAATTGGTAAAATAGGAACAGATATCAAGGATAACAAATGTTCATGGGTTGTTAACCAGGCATTATTACATGCATCTAGTGAACAAAGAGAAATCTTGGATAAGAATTATGGACAAAAAGATGACGAAAAAGAGGCTATATGTAAGAAATTATTCAAAGAGATGGGAATTGAAAAGATTTATACCGATTATGAAGAAAATATTGTTAACAAATTGAAACAAGAAATTGATAAAGTTGATGAATCTAGAGGATTGAAAAAGGAAGTGTTGACTGCATTCTTAAATAAAGTGTACAAGAGATCAAAATAATCAATCGAACCTTTTTCTCCTTGAATAAAAAAAACATTTTTCCATTTTTAATACATACAATATGTACCATATACCAAAAAAAAAACACGCTCTTTTCTATTCCTCTGTTCCCTTTGGCTAGTCTCTCTCTTTAGACATTGACTCTTTCCAATTCTTCTCTTCCCGCCTTAGTGTACAAGTATTCATTATAATCTCTGGCTTTTGCCCAGATAGACCAAATTATAACAAAGGGAATGGCAATGTATAAAAATTGATTCTTTGTTCTTCTAAACGTATTGAAAACGGCATTATAAGCAGCTCCTTTAAGTGGTCTAGCTGCATATGGAGAAATCGTATATTGCGTAATATATTTCTGTGGACGAGAACCCAATTCTCCCCACCAGCCCATGTAGCTGTGTGGATGTGGTGGACCTGCCATTCTTGCTCTTTAATGTATTTGATAAAGCAAAAAGAAGCTTGAAATTTAATTACTTTTTTCTCTCTCTTTCTCTTTTTCAATTTTAAATGTCACTTGTCTCATAATGATATTTTCTGGTGATACTATTGGATAAAGAATTTTTTACAGAGTTGTGTATACCGCTACCAACTACAAACTAGTGTTGCTCCACTATCGTCACTATCGAGCAGAGCGACACTATCGAGCAGAGCGAGATAGTGTCTACAAAGTGTTGCTCCACTATCCAGCAGAGCGACACTATCCAGCAGAGCGACACTATCGAGCAGAGCGACACTATCGAGCAGAGCGACACTATCGAGCAGAGCGAGATAGTGTTAACTAATGTTGCTTCACTATCCAGCAGAGCGACACTATCTCGCTTCGCTCGATAGTGTCTACTAATGTTGCTTCACTATCTCGCTTCGCTCGATAGTCGCTTTGCTCGATAGTGTCTACAAAGTGATGCTCCACTATCTCGCTTCGCTCGATAGTGTCGATAGTGTCGATAGTGTCACTACCAACGTTTGTAGTCTATTTCATTTAAAAACCTTTTCCCGCTCCCGTACTTCCACCATCTTGACAAACAGCTGTGGACATTTGTATCAATAGTCTTATTAACAACTTCATCTCTTGCTTTGCATACACATCTCTTTGAAGTAATAATGTCTTCGGAATGTGGGCATGCTAAAAACGGAGCGTGGAAGTATCCTATATCTTCAAAATGATGTATTTGATTCTTATCAGCTAACAAGCTCAATCCTATTGTGTGCACCGGTGCATCCCCCCACCTCTCATAATGAAATCCGCCAGCTTTACTCAAGAATTTAAAGTATGTTTCATAAGCTTCACTTCGGAAAAAATTCAAGTTGCCTATTTCAAAATTGGACCAGAAATGACACAAGTTGTATCGCGTGGTTGATGTTACTGCTGGTGTCACGTAATGGGTCAAAGATGTCTCGTTTGTTGTAATAAAATTTAAAGCGTTGTTGGGATGCAACAAGTGTGGATTTTCTCGCATAAACAGTTCAACTGTTTGCCAAAGCGTCGGTATGGTATTCTCATACTCTCTAATTGCAATAATAAAACCATACACTTTATTATTCACGCGTAACAACTCAAATGGATCATATTGGAAGTCGCACATATACTCCACGTTAGGCTCAACCCGGAAATACCAATCATAATTAAGCAATCTTTTTTGCTTGTAAAAAAAACCAGAGTTGAAATGGCACATGTTTCTATAAGATCTAACACCCCCATATATCACATTCAATTGGGAATTTAATAAGTTCTCTTCTAATCTCGTGATATTGATGTAGCTGGGGGGTTGCCAATCCTCCTTGGGGATAAGTTCATAATACGTTTTACCACTAGCCATAAGACTAGTCCTTTCGATAAACTCATGGTCAAACGGTTCATCATTCAAGAATACCCACGGGTACTTGTATTCTCGATTGAACCTATCTTCTAAAGACCTCATTGAAGCTAACGCACCTTCAACCTCAAAATTTCTAACAAGCATTACCATTGTAGCATTTTCTTTTCCAATCTGTTCCAAATTTCGTGGGGGGAATTTCTTAACAAGGTATGAATTCGATCCTAGTTTAGGCTGATTCTTGGCCAAGGGATTATAAGTATCTAGAGCTTCTTCTTCTATTACCGAGTTGTTTGGCCGTACAGCGTCGTCATTTCCCTGAATTACCCATGTAGCATAGTAGTAGTAAATTGCAAATACTACAACAAGTGTTGCAGTTCTGACCCCAATCATTCAGCATTCTCCAAACCTTCTCTTCCAAAGACAAAAACTTTTTTTTTTTTTTGGGGTCTTTAACTTAACCAGCTTTCATGAAACTATATTATTTATATATGTTGAGCAAAACAAATACAGAGAACCTCCTGGTAGACACTATCGAGCAAAGACAGTGGAGCAGTACTGACTACACCGACGCCATCGGCACTACCGACACTATCGAGCGAAGCGAGATGGTGGAGCAGCACTAACTACACCGTTACTATCGACACTATCTCGCTCTGCTCGATAGTATCGCTCAATAGTATCGCTCGATAGTAGAGCAGTGCTGACTACATCGACAGTATTGACACTGTCTAAGCTGTCGACGACTTCAAAATTGATGTTCTATTAGATGCAGTTTTAACCAAACTCGGCAACAAAGTGGGCTACCTTCCGAGACCAAAAACAACCACAACCAAACGTCAGACCTAAGTTAGTAGACTACAAAGCGTTGAGTGTGTAAAAAATAAAAAGGGTTGATATGGATGTTGCTTTAAAGATTGAGCTTACTTGTAAGCTCAATAGTTTGTTTTTTGTTTTGGGTGCAAAAATGGAAAAATTCAATCTTAAAATGCTGCAAAAAAATTGACAATTACTAAATGCTCTCTTAACTCTTATATCCAAAATTTACAAGTAACAATCTTGATGCAACACTAGGGAGCGAAGCGAGCTAGTGGAGCACACTGACTAATAAGCAAAGTTAGTCAAGTAACAAGCTATATAAGCAAAGTCAAGCAACAAGCTATATAATCAAAGTCAAGTATCAAGCTATATAAGCAAAGTCAGTCAAGTAACAAGCTAGTCAGTACTGCTACACTATCTCGTTCTGCTCAATAGTGACTCTAGATAGATTGAGAGTTTGTCAAGAGTATATTCTTGAACTAGATTTTAAATATATCACAATTGCTTTCACAACTACAACAAATAATCCAATGGACAATAATCAATAGAGTAATTCAAGAAAAACCCGTACTTTATTGTTACACATAGAGCCATCTCCCGTACTTTATTACACATAGAGCCATCTCCCGTACTTTATTACACATAGAGCCATCTCCCGTACTTTATTACACATAGAGCCATCTCCCGTACTTTATTACATATAAAGCCATCTTCCGTACTTTATTACACATAGAGCCATCTCTTAATAACAATTGAATTGATTTACCTTTATAAAGAAAAAGTCTTCCTATATGAGAATAAAAAATCTTTATTCTATGAGCCCTTTGGTTTTCTATTTTTTCCACCCAATAGCATCTTTAGAAAAGCAATTACCAATACACTAACATTGGAAAAAAAAAAAATGAATATAAGGAAAATAAAAGTCTTTGGGAACTAACCAGAAAAAAAGGATAAAGATATAGGGGTAGACTTGAAGGATAGAAGTATAACTTGGTTGGGTTTATAAGCTGTAACTCAAACATTAGAAAACAATGCTTCGCAATTTTAAAGTAAAGCCACGCGGTTTTTTGTCGGTGCGTGGATTAGCCACTACTGCTGATCCAGCAGCAGCAAATCCTAATAGAGTACATGGCGGGTTGAAAGACCAGGATCGTATTTTCCAGAATATTTATGGAAATTACGGCCATGATTTGAAATCCGCACAAAAAATGGGAGACTGGTATAAGACGAAGGAGATAATATTGAAGGGAGATAAATGGATTATTGACGAAATGAAAAAATCCGGTTTAAGAGGAAGAGGCGGTGCAGGGTTTCCCTCGGGTCTCAAATGGTCTTTTATGAACCCCCCAGGTTGGGAAAAGAATCCAGGACCAAGGTATTTGGTAGTAAATGCCGATGAAGGTGAACCAGGTACTTGTAAAGACCGAGAAATTATTAGGAAGGATCCCCACAAGTTGGTTGAAGGTTGTCTATTAGCAGGAAGAGCAATGAACGCTACTGCAGCATATATATATATAAGGGGAGAGTTTTACAACGAAACGGTGATATTACAAACCGCAATCAATGAAGCTTACAAGGCAGGATTGATTGGTAAAAATGCCTGTGGATCAGGATACGACTTTGATATATACATCCACCGTGGTATGGGAGCGTATGTGTGTGGTGAAGAAACTGCATTAATCGAGTCGATTGAGGGTAAAGCTGGAAAACCAAGATTGAAGCCTCCTTTCCCCGCTGGTGTCGGATTGTTTGGTAGACCCACCACCGTTGCTAATGTAGAGAGTGTATCAGTTGCACCTACAATTTTGAGAAGAGGCGGAGAATGGTTTGATGCCTTGGGAAGAGAAAGAAACTCTGGTACAAAGTTATTTTGTATATCAGGACATGTGAATGAGCCATGTACAGTTGAAGAAGAGATGTCTATACCTTTGAAGGAATTATTAGAGAAACATTGTGGTGGTATAAAAGGCGGATGGGATAATTTATTGGGTGTTGTACCTGGAGGATCCTCAGTGCCAATTATGCCTAAGGAAACATGTGATACTGTGTTGATGGATTACGATGCCTTAAGAGATGTGGGGTCTGGTTTGGGAACTGCTGCCGTTATTGTGATGAACAAACAAACAGATATAATCAGAGCTATTCAACGGTTTTCTCATTTTTACAAACACGAGTCCTGTGGTCAGTGTACGCCATGTCGTGAAGGTACAACATGGTTACAAAGGATGATGGACAGATTTCAGGTTGGTCAAGCTACTGAGCGCGAGATTGATATGATTTTTGAGTTGAGTAGAGAGATTGAGGGCCACACGATTTGTGCTTTGGGAGACGCTGCCGCATGGCCAGTGCAAGGTTTAATCAAGTCGTTCAGACCTGTTATGATTGATAGAATCAAAGAGTTTCAGAATAAACACGAAAATCAGGGTAAAATTGGTTACGGTGGTTGGTTAAGTAATGGGAAAGTGAAAAACGGTGTAGTTGTAGACAATCCAATACCTCATGGGCATTAATAAAATATATATATCAGTTGCATAATATATCAGTTGCATAATATATCAGTTGCATAATATATCAGTTGCATAATATATATATGTATATATGTGTATAATATATATAATGATATTTATAACTTGAATTACGAATGTGTTATTCTAAAGCCACTACCAACACATATACAGGCTATAAAAGAGGAAATGTGTCGATCAATTGAGCAATTTCAATTTACTTTGTTTCAATGAACAAAAAAAAAAACAGTCCGTATGGACAAAAGTGATACGAAAGAAAAAAAAAAAAAGATTATTTATTATTTGTGTTCAAGCTTATTACCGAAGAGTGAAATTCGTTTCATAGTGATACCTCACTCTTTCTTTTTCAGGAGGATTGAATCCCATTCTTTTTTTAGCTCGTTGTATACCTTTCGCAAGCCATTTAGGTGATATTAGGAGCTTTTAAGCATCATAATTCTCCCCCCACCCCCCCTTGAGAGAAAGTCCGAGTTTTTTTTTTTTCTTTTTTGGTTTTTTCAATGAGATGGTCAAGAGTAATCCTTTCACTTGCCTTGTTTAGTGTGACGCTGTTGGCTTTAGAAGATAAGGATAACCTTTATTTGCCTGATACTGATGAGTTGTTAAATGCCAGACCGCCGCATGACAAATCCACCAACAAGCTCGGAGTCAAGGTGCTTGAGGATGAAGATAATCATCCCACGCCAGATAATTTGAAACAGCCGTTGAATCCCAATAAGTCCGACACAACAGCAAGCACAAATGTAAATGAGTTGAAACAAGAGGACGAAAATAACCATCAAGAGGCTGGCTCTTACAACGCGTTTGTCATGTCTATTTCAATGATTGTAGTCTCTGAGATTGGCGACAAGACATTCTTGATAGCTGCATTGATGGCGATGAGAAATTCACGGTTTGTTGTATTCTCGTCAGCATTCACCTCTCTTGTTTTAATGACAATTTTGTCTGGTATAGTTGGCCATGCTTTACCATCTTTGATGTCACAAAGAATAACCCAATTTTTAGCATCAGCTTTGTTTATCATATTTGGTATTAAATTGTTGAAAGAAGGCCTTAGCATGTCGAAAAACTTGGGCGTTGAAGAAGAACTAGCAGAAGTGGAAGAAGAAATTGCATCGAGTAAATTAAACACCCAGTTGAGTGACATCGAGGGTGGGTCCATGCCCGCCGCCCAATCGCAATCAAGGAAAGCAAAATTTCAAGAAATTGGACAGCAAGTTCAGAACTTGGCTTCGTTTGTATTTACTCCCGTGTGGATCCAAGTTTTCGTTATGACTTTTTTAGGGGAATGGGGGGACAGGTCACAAATTGCCACCATTGCAATGGCCGCAGGATCAAAGTATTGGTTTGTCATATTAGGAGCCATCATAGGTCACGGTTTATGTACTGCTGCTGCATGTATTGGTGGAAAGCTCTTGGCGAAAAAGATATCAATGAGAAACGTTACTCTAGGTGGCGCCGTTGCATTTTTGGTATTTTCCATCTTGTACTTTTATGATGCTTATTACAATACCGAAAGTTGAAATGTAAGCGGATCCAAAGAAAAAAAGAGGGAGGAGAATAAGGATGGAGGAGAATAAGGATGGAGGAGAATAAGGATGGAGGAGTTGGAAGTGATGTTTGTTGTTGTTTTTTCTTTTTTTGTTGATTTATAGAGATATACCATTATTTTAAAGTTGTCCTTGACACATGAACTTGGAGATTTGATTTGGATGTAGACCCTTTTTGCCACCTAAGGTGATCCTCAACTCAATTTCCTCTTTTTCATTCTCCTTATCCTTCTTTGCTTTGGCTTCTATTTTACCCTCTGGTGTCTCCATGTACTCTAATTCGTCCACGGTATGAAAACCGTAAAATTGATAGTCATCTCTCAACTCTTGTATTTTCATTAAACACCATATTGTAAACTCGTCCTCCTTCTGTAAATCAAGACCACCATTTTCCTGCGACTTATCTATACTTGAAATTGAAGAGTTTATCCACTCGTTGACTTCTGGTAGAGCCTTTTTCCTTAATAAGGTAGTCAAGAGTCCCTCGTGCTGGGTAGTAGGAAAGTTGACAGTAGGGTACACGTTTGTATTCCGTAGCAATTCTTCGTTTTCGTACAAGATGTTTGTTACCGAGGCCAACTGAGTAATAAGCACTTGAAACTGGTTTTGGAAGTGGGTGAATGAAGGAAGTTTAATCTTTGTAGGATATCGATTGTGATTGTTGATCTGGTCAGATAGTTTGCGTAATGAGACATGGATTTGGTTCAACCTGTTGCGTATGGATTCAAGAGCATCAACGGGTATCTGAGAAAAGTCAATTGGCAATGGCTTAAGCGGCGTAGTCGGCACCGGCGTATGGTTCATTGTGTCTGGAGAAGGCTTCCTTATTGATAAAAGTGAAAAATATTGATATCAATTTAAAACTGATTCTTCTTTTTTTCTTTTTCCATCTCCATCTCCATCTCCATTTGTATAGTTTATTCTTTGAACAAGAGAAAGATCAAGAAGGAGACCTTGTGATAGGATGATACGTGGGAATTGGAGTCTTCAAGAAGAGATTAAACAGAATGAAAGAAAACGACAGTTGAAAATACAACAGCGACAGAAACTCAAGTTTAAGCTAGAGAAGCTACAACAATGTGATCCAATAAAGTTATACCATAAAATTGAAAATCTTGAAAAAAGGTCAAATTTATCGGAGAAGGAGACAAGCTATTTAAAGTTATTGAAGGAAGATTGGGCTTTTATAGAGAAAAATAAGCTACATGAAGGTAAAATCAAGAGCTTTTTGAAGGATAAGGATCAGCATGAGAAACTGATACGAAAACGAGAGTCAAAATTATGGGGAGTAAAATCAGTCTATTTCAATCCTGAGTTAAACCCATTGGGAAAAGTCCCCCGGATTGAGTGTCTTGACTGCGAGGTGCAGATAGAGTTAAAAAACTGGACTGTACCTTTACATAGCAAGCGTAAGAAATACGATGTAGACCCGTTGATAAAAGAATTGAATGTAAAAGTGCCGAAAGGTGAACCTCCAAAGTTCTACAAGCTTATTCAGAATACTGAAAAGTTGAGGCCTCTAAGCAGCCAAAAGCTGAAAGAGCAAGCTAGCAATATTTACATAGAGAGCCATAAAAGAGAAGGGTCAAGTGACAGTAAAGAAAAAGAAAAAGAAGAAGAAGAAGAAGAAGATGATGAACAACTATCAGCGACAGAGTCTTTAGAAATGCAACTCTCCAAAACACCAACAAAGTTCTATGTAGCTAGTTAGTTTGCTCCACTATCTCGCTCTGCTTGATAGGGTCGAAAATACCCCAAAAAAAGCTTCAATAAGCACTTAAAATGTTACATTACCACAGTTTCTAGTCAATACAAATCTATATACAAGAACAAAAACCGACTCGTCTCTTTCTACTTTATTTATAATACCTATATTATCTTGACAACTTCAAGACAATAATCTAACCACAAGTTCCCATGTTCCAAACATTATAATAGAGTTGGGAACCGTTCTCAATAAATGAGGTGTCAAACCACCGTACATACTTGCAAATCCTTCTTCTTTAAAAACTAATTTGAAGCACTGTATCAAACCTGTATACTTTAGTTTTCCCGTGCTTTCCAATGGTGCTTGTCTCAATCTAGTTCTGACAACCTCATGTGGATAAGTTATTAAACTGGCCATGAACTTGGCTAAACCTGCAGCACCAGACCTCGCCGACCACTCCATTACATAATCCTTTGTGGTTTTATTTTTTGGATTAGATCCATGTATCTGTAAAGATCTCTTATTAATAAACATTCTCATTTGTTCGTATAGCACCCATTGAATCGTGCTTTCAATCCCTCCCAAATAAGAAGCACTCAAACCTCGATATAAGCTGAAAAATCCTTCGTTTTTGACAACATGCTTCAAACAATCCCACGAGTTTTTATATATCCGCAGTCCTGTTTTGTCCAATTGTAGCCTTGTCTTGAGTAGCCAAATGGGGTTTGTCGCAGTTGATGTTACAAAACCGGCACTTATCCCCGCAGTCAAATGCATCCATGTTTCTTCTTCTTTTTCTTTCTTCTCTGATCCGTGTCCAAAATTTCGTACCAAGAAATCTTTTGTAAGGCCATATGTGAAGAAATTTATAGATCTTGCAGGTATGACACCCACCAAGTTCGGTCCCAATCCTTTGAATAAAGACCGCACTCCTTCATTGAGATACATTTCTCTTATAGCTCCTCCTGTCTCTGCCAAGTGTTGAAATGCTTGCCTTACGGGGTTTCCCGATTTTAGAGTCTTGTTATACACCTGGTAATATACGTCCGATTGTAATCTGGTTTTAACAACGTCTAAAGGACATGTAACAACTGCCCCTACTGTACCTCCTATACCTCCAGCTACAAAATGTACCCATGGCTTAGTTTCCCTTTTCAATGTCGATGCCACAGCTGGATCTTCCAGTGTAGCCCCTCTATATTCGTCTATTATCTCTCCATCTCTAAACGTAGATGATTGCTCATCTGAAACTAAATATAAATAAGCAGTCTCAGCATCCCGCTCTAGCACTTTTATCCTCTCCTTCTCGTCACCTTTAATTTGCACCATTCCCCCCCAAAAATAAACCCGTGTCTTTACAAACCAAGTTCCCTTACTGAAAAAGTCAAACCTTCTAAACAATAAGCAAAGAGAACCCTTACGATGCGATGCCCTTCTCGTTTTCTTTTTCTTTTTTTTTTTTTTTTTCAGTACCAAAGATACGATGTGAAAAGAAAAAGGTTCTCTACAAAGGACCAGCCCTGAAGGATGGTCACTTAAAGATACGTATCAGACTGTCAATGTTGATCGGGGAAAAAAGCTAAATAGGATTGTAGAGTATGTCAATTATATAATGTATGCGTTTTGTATTGGTAATGTGTATTTCTAAAGTACTGTTATCAACAAACTTATCTTGTTAAAAATTCGCAGCCAAAAAAAAAAGAAAAAAAAGAAACATCGACATTATCGAACAAAGTGAGATAGTGCAGCACATTGACTAGCTAGTTGCTTTACTGACTAGCTCGTTACTTTACTGACTAGCTAGTTACTTCACTGACTTTGCCTATTTCAAAGTCTTGATAAAATTATCAAGATTGTACTCATCTTCATATTGTTGTTCGTCCCATAGTTCAGCCAATTCGCCAACTGCACCCACTGCTTTTCCAGTCAAACCACCAGTCAAATCATCTGGCATCTTATTGCTTTGCACAGAACCATTATCATTTGATTTATTATCATCATCTTTCTTACTTGCTTCTTCCGGCTTAACGCCAGAATGCTCAAAGTCAAACAAATCCAATAATTGATTGGTGTCCATAGACTGTAAGCCGGCATTTTGTTGGTTAACAATGGTCGAGGCAATATTCATTTTGAATTTTTGTAGTCCCATGATTTTCTCTTCAAGAGTATCTTTGGTAATTAATCTGTACACATTAACAACTTTCTTTTGTCCCAATCTGTGAGCTCGGTCCATCGCTTGTAAATCATTCATTGGATTCCAATCGTGCTCCACAAAGATAACCGTGTCTGCACCTGTCAAATTCAATCCCAATCCTCCTACTTTAGTAGTAAGCAACAAAACATCAATCGACGGATCTTCATTGAATTTCCGCACAATCGACTGTCTATCACGCGGATCAGTACTACCATCCAACCTCATATATGTTACTGACGGCAAGTACTTTTTCAATAACTCATTCTCTACAATATCCAACATATCCTTTAGTTGACAAAATATTAATGCTCGATGCTCGGAAATGACACCCTGCGCAGGTAATAATTGTTGGTCACTCTTTTTCAGTTTGAGAGATCTGTCGTACTCTGAATCCTGGGATCCAATACCACATTCCAATAATAAGGTTCTCAACGATAACAACTTGGGCGAATGTTCAATGTTCTTCAAGTTCAAATTACGTGACAGTAGAAATTTGTTAACCTCGTCATATTTCGGGTGTTGTGGTGAAACAACCAATGCAGGATGATTACACAATTTTCTCATATATTGCAATGCTTGGAAAACGTGGGTTTGAGTTTGGTTTTGCTTTTCAGATGACGAAACTTCAGCTTTTATGTTTTCTTGTTGACTTTTGGCAAAGTCTTTGTATAATTTTTTTTGCAAGTCGCTTAATTCGCAATAATAGTCTTGTATGATCTTGGGTGGTAAATCAGATAATACATCCTCTTTGAGTCGACGCATCATAAAGGGTAAAACTTGCTTGTGCAACGATTCCAATGCCAAAGCTCCAGCTTCTTGCTCTTTTGAAGACGTTTTACTATTCCTGCTTGCAGCTATTGGTTTGGCAAATTTCTCATGAAAAACTTTTTCTGTTCCTAAAAAGCCGGGCATCAAAAAATCAAATAAGGACCAAAGTTCCAAAACATTGTTTTGAATTGGTGTACCAGAAAGAATCAATCGGTGTTCTGCTTTGACTCTTTTCACGGCTTTTGCTAGCTTCGAGTTTGCGTTTTTGATAATATGACCTTCATCCAAAACACAATAATTATAATCAAGAGAAGTGATAAACTCAACATCATTTCTAGCAACATCATAAGACGTGATTACAATATCAACACTCTTCAACTGACTTCGAAGTGGAATTCTTGTACTGGGGTTTCCTGCATAAACAAGTGCTTTCAAAAATGGGGCATACTGATTAATTTCTTGCTCCCAATGACCAGTCAAAGACGGAGGACAAATAACCAATGATGACAACTGTCTATACTCAGCTAATCCAGTTTCTTTATATTTCTCTGCTCTCATATAATGATCAGAAGAAACTATGCAGATTGTTTGCAAAGTCTTACCTAAACCCATATCATCACATAAAATCCCATGTAAATGGTACTTGTTTAAAAATGCTAACCAATTTACACCTTCTTGTTGGTACTTACGTAATGTTGCTTTGATTGATACAGGTAGATCAAACGGTTTTATTTTCGAAGGATCCATCATTTGCAGAATGAAATCCCGTTCTTTTTCTCTTCCCTTTAACAACTCTTCAGGCATGTCGTCCGGATCTGGAATACCAGCCTCAAGTGGAACTAGCTTTATGATGGACGCAAAAGTTGTCGAGGACAAAACACGAACGTCGTGATCAGAATCACTCATCCTACCTAAAATTGGAACAATTAAAAACATAACATATGGAAGAATGGTTGCGCCCATTGTGGATGAAATGTGGTATATCGTTTCAATTGCACCCTGCCTTTCTCTAACACTACCAGCATTCTTCAACATTGGTAATACCGAATTGACCAAAAAAATAAAGGCTTTTGTTGGCACAACTGAACAAATCGTTGCAAAACATTTGGCAGTAGAATAACGGAAAACTGAATACTCCGACTTCAATCCAGGAAGCAAAAGATCCAAATCGTCGGTAATTTCTGAAACAATAGACTGATCGAGTTTTGGCAAAAATGCTTTAAGTATACCCAATGCATCAATAATGCTCTGGCCTTTGAATTCATCCTTTGCTATATCTTCACTTGAAAGTTTGCCCAAATCTGCCAATGGTCCAATCATAAGCTCTTTTAATTTCGGCACTTCTGTAAACAATTTTGAGCCATAAACTTTAATAATCATTTCTAGCGACATTATACCTCCACGACGTTTAATTCTTGCCTCGTGAACAGCCCTCTCATGAGCAGCAGCATCAACTGGATCGTTTTGAGCTTCTTCTTTTCTTAACGACAAAATGTTATTTTTGAACCCAGCATTATGGTGAAATTCAGGAACCTCGGCTGTATCAACACACAGGAAAGCACACAAGTTTTTGATAATTTTATCAGCTACGTTCCGTTTTCCATTTTCGTTCAATTGTCGAACCATACTGGCCACTGAATGAACACTTTTGTTTTGCAAAACCAACGACTCTTCCAGTTTCACACTTTCCATCAAAGATTTAATTATTGGATTCAATTTCTTTGGCAAACCAGTCAATTCCAATAGAGCACCCGCGTAAGCAGCCAATACAGAAACCACTCTTGAATTTGTTGCTAAACGTGACTCTTCAATAGCAACGGTTATTCTATGTCTTGCATCTTCGAGCGCTTGGTTGGCTGACAATCTATGTGTAGTTGATAAACTCTTTTTCAATCTTTCAAATGTTTCATTACAAATCTTTTCGGCATATTCAAGATTAAAAGCGCCAAGTCCAGCTTCTGGTTCACCTTGTACGAGAATAGGAATTTGTGGTATTTTAGAAGGTGCCAATCTAGCAGTAGAAACAAAACAATCAAATAACTGTAAGCACGAGGTCCGTACTGATTTTAGAGTGGGGGTTAATTCTCTAAAGCTAGAAGGAGATGATGATGATGATGATGATGATGACATTTCCAGTAATGTCTCTGTTAAAGATGCAGAAAGCAAAGTTACCAACTCTGGTGGTGGTGGTGGTGGTGATGCTGGTAGAGCTGAAGTAAGGTTTCGCTCTTTGAGCGCAGTTGCATACGACTCAATAATAAATGCACTTAATAATCTTGCAGTTGCATGCGGTGATTTCAAATCTTTTGATATGATTTCAAAAATATTGAGAAGTATATCTTTTGAGCTGATCATTGACAAGCATCTACCAAATGCACTAGACGCTGTACACCTCATTGCTATCATTTTTTCATACCCAACAAGCATAACATCTCCTCTATAAACCGGAGAATCAATATTGACCTTTAAATCCTCAATCGGAATATCCAAGATTGGCTCATCAGCTTGTCGTTTATCACGTTTAATACCACGTTTATCATCTTCATCCAATGGCCCAAGCATCAACCCAGACGGACGCATGATGAGAGAGGTATTCATTTGATAGTTGTGCCTAGATATACCAATTGGAGTTAGTGTGAGACTCAACAAGTCTCTCGCCTGAGTGACAAATATTTGATTAACATCTGATCCATTTTCTATGATTGCATTTAACAAATTGTCAAAGACTTCTTTGGATAACTCCAACACATCCGGGTTCTGCTCAACAAGTAAATTCTGGTATAACAACCTCAATGCTTTATAGTCTATCCATCTTTTTGTTGCTGGGTCATCTATTGCCAAAAATTTCAATATGGTTCTCAATACTGCTTTCCGCACATTTGTAATAGAGTGTCTCAAAAATGGGTATAGTCGAGGCACCAAATGCTCAAAAGAGTTTTTTTCATTTAGACTAGCATCCTGCTGAATTATATCAATGACTTCTTTGTGGCTGCAAAGTCTTGCCAAAAGATCCATCACTGATCCAATAGAAGCAGACAAGTCGTCTCTTAAATTCACCAAGCAGTCCCAAATTACTGATAGCAACACCTTGATCATGTTTCCTCTTGTAGAGACAAATTGAGATGCTATCGGAGTCAAGGTCAATGCAGACACTGATTGGACATCATCGTCACTTTCTTGAAGACCGCGTAGGACCATATTAATGACTTTATCAAACATGCCAGGGATCTTTAATAAAATATCCGTCCTCACACTAACAAGATAACGGACACCTAACATACCTCCATGTTTGGCTTCCCAGCACTTTGGCACCAAGTCGTCCTGTAAAGTCATGGTATTTAAACAATCAAAAGTCTTAATAACGCATTCATCATCAAGATGAATTAATAAAGCAGCCAAAGTTTGTGCAGCTGACTCCCTCACCGGCGCTACAACTGTGTCTGAAACGTAGTCACCAAATCTATCAAGGCAAAACAAAATACATAACTTTACTGCCAAATCTTCTAATATCGCCTTATTGGTGGCATCATTCTCGCTTCTGGACTTATTCATAACCCTTCCCGCTTCCTTGCCGTGTTTTTTAATTAATTCTCTCAAACCAAGCGCGGCACCATGTCGTACTTCCCAGTTGTCATCAAACAAATCGGCCAATAATAACTCGTAAACACCTTGGAACTGCCAGATTAACCCAGCAACTTTATTGTGAAGTGAAAGTAAAGGGGAGGTCTCACTTGCTTTAGTTTCAACAACTAGTTTTGATCCTCCTTGTTGGGAGGTTATATCAAATTGTACCTGGCCTCCATCCGTGTTGTTGTTGTTGTTATTATTATTATTATTATTATTATTATTGTTGTTATTGTTATAGTTGTTATTGTTATTGTTATTGTTGTTGTTATTGTTGTTGTTGTTGTTGCTATTATCTAGGTCTTGAGTGTCTATATCCATCGAATCTCCATTCTCAATCATTTTCCGTGACAAGGAACTCTGAGATATGTCCACATTTTTCAATTTGTTACCACCTGACCTTGCATTTGCCTTGGCTCTCCTTTTTTGTATTGCTTTGAGTCTTGCACTTGAGCTTGGTTTATTGAAATTTGGTCTATCTATCGTAGGTGACTGAGCCGGCGTTGAGGATTCTGATAAGGAATCCAATGCATCAGGTTGAGGGTGCTCGTGTTTGGTGTTGTAACAGTTTTCCAGTTTTATTGGTGGAGTTGGAGTATTTGACACTGGGGTATCTTCAGTTCTAAATTCAGAGTCCTCTTCGGTATGAGGTAGAATATTAGTTCTATGTCGCTTTATTCTTGCAATTAAAGTATTATCGCCGTCACATATACTGTTGTCATGGTTGAGGGTATCATCGGACTTGGATGCTAATAGTTTAACCCCACCTTTTATCAATTCGTGTAAGCTGAAAGAACTGAAATCAATTAAATTTGAAATACAATTATTCATCTCGGCCAACTCCTCATCTTGCTCTAGTTTTACCTTTGTCTCGCATTGATTTCCAGGTTCTATTTTCACCCTTGTCTCGAGGTCTTTTCCAGGTTCTATTTTCACCCTTGTCTCGAGGTCCTTTCCAGGTTCTATTTTCACCCTTGTCTCGAGGTCCTTTCCAGGTTCTATTTTCACCCTTGTCTCGAGGTCCTTTCCAGGTTCTATTTTCACCCTTGTCTCGAGGTCCTTTCCAGGTTCTATTTTCACCCTGGTCTCGAGGTCCTCTTCTCCACCACCATTTTCAGCATTTCCAGTTTCACCCTCTAGACTCACCTCAAATTCCTTCTTGACAAAAGTATCACTTGTATCGTCGTTGGAGTTTGGGTCCCATAGACTAGCATTATTAACTATACCTCCGAATGCTCTTGCTGCCGAAATTCTTGTTTCCCACCGGGGAGATTTGAGAAAGGGGTATACTCTTGCTAGTAGGTTTAAAATATCCTCGGGATGCGATTTTGCCAAATCCGAGAGTTGGTCAGCAGCTGTATTTCGTATAAAGGAGGTCGATCCTGTTTCCAACAAGACGACTAACCTGTCCAATCTCGACATTGATTAACACTAAAGAAGCGACAATTCAAACTCTTGGATGCGACAATTCAAACTCTTGGATGCGACAATTCAAACTCTTGAGAATACTCTTCCTGCCTCAGCATAGATGACCCACCGCTTCAAAACCTATTTTTCTCTCAACCACACTACTTGCTTTTGACCTACCTTTAGGAACTACCTAGAAAACTGCCTTGTAAGTAATAATCGATTGCAAAATTGCAAAATTGTATGGGTCTTTTTTTTCTATATTTTGTTCCCGCATAATCGATGGAACTCTTGTCTCCCTTTTATATTAAATTTTTATTTCAATCTTAAGAGGTCTATTTTTTATTTGTTGTTAATTACAATTTTTACTCATCTCATTTAACCATCTCTTCATCTCATCTAATCATCTCATCTACCATCTCATCTAACCAGCTCATCTCTTCATCTCATCTAATCATCTCATCTACCATCTCATCTAACCAGCTCATCTCTTCATCTCATCTAATCATCTCATCTACCATCTCATCTAACCAGCTCATCTCTTCATCTCATCTAATCATCTCATCTACCATCTCATCTAACCAGCTCATCTCTTCATCTCATCTAATCATCTCATCTACCATCTCATCTAACCAGCTCATCTCTTCATCTCATCTAACCAGCTCATCTCTTCATCTCATCTAACCAGCTCATCTCTTTATCTCATGTACCATCTCATCTCTTCATCTCCTCTCATCTACTCATCTACTCATCTACTCATCTACTCATCTACTCATCTACTCATCTACTCATCTACTCATCTACTCATCTACTCATCTACTCATCTCCACCTCTCCACCTCTCCATCTCTTTGGCAGCTAGTGTGTTCCAAAATCTTGCTCTGCTCGATAATGTCTGGTCTCATGTAATTATCCCAACGTTTGTCCTCAGCTTTTAAAGCTTAGAATATGCTGACAAGACTTTCAGTCAAACCCAAAAACACAATCTCGGGGATATAAGCTCTGAAACCACTTGGAAATAAAGCCTCAGAATCACCATCGAGCGGAGCAAGATAGTGGAACAACAATGCTTTTTACTGTAACTTTGCTCTACTCGAATGCTACTTGGAAATAGAGTCTCAGAATCACCATCGAGTGGAGCAAGATAGTGGAACAACAATGTTTTTTACTGTAACTTTGCTTTACTCGAATGCTACTTGGAAATAGAGTCTCAAAATCACCATCGAGCGGAGCAAGATAATCTCCACTGTAACTTTGCTCTGCTCGAATGCTACTTGAAAATAGAGTCTCAAAATCACCATCTCGCTCCGCTCGATAGTGGAACAACAATAATTTTTACTGTAACTTTGCTCTACTCGAATGCTACTTGGAAATAGAGTCTCAAAATCACCATCTCGCTCCGCTCGATAGTGGAGCCTCAGAATGCCACCATATATCTACTCTCTCCATCTACTACACGCTATGTCAGTGTCGCTAGTCAGTGTCGCTAGTCAGTGCTGCTCCACTATTTCGCTCTGCTCGATAGTGTCACTCGTCTAGCATCAAGTAAATTTCTTCTCCTTATGTTCCCTCACCTGTTTCTTCTTCTGCTCCAACTCTTCCTGGTTCGCATTATAACTGATGTTTGTAATTTGATTCATTGGGTTTTCACTCAGCTTTTGAAACTCTCTAAATACAAGATTCTTAATCTGTTGCAACCTCAACCCAGGATTCTCCTTTCTAATCTCAGGCAATCTCTTCTCTTCATATGCATTATATGCAGCTTTGACCCTCCTCTCAGGGTGTCTATCAATGTCCTTTGACGAAACACCAGAATCCTTACCAGTCAATGCCAACGCTTCCAACGCATTGTCTAACCCAGTTGCACTCAATTCCGGAGTATCTTTATTAAAGTCAAGGAAATCATCAATTTTTCCACTTCGTTTAGCTGCTACTTTAGCTGCTCCTCGTTGTTTCTGACTAACAGGTTTGGAGGGCATACTTGCCTCTTCAGCAGCTAATAACGCTTCTCGCTCTTGCTTCTTACGAGCTGCTTCCTCTCTTTTAAACTGCTCTTCTTCTTGTTTTTTATTACTCTTCTTTGATCCTTGCTCCCACTTGGAACTTTCCTCTTGCTCAAGTTGCTCAAGTACTTCATGCTTCTTTTTATTGGCTTGCTCTGCTTTACGCGCGTTTCCAGCGGCCTTTTTGGAATTCTCTCCTGCTTGTTTCTTTGCCATCTTGGAGATAAAATGAAGAAAAACTAGAGTATGGTTGAAAACTAAAAAGACGTTTCATTTTTAATTTTCAATGAAGAGAGTAAATGCGAGCCTGGAAAAGGTTTTTGGGAATGGGTGCAAATCGAGCAGAGCGACCAACACTATCGAGCAAAGCGAGATAGTGGAGCAACAGTAAAATATACTGCAACTCGACACTATCGAGCAGAGCGAGTAATCTCTCCTGCAACTCCACAGTAATCTCTACTGCTTCCACCACTGAAGGAGATATTTATATAAAATTGATCATGCATTGTTTACATAGATACAAGTCTTTCCCTCAAAGGTTTAGTCAGTGCTGCACTATCTCGCTTCACTCGATAGTGTCGCTTCACTCGATAGTGTCGCTTCACTCGATAGTGTCGCTTAAAGTTTATTAGGTCTAAATACGATCCTGCCTCTAACTTTATTATCTTCCAAATCCTTCAACATTTGAGGCAATTTGTTAAAATCTACAACTTTATAATTTGGTTTTATCAATCCTTTTGAAATCCAATTTAAACATTCACCAAGTTCACTTGAATTTCCTCCAAAGTTATAAATAACTTGCACTTCCCTATATAGAAAAGTGAAGTTGGGCATCTTCAATTTATATCTACCTATCCCAACCATAACAACTGTCCCCTTCTGCTTGATAAACTTATCAGTATTATCCACGGTTGGTTGAATACCAACAAAATCAAAGATTACGTCAAAAGATTTAGCCGGGTGTAAACAATTTTTCATATCACTATAAAATTCACTAGCTCCATATTCAATGGCTGTTTTTTTGATATCCTCCTTGACGTCGGTAGCAATAATGGTGCAGTTGTAATTTTTCAAAATTTGTATTGCATTCAATCCTAAACCCCCACAACCTTGAACGAGTACTTTTGATGTTGGTTGTATTTTATGCTTTACTTTTTGTATTGCATGAAACGGGGTTAAAACCGAGTCTGTGGCTACTGCTGCTGCTTCAAAACTCACATTATCTGGTATTGGTAATAATGTACGTAAATTCTTAATCAACAAAAACTGCTGGAACCCACCATCTTCATTCAACCCATATGCCTGTGAGGAATTGCTGCAACTTCCATCAAGTCCTCTTCTACAGTTGTCGCATACGCCACATGCGTGGTTTATTTGCAAAGCAAATCTAGCGCCTTGACAGTAAGTTGGATTTTGCTTCAACTGCTCTCCAACCAGATAAACACTACCGGCAATTTCATGACCCATTACAAATTTAGAAAGTTGCCGTGTTGGAGGCATACTCTCTATTGGTCCTCCTTGTAATGTATGTGGATCAGAAAGACATAATCCTGCAGCCTCAACTTTTAAAACAAGCTGGTCTGGACCTGGTTCTGGAATTGGCAAGTTTGCAAATTTTTGAATTGTTTTAAATTGAGCATCATATCCATAACCAACCTGAGTAGGCATTATGTATGTAACCAACCTATTTGTGAGAAATGAGAGAATGGAAGAGAAGAAGAAGAGTGTGTACAACTTTTAGTCAATGCAATTTAGATCTATTAAATAAGCCCCAGTTTTGTAATATAGATCTATTAAAGAAGCCCCTAGTTTGGTAATAAAGATCTATTGAATAAGGCCAAGTTTGGTAATGGAGATCTTTAATTGTAATTTTTTTGTGGGGTACTGCGCGCGGGGGGCGCATCGAGGAATTACTCGGCAAATGATTTTTACTCCTCACCGTTTACACTATCGAGAAGACACTATCGACCAGACACTATAGAGCAGACACTATCGAGCAGAGCGAGATAGTGTAGCAACACTTGGTACCTCAATCCTGGTGTTGCACAGATTGCAGCTAGGGTTGTGCGGAGAGAGCTGCGGAGAGTTGTTTGTATAGAGCTGTAGATAGAGCTGTGTGTATAGACAACACTGACTACCGACACTATTTACACTATCTTGCATCGCTCGATAGTGGCTTCTTATTTGGGAGGGATTGAAAGCACAATACAATGGGTGCTATACGAACAAATGTAACCGTTGAAACTTTTTATTCGGCTAAAACCCGCTCAGTTGAAATTTCAGTGGGTTGATGATGCGTCGATTGGAATTCTCTGCTCGATAGGGTGGCAGCTAGTGTTGGTGGCAGCTAGTGTCGGTCGATAGTGTCGGTGGCAGCTAGTGTCGGTGGCTGTTAGTGTGCCCCACTATCTCGCTCTGCTCGATAGTGTCGCTCGATAGTGTCGCTCGATAGTGTCGCTCAATAGTGTGAAAAAATATCTGATGAATAATTAAGAATAAAAATATGGTAATGCTTAATATCTCTTGGAAATTATTTAAGGAAAAGGTTCTTGGTACATTGGATCTGAAGCTTATCTGTAGTCTTTAGTAGCCTTTAGCTTTTATTATAAGATGTTCTGTTGGACAGAACATAACACACGGGGTTGTTTAATTAGTTGAACTAATTGAACTTACCAAAAGCAACTCAATTAACTATTCTTTCTACTCTCTACTCTCTATTTTCACTAGCATCTTGATTCTATAAAGTTCAACTACATACTAGCCTAGCCGTTTTCAAACAACATATTCTGAATATCTAAGCAACTGCTCTAAAAAGAAACCAAACCTATGTAAACCCTTTCTCAATTATCCCACGTAAACCCTTTCTCAATTATCACTTTCTTCTATTATCACTTTCTTCTCTTTAAACCTTTCCCTCTTTTATCGTCTAATATAACTATACCTACAAGCTAATTTCTCCATAATATTCCATCCTTCTCTCTAGCCTTGTTATCGCGCTACCACATGCGTTCAGGGGTACACTAAAGAGAATTGGGGGTAGTGCACGATTGCTCAATATGTTTGGCCAACTTTTCCTTCAAAAAGAATAAAGCGTAATAGAGGGACACACCTAACTCCCTTCCCCCCCTTCCCCCCTTCCACCCCACCCCATTTTGATGGATTTAGTTTGTGCTTAAAGCCTATTTCAAGACAGAGAGAGGCATCTTTAACACGTGAAGGAAGTTTCCGCTTATCAGAAGAAAGGAAAATCTACCAGTTTAAACAGTTACTCACCTGATTTTGTCGTTTCTTGATTTTTACTTTAAATTTTTTTTTTGGGGGGGGGACTTGTTGATTGAATATGGTTGATAAATCAGAGAGTACAAGTAATGGTGGTGCTCCAAATGCGTCGCTGAGTACTCCGCCGGCTAATGCTAATGCTGTTCCTGCTGCTCCTGCTGTTCCTGCTGCTCCTGCTGCTCCTGCTGCTGCTACTTCGGATTCCATGACAAATACCAAGCAAACATTGCCACCAACACCTGCTAAGGTGTCTTTAGGTTCGACGGTACATGCACCGTCTTTTTCCTTTAATAGTAATAAAAACCAAGCATCGCATGATCTACTCGAAAGCGATATGAAGATCAAAACCATCCTCAATAGTGATTCCGCTCTTGAAGTCCTCCTGGAAAGATTGAAACAGAGCTTATCCACGGGAGAGGAGTTTAGCAAATTCATCAAGAGAAAAGCTCAAATTGAGGATGACCACTACAATCAGTTGAAAAAGTTGGCCAATAATACTCGAACAAGTATGAAGCATAATACCAGAAATTTGAAGAAGGATTCATTACTGTTTCAAATGGAGAAAATCATTGAGTTTGACGAATCTTTGTTTGGCGTGGGATCTAGTTTCGTAGCAGCGATGAACACAATGTACGACGAACTAACATCCTTGATCGCCACAATAGCAAGATCGAGAAAGACAATCAAAGACGAGTATAGGAGGAAAGATAGAGACTGTATCGAGTCGATAGGAGCTGCCGATAAAGCCAAAACTAGGTACAACCATTTGTGTGAAGATTTGGAAAAACTAAAGGCTTCAGATCCGTCCAAGAAATCTTTTAGCTTAAAAAACAAAACAATTGAACAACAAGAGGATGACTTGCAAAAGAAAGTTGATCTTGCAGACCTGGAGTACAAAGCAAAAGTAGCAACATGCAAGAAATTAAAAGACGAAATTTTAATCATACATCGTCCCAACAATGCGAAAAAGTTGAAAAATTTGATTTTAGAAATGGATATTGCATTAAATGTTCAGCTTCAAAAATACGCTACGTGGAATGAAAATTTAATAATGAATTCAGGTGTATTGATTAGTCCCTTACAGTCGTCAAAACCATCAATGAGATCAATGGCAAGCTCTGTCGATAATGAAAAGGATTTGTATGAATATCTCATAAAGCATGGAAATCAAAGTTCAAACAAGTCTCTTGTACCAGTAGAGTATCACATCCACCCTTCGTTAATAAAAGCTAAGGATATTGGTAAACCATTTTTGAGCAACAACAACAATAACAACTACAACAACAACAATAATAATAATAACAACAACAACAACAATAATAATAACTATAATAATAATAGCAGCAGCAGCAACAACAACAACAACAACAATATTAGTAATACAAATTCTGGTAGAATAGTCAATACCACCAGTAATATCAAGGCAGCACTTCCCAACAAACAATGGAGCCACATCAGGACAAAGTCCTCTGCTACCACTACTCCTAACTCTTTGTCAGCCCCATACTCGGGCAATTTAATGCCAAAGACAACTCCGCAAACCGAAGGTGCTACAGCCGACAATGAAAACTCATTGACTACGTCTACATCACCCGCTTCAAACCCAGCTCAACAAAGTTACCTGTCGCTAGACCCTGCAAGTCAACCTTCAACGCCAAACTTGAATGGGCCCAAACCTTTTAACTCAATCGTAACTTACAAGCAACCAACGTTTGGGGTTTCCATAGAAGAAGTGATTACATTTGCAGGAATAGACAATGTGCCGTTGTTAGTTAGGAGATGTATCGAAATAATTGAAACCTATGGCATTGACTTGGTTGGCATATACCGTACCAGTTCCAATGTTAGTCAAGTAACAAAATTGCGCGAGTTGATAGACTCAAACTTTACAAATTATTTACAACTTGGGAAGAACATTGATCCAGACAATGTTTTGGATGCAGATATATTCTGCATTGCTTCATTGCTAAAGCATTACTTTGCAAATTTGCCAGAACCATTAGTGACAAATGCCGAATTGCAATCTTTTCTTGAAACAATCAAGTTGACCGATGAACATTTGGCGGCTGAGAAATTGCACCATTTGGTTTACAACTTGCCTGACGGTTCATATTTCACCTTGAGAGCATTGATATTCCATTTGAATAAGATTGCAGCTAATGAAGCACGTAATAGAATGAATGCCAAATCGTTAGCTATCATTTGGGGACCAGTTCTTTTGAGCGATAACTCCTCCAGTGCGCAGGAATTGAGTTATAAAAGCAAAGTAGTTGAGAAATTGATGGCTATAGCTAATGACATCTTTGAATTAGACGAATAAATTAAACAACTGGAACATACTATTATAATCTGTTCTTCTTCCTCCCCCTTCACGCAAGTTATGTTCATAATTATTAATACATCATGACAGGAACTTTATCCTTTTTTTTCCTTTCATTCTTTTCTTGTGCCAGTTTGTCGTCTCCATTTCGGTAATGTGAAGTCATTGGCTTACCCACACGATAATTACTGCTCAGTACATTCGTACCGTTATTAAAACTTTTACCCTGGAAAAAACTACGCGTTTCGTTCTCTTCCCGTTCTTGTTCCAACTTCAACTTTTCTGCTATTGCTTCTTCCTCTTGCTTTTCAAATTTTGCTCTTTCCTCTGCTTTCATACGCTCAAACTCTTCATCGCTAATACCAAGCAATTTTCTCCTAACGTCCATCAACTCTATTTTTAAAGAATTATGAAACTCCGACGAGTCGATAATCTTTTCTTGAATATCTTTATCAACTATGCTTAAGATGCTATCCTCTGAGCGTGCTGTTGGCGCGGCGGTGGCTATGTTGTTGCTATTGCCATTACTACTGCTATTGCTATTGTTGGGAGTTGTATTGGTGGTTTCACCACTGCTACTCTGCATATTCCCACTATTAGGGTTAACAATCTCGCCCAAGATTAAAGCAGCCATTTTACCCTTGTTCTTCATCAATATCGACGGATCATTCTTCACTTTGGATTCAATCATCACTCGTAGTTTGAGTAGTAGATTTTCACAAGTTTTAGAAGTTTTGAAACTCTCTAATAGTTCCTTCCTTTGCTTATCAAATGTGCCGTTCTTCTTATATATTGTCGTGAGATGTTTCGGATCCGTAACCTCAACCTGAACCAGCAGCGTGGATTCCGTCTTTTCCTCCATCATCATTAACCTTATCCCACTATAAAACGAGATGAGATGAGATGAGATGAGATGAGATGATGAACGATAATACAAGCGCGAAAAAATAAAATGTATATCAACAGGAGGAAGAAAAGAAGTTGGGATTGTAATAGTAAGAAGAGATTGGGGTAAAGAAGAAAGGAGACAACTGGTACTAGAGAGTTTGTTTTGAAGTTTTATATTACCCGCCCACCAGCAGCAGCTCTCATATTATCTGCTACGACGGTTTTGCACCACCTATGCCCAAAGCAATTGCGCAAGTACTAGACTTGGGTTCAGTTTCAGGAACGCCTCCAGGTGAAAGAACATTTTCACACTTGGTCACCTCATCAAGCTCGCTAGAGAAGAAAAATAGCCGTGGGCAATATAAGAATAATGGTACGGAGCTTATGAAGAGGAAAAGACCGCTAGAGTCTGGAGAAATTGGTGGTGGTGTTGATGTATGCACAACTGAACGTGTTGAAAGGTTGCTAAGAGAAACAAAGTCGATTTTATACACCGTTATGGATCGGATCATAGAGGGCAGATCTCTAGGGTATTCAACAGCCCACATTCATCGCTTAGTGGAGAATGTTTGTAGGTACAAACACGCCGAGATGAGAGAATTGGCAGATGTGATTTTTGAAAAATTGGAACAGTATTTGAAGGGGATTATTAACGAGACGCTTTTGGGTGGGGAAAGCAAAGACCTTTTTAAAATGAACAATTCCAGTAATGAAATGGTTGTAAAACGGGCTACAAACGTTTTGAAAAGCTGGAATTTATGGTATAATGCGTTTTCCAAGATGAGTAAAGTTTTTTCATTTATTGATGGAAAATACTTGCTACTGCATTATTCAAAGAAACAACTTGTTGAATTTGGGTACTCAAGTTTTGCCAAACGGTTTTTCTTTGACATTTATTGTAATGTGCATATGCCCTTGGTACTGATATACTATTTGGATATGGATAAGCAAGGCAGCGAGCAAGATAAAAAGAGGCTAAAGCAACTTTATCAGGATATCACGACTATAATGACGGATTTGGAACCTTTTATGGAGGCGCAATCTGAAAATCAAGAGGTTGAACTTTGTGATTTCCTGGAAGTGGTTCTTGAATCAATTATACTGGCGAATGACGCTTTGAAATCAAAAGATGATTCCTCTCGTGGTGTTTCAGTACAAAAATTGTTTAAAATTATGGATGACGAATGTCGATTTTATGCAGCTTGTCACAAATCTGACGATTTTGTCAAATCTCTACTTCGAGATATGAAGTTTCGAATGCTTTTCCAAGACTTTCAAAGCGTTGTCACGCCTAGTTTTGCTGATTTATTAGAGTCGCCGCGCGAGATGCAACTTTTGTGGAAGTATTGCCTCGAGGTTAAAGAAACACACGGTTTAGATGCCGTGGCATTTTTGCTTTTTGAGTGGAAAAATTATTGTGTTTCTGTTCTAACGGACTCATTCAAGAAGTATTGTGCTGGTGGTGGTGGTGATGGCGGCGGTAGTAGTAACAGTAGCAGCAGTTTGGTTTCTACAGATGAGTACCCAAGCATAATATTTTACGCACAGAGAGTTTTTGCTACTCTTGACCATCAACGGGAACAAAATCTCAATGGCAATGATCAATTCAAGAGCAAGCTTAAAAGCGCATTGGAAGAAGTCGTCAATTCTGAGGAGTACAATTTGTATACTATTCAGCAGTTGTGCAAGTTTTGTGACACTTATTTCAAGTCCATGTTCAAAGCGTACCCGCGAATAGCCTGCCTGGTTTCGTTTCATGAAATCAAACTGCATGTTATTTTATTCTTTAAGGCGTTGAAAAACAAACAAGACTTTTTGAGTGCTTACAAAAAAGAAGTTTCAAGGAGATTGCTTTTGGGTAGATCTGTTAGGATAGAGGAGGAGCATCAACTTGCAAAGGAGTTGGTAGGACTAGCGCTCGAGACGGAAACCGCGTCTGGTCTTTTGGCAATGTTTGGAGATTTAGAGACGTCAAAGTCAATTAAAGAAGGTTTCAATGAGAGTGGTGGGATTGAGTTCACTCCATTGGTTTTGGAAAAGCAAGTTTGGCTTGATATACCAAATGAGAAACATGACCATATAAAAATGCCTAAAGAACTCCAAGACTTACTAAACAGGTTTGAGTTGCATTATCAAGAAAAGGACTCAAAGTATAAAAACAGAGAAATAGATTGGTCGAATTATAAGTTGCACCAATTGACAATTGCGGGACAATTCTCCAAGGGTGAAGTTTTAATATCGGCCAATTTATTACAGGCTACAATTTTAGTGTTATTCACAGAAAAGCCTACCTACAGCTTGAGTCAGCTAGAGAGAGAAACAGGAATGGATTTGAAGTTATTGCAATCGGTTCTAAACACTATGAACCAGGGCAAAACCAAAATCCTAGATCAAATAGGCAACACAGTGCATTATAATTCAGATTTCAGAGCCCTTTCATCATCAAAAGTCAAACTTCCTCCTATTAAAGAACTGGCTAAAATCGGATCGTTTAGTCTTGATGCAAAGGACAACATCCACAACATTATTGAAAAAGAGGTGAATCAAATTGTTGACCATAATAGGTCAGAAGAGTATGAAGGTGTTATTGTGAAAATCATGAAAGCTCAAAAGAGTTTAACAGTGACGGATTTACTAAACAGATCCATGGTAATATTGGAAAAACGAAGACCAGTGACAATCATTGCTTTAAAAGCTTGTTTGGAGACTTTGATAGATCGTGAATATATCAAACGAAATGGTACTGAAATAGTTGAATATATTCCTTAAATGCAACACACACATATATATATATATATATATAAACTCCTACTTCTTTATAAGCCCTTTACTTGTTGATAGAATCTATAGTGAGTACTGAACATCATATACAATAAAAAAGCTAATATCGGCTCTCGTGGTTGTAACGAGGTGCAAAGTGTTGCTCCACTATCTCGCTCTGCTCGATAGTGTTGGCCTCTTATTGTGGAACATCTTCTGGATCTACATCTTTAATCCAATGTTGACCAAAAAACGGAATCTTTTCGTAAAACGTTTGTTGGAACAAAGGAACACCTTCTGTGAATACTGCAACTGCAGCACCAATACCAACACCCCAATACACCAAGTTTGGCAAGTATGACCTTGTTAAAGGGGGGTTTAATTTCCCAAAATGTGAAATTGCCTTATAAGCTGGACCTTTGACGTACTATAAAAAATAAGTTAGCAATGTGTTTCAAACATTGAAATCCCAACAGCCCTTCCATTACTCCTCCTTTACCTCCACCTCCATATGTCTCTTCTCGACTCCTCTAGTGTATTATAACATACTGAAACCATTTCTTCTTTACTGAACCAAAACGAAATGCTTTAATCACCTTGTATTATTTTTCAGTTTGATTTCATTGGCGAGTAATCGATGTCGCAAGTAGAAAGAGATTAGCGACATGGAATTTTTTTTGCGACAATGACTAAGTTATGAGTTAAGCTACTAATAGGCAAGGTTGGTAATGGGCCAAGCTACTAATAGGCAAGGTTTGTCGATAAAGCAAATGTGTTGTGGGTTAAAAGAGATGCATTATCAGGTTTCGTTTTTGTTGATAAATATGTGTAAATACTACTAAACTTCTACACCAAAGTGCCACATCTCTTGCACATATATACTTGAATCACAAGGTCCTACTTTTCAGCCTTTTTCGGTATAATTTGGGTTTTGGAGCTGCCAGCTACTCAGTATCCCTAGTCCTCGTCAGTGTTGTAACAGGCTACCAAGTGCTGCTCGATAGTGTTGTACCAAGCTAGTCGGTGTTACTCAACAAGCGTCGGGCTGTTTCATAATATAATCAATTGCTTGGCCTACAGTCTTTATCGAGTCCGCCTCATTATCAGGTATTTGTATATTAAACTCATGTTCCAACTCCATGACAACTTCAACCACATCTAACGAATCCAACCCCAAATCCTGAATAAAACTCGATGATTCCGTAAGTTCGCCAACTTTCTTAAAATCCACCTTGTCAAAACCTTCTAATAACTCTATAATTCTTTCCTTTGCTTCCTCTCTGGTCAATGCTGGGAATCCGGAATATAAACGAGTAAAATTAAGACTCAAACTTGGTTGGGATTGATGCGAAAATGAGCAAAGCTTACTAGCTGTTCTCTGGCGAAACAACGTAGCTTTGCAAGTCGTAACAAATGACCTTTGACCTAACCTAATTCCCCTTGATATCACGTTTCTAAGCATCGTTTAACCTACCCTAATTCACTACTACTATCCACCGAAAAGTTGGATAACTTAGCCCTTGTCTTACTTGATCAACTTTTTTTTTTTCTCTCAATCTTTAGTGGTTAGTAAGTAAAAAAAAATTTTTCAAGTTTAATATATGGGGAATTAAAGAAACAGTGGAACTAGTAGTAATAGGTAGGTAGGACACGGGTTTGGCTTGTAGAAATTGGAAGGTATGTTTAGGTTAATGTTAGGATTACGTGGTCGCTCGTTAATGGCACTACCAACGGCGGCTTCAGGTCAATTTTCGACTTTATATTTCAAGTCGATTCAAAGTATTCATCCAAAAACCAATGGCATTACTTCTCAAGCAACGCAGTTTTCTCAGCAGTTACGATATTCGTCTATAAACCAAATACTCAAATCAAAGCATTTTGATCCTGTGAAAAAGCGTCCTACAAAATCACCAGATTTAGAACGATGTCCGTTCAAAAAGGGTGTGATACTACGTATAATGGTTTTGAAGCCAAAGAAACCAAACTCAGCTTTGAGAAAGTGTTGTAGAGTAAGATTAACCAATGGGAAAGTGATAAGTGCTTTAATCCCCGGAGAGGGCCACAATTTGCAAGAGCATCATGTTGTTTTAGTTCGTGGCGGTAGAGTTCAAGATGTGCCTGGTGTAAAGTACCATTTGGTTAGAGGGGCCTTTGATCTAGTCGGTGTTGCTAATAGAATGTCATCGAGAAGTAAATATGGTGTAAAGAAACCAAAACAGTAGAATTAAGAGTTGATTGTATATCTACATGTACATATATATATATATATATATATCAATTTGTTCCCCCTTTTTTTTTTTTTTTTTTTGTTTCCTTATACCCTAACATCGAATCTTCTACCACTAGCAGTCTTTCTATTCTCAATAACCTTTCCTTCATCATCCAAATTCTCCGGTTTAGCTCTATTCAAAATCTTCAAAAACTCCTTGACTCTAAATCTCATTCTTGAATGCATGTATGCTTTTGAACATTTGATGTGATAATGGAAATAACTTCTAAACATTTGAATGTGTGATATACAATTTTCTCGTTTATCGCCACGAACCAAATGTCTAGGAAACAATACAAACGTAACGTATCCCTTGTTTTCATCCTTAGACGAACCTTGAACACAGTTTTGAATGTCCAAAGGTGCCTCAATATGGGAGTATAAAACTTGAGGTGCAGTTTGTACCGATCTCTTTCTAGCATCAACAAACTCTTGTAAAAAAACCTTACCGAAAATCTTATCGGTCTCATCTTGAAACAAAGTTGAGAAAATAACAGTAACTCTATCAAATGAAGGTTTCAAGTATATGGTCTCATCAGCACCTCTATATCTTATAACTAAAACCTCTTCATTACTCAATTCTTGCTGGACTTCCTCGGCATAGGTGTTTGCATTTGCGTATTTCTTGGCCAATTCGTCATACCTTTCAAAAGCCTTATGGAAAGGAGCAGCTATTGAATGACGCTTGAACAAGCTCAAGTTTTCAATCAATGTTAATTTTGTCTCTTCGTCATCGCGAGATGCCGCGTCAGTATCCAACAAAAGTGAATAATTGTATCCTTGTTCAGCTTGAGCTTTATCCAAAATAGTCAAATTATTGAAGTTTTGAAATTTTGATCTTAAATAGTCCAACACGCCATATTTAAGCAAATCGTTCCAGCACTTGAGATTGATGGATACAAGTAGTTTGGTCTTGTCTCCAGGAATGGTACTGAGGTGATATGTGGTGAAATCAAAGTCAGTGATTATACGATCTAATGACTTTACCGAGTCTCCTGCTACAGGGAATAACCGCTCAGTTAAAGTTTTCTGTATAAGTAGATTTTCTTGCTCAATCTTTAGCATCTTAAATGACAAGAGGTGGGGTCAATGTTTGTATAAACTTATATATCGGTATCAAGCAACTATTATCCGTCAACATCTATATCCGGAAAATTCATAAATGAATATCGGCAAGGACAAAAGAAGAAAGAGCAAAGAGCTACCAATTGCCTCAAGATACAATGGTTGATTTGAAAATTATATATCAAGGGATAAACTCTATAAAGAAACTTTTTCAGTGAAAGTTGTACTGCTTTGGTGCAGAAGAAGAAAAAGAGGAGGAGGATGAAGATGCCACCAGGTGGTTACCACCACCAACACCAACACCAACTGTTGTAGCAGCAGTACCAGTAGTATTAACAGTTGCTGTAGTAGTAGTAGCAGTAGAGATTTCCTTAGACCAACCTGGAATATCCTCACCCAGACCCCCAACGGGTCTTTCTAAAACCACGTTTTCCAACCCTAAAGCGTCTCGAAGCCAAGGGTGGTTAAGCATTCCACCAGCATCTGCTCTATCTTCAGGTTTCAAGGCCAACATGGGCAAAAGGAAATCTGCCATTTCAATTGAGTCCAGAATGGAGAATTTGTACTTTTCAACAAAAATATCCTTTAAGCCCCATGGCTTCAATTTGGTTATTCTTTTCAACTCGTGGCGAGAAGTGAAGAAATCACGGGCATAAATTGACTCCTTCAACATCATACGAGGAAAGTTCCCAAGTAATTCAATAATTTGAGCGATATGATCATCATCTTTGGAGTAAGATTTGCCATCTCGCGGATCGAATAAGTAATCACCAGTGAGGAGCTCAAATATCAATGCTGCAAAAGACCATAAATCACTAGAACAACCCCAATGGTATCCCAATAGTACCTCTGGAGATCTATACTGGCGTGTCTGAATCTCATCAGTGAAATGATGGTCTGTCCAACATGCATTTCCCAAATCTGCTATTTTCACGGAAATCAACTCATCTTCATTTATGACATCATCCACTTTAGCGGAAGTATCATCTAATCTATAATTCGAATCATTGGGAATTTGTACCGGATCAACACTTACTGCTTGGTAGGAGTTGGAGTTTGTCATTGACATTGAGGATAAGGAATTGTTTAGTGCTGCTTCTTCAATGTCATTGTCCTCATCATGACGTTCAGTTGTTGTTTCTAGTGGTATGGCTAATGTTGCGCTGTTGTTTAGATTTGTATTCATACTAAGGCTCTTGACCGGTGTGTTTGATGTGGTCGTAGAGAACCCATAAATATTTGTAAACGATTTATTGAATGTTCTCAATGGGGAGGGTAATGGCTGTGATCCAGTTATCAAAGTTTGCCTTCTTGACCTGCGACCACTTCTGCCTAATGAAGGGGATAATATTTGACTTGACGGAGACGTGATAGTTCCCATTTTGTCCCCAGTTTTCCCGTCTTTAGAAGCTGAATTTTGAGTATAAGAGCTGCTAGGAGTTGAGTTCTTAGACGACCTCAGTAGCTTCTTCAGTAATTTGCGTTTAAGATTCTCTTGCTCGACTATACGCACAATCTGCTCAACATCTCCAATTTCAATAAGTATATTCTCAGGTTTCAAGTCAGTGTGGATAACTCCACAGCATCTGTGTAAGAAATCCAATGCCGAAAGTAATTGCTTGGCAATTTGTTTAACAAATACAACAGGAATCCCTTTATGTTTGTACCTTCTAATCAACCCGAGTAGATTTTCTCCTAATACTTCAAAAACCATAACGACATGTACACCGTTTGGTCCCTTGTGCGTAAAAGTGTCAAGTAACTGTATAACATGTTGATGTCCTGGATGGTGTATATCACAAGTTGTAACCTTGTCCAATAATTTGATTTCGTCTACAGCAGTCTCGGTATAATGTCTAGCTGATCTGACTACCTTTATAGCAACATGGCATTGCTTATCGTTATCTCTGGCGAGCCATACCGTAGAGAAATGGCCCCAGCCTAATTTACGAACAAGGGTGTATTTTCCGTTTTTATATTCTTCTCCAATGTAGCATGGATGATAACCTCCAGGAACGTAATCTTGCAAATTCTCCTCATCTGTAGGGTTCATGGGCTCGTCATCATCCTCATCCTCATCCTCATCCTCATCATCATTATCGTCGTCGTCGTCGTCGTCGTCGTCGAGACCGTCTACTCTTCGTTCTTCCCTTTTGTCTCCTTCTAGTTCAGTTTCTGAACCATCGTTACTCATCGCTACGTCTAGGCCATCTTTCTTGTTTTCAAGGTTGGCTTTTTTCGCCCGTTCAAATGCATGTTCTTCACGTAGTTTCTGTTTCTTTCTTGACTCTTCAAGTTCCATATCTTGATAATAATGATGGTGCAAATGATATTGAGTTCCCTTTGATTTCACTTCTAGTCCTTGCTCACTATCATCAAAACTTTCGTTTGCGCTAAAATCTTTATGGCCTAACCAAGAACCATCTTTATCCTTATCTTTATCGTTATTGTCAATAAAAGAGCTCTTTTTCTCATCATCCAACGTGGTTTTCAAAGGCGACAATTCTGGCTTGAAATGTTTTGCTGACGACGGAGTTGTTGAAACATATGGAGTGCTATGTTGTATCAAATTGGGTAATAGTGAAGGACTGGGTATTGGCTTGAAGCTAGTTAGCCCATTCTGAGTTCTAGAGAACCCTTTCAAATTTAGTTTATCATTGATTACACACAAGTTGTCTTTACTCAAGTACTCGTTATTGCTCTTGGTCAAATTACTAAAATTGTGAATTATTGATGAAGAATTTGTTGGTGTGGAAGTTGACAATGTTGTTGTGGTATGATGAGCGGTGCTGGATTTCATGTGTGATGACCGATACCTGGTGGTCAGTAAACCGCCAGAGTTCCCATTGTTACTATTTTCGTTACTTGTTGTTGCTGATGTTACTGATGACTGATGGCCGGATTGTAGAAAAGTGCCACTTTTCGTACGTAAATGATGTCGCTGTTTCTGTTGCAGAAATGGTGGCTCATTATTAGTAGTAGTATTACAAGAATATGAAGTGTGATGGCTGTATGTGCGATGGTGCTGGTGCTGGTGCTGTTGCTGTTGCTGTTGCTGCTGATGCTGCTGTTGCTGTTGCTGCTGCTGCTCTTGTTCTAATACATCTGCCTGTTGTATAGCTATGGAAAGCTTTGACTTTGTATTTGGCATGAAAAATTAAAGACAAATCACTCTGATGGGAAAACTATGTTATGATAAAACTTGTAAAGATAATACTCAATACGGTGGGGTAGGGGGTAGGTGATACGACAGATCTTGGGTGGGAGGAGGGGACAATGAAAGTATTTTCGAGGAATCTAAATTATCTTTAACTCTCCTGAATGGCCCTTAGTAGTAACACCTTGATCAACGACAACGGTGACAATAGACTAGGATGGAAAAAAAAAGCACTTGATACTCTTTGCTTATGGAGCCAACGATTGTGCTACTGGATAAAAATGAGATAATAACAAAGATTTCCAGTTTTGTCACCAATGGGCTTGTAAGAGCTTATATCTTCGCGTTTGAAGTTGCACTCAGTTTATACCTCGAACGAAAAATTTATATCCTGGGGGGAGGCTAGGTAAGGGGGAGGCTAGGAGGGCTAGGGTAAAATAAAAATTTTTGTGTATAAATATCGCCTTAAATCGAGTCGTTTCTCAGTTAAAACAAGTTATGGTAGTAATGGATCAGTGCGCGATGAGGGTAGAAAACAATGAACGAAAAGGCGATGATGGGGGTGGTATGAGCTGATTTAATAACAATGAAGAAGTGATCTCTCGGACTCTGTGAATTTGGATAATTTTTTTTCCCCTTTGATTCGACTCGCACATGTGTGAGCATTGAAGCATTCGTCAATTCAAAATAAGTCAAAACAATTCAAAAGGCGAATGCTTACCAGCGAAGCTGGAAAGAAAGAGAGAAGGGAGGAAGAGGGAGGATATGGAGGAGAATAATGAGAGAATAATGAGGAAGCAATGAGGAGGTAGTGTTGTATATATGTGAGTAGAAGAGAGTTAGTAAGTAGTGTTGTATACATGTGACTAAAAGGGAGTGTGTATGCATATGAGTAAAAGAGAGTGTGTATATGTGGCTAGAAGAGTGTAAGTGTGAATGTGTGACTAGAAGAGAGTGTGTATGTATATGAGTAGAAGAGTGTATGCATATGAGTAGAAGAGTGTATGTATATAAGTAGAAGAGTGTATGTATATGAGTAGAAGAGTGTGTATATGTGACGAGAAGAGAGTGAGAGTGAATGTGTGAATGTGCTTTAGTAAAGTTCTTCATTCAGCTCAAGAATCTCTACAAGTTCAAAAAGAAAACAGAAATGCAAGAGTATACGAGTTAATTATTAACTAGCCATTTTTTCATTTTAAACGATATTCCCTAGCTTTCTACTCTCGTATAATGAATAACTATAGTCTACTCGATAGTGTCGCTCGATAGTGTCGGGGACAGTCAGTGTGCTCCACTATCTCGCTCTGCTCGATAGTGTCGCTCGATGGTGTCGCTCGGTAGTGTCGCTCGGTAGTGTCGATTGAATCACTAACTTCTTTACATTAATCAATATGTATCCTATTTATATATCTACATTTATAACGATAAATTATTTCATAAACGGCTGGTTTTTTTTTTTTTTTTCCCCCAGCTACGTATCATGGGATAAAACTTATTACTGCTATGTTTTAAATCTCTTATTTCATCTTAGTGTCTCCTTCGGCATCCTTGTCTTCGGACTTTGTGTTTTTCCTATTTTCAGCCATTTTTTCAGCCATTGCTTCAGCTTGTTTGGCTTCTTGCTTTTGACGATACTGTTCCTTTTTTTCTTGCTCTTTTGCTAAATATCTACCACGAATAACATTACCAATTGATGCCAACTCCTCATATTTGGCAATATATCTGGCCTTGCTTGAATCTTCACCATCTCCATAAAGCCAGTCTTCTGCTTTTTCCAATAAACCATTCAATTTTTCAACTTCTTGTGGAGATGCAAATTCCTTATACTGGTCGTCCAACTTACCTCTCAACTCATAAATATATTCTTCCAATTGGTTTTTTCTCTCTTCGGTATCAGCAACTAATTTATCCTCCATAATCATTTGTGCTTCTTCTTCAATATATTTCTGTAATTGAGGTTCTGGTAATGCTGCACATTGAACATCAATTGTACATTCATCCTTCTTAACTAGTTTCTTAACTTCCCTATATTGTGGTTCTTCATCTTCATCATTGTCTTCATCTTCTCCTTCGCCTTCGCCTTTGCTCTCACCGTCACCTTTGGCTTTGTCTTCACCCTCGTCTTTGGCTTTAGGTGTTGGCTCAATCAATTCTTTAACAATTTGTTCTTCAACAGTATGTGCTGATTCAATAGTGTAAAAACCTGATGGATCATTTCTCAACTTCAATTTAACTGCAATCGATGGTTCATTTGCACCTGGATTAACATTGCCAATTTTCCATTTGGCAATATTATGCTCTGTACCTTTTGGTAATTCCTTATGCTTGGTATATTTAGCTTCAACATCAAAACTAGGACCTTTTCTATACAATGTAATGATCTTAGTGCATGGGAACAAACCACCTTTGGGGAAGACTTCTAAATGGTCTTCATCTTCGTTATCTTCCTTGTCCCAGAAGTACGACACGGTATACTGGTTATAGTCTTCAAATTTGAATGGTCTAACTCTAACAGTTGGTGAATGACATGCACAGATGTAAGCATTACCTTTTGCAATAGCTTCATCTTGATTCAAAGTAAAAGATAAGGGTTTACCAAAAACTTTGGAAATGGCATCTTTAACTGCTGGAATTCTCGATGATCCACCAATAACTTCAATTGAGTCCAAATCGCTTGCTTTCAAACCAGCTTCTTTCAAAGCAGACTCAACTGGAACGTGCAATTTCTCCAATAATGGCTGGACTAATTGTTCCAACTCTTCCCTAGTTAATGATGAAGAAACATCTACATCGTTCATAACACTTTCAATATTGAGAGGAGCTTGGGTATTTGCACTCAAAACTTTTTTCAATTTTTCGGCAGCAGTTAAAACTCTGTAAAATGCCTTTGGATTTTCTCTAACATCAATCTTGTACTTGGTTTTGAACTCCTCAGCAAAGTGTTCAGCAATAGCATAGTCAAAGTTTCTACCACCAAAGTGCTTATCAAAAGCGGCACCAAGAATCTTCAATTCTCCTCTTTTAACAGCGGCTATGGAAACCTGATAAGAACTGTGACCAACATCAACAAAGGCAACCTTCTTATACTCGTCTTCTGGTAACTCAGCAGCTTTGAAAACACCGTATCCTACAGCGGCAGCAGTCATTTCATTGACGATTCTCACTGGGTTTAAGTTGGCAATTCTACATGCATCTGCTGCTGCACGACGTTGCTTTTCGGTGTACCAACCTGGAACGGATAAACAAATATCAGTAATGTTACCCTTAGTCTCCTTGTGAGCTGTGTCCTTAATCTTGCTCAAGTACATAGCCAATAACTGAGTGGCACTAAATTCGTGGTCTTTGTTCAAATATTTGACTTTTGCACCAACGCCTCCGTGACTTTGCTTACTTTTCACTAAAGGAACAGTAAAGTATTTTTCTTCAATCTGGTAATCTGGATGGTTATGTGGCAACCCAACGATCCTCTTCAAATTCTCAACGGTGTTCTTGATATTCGAGGTTTGTTGATTTTTTGCCGATTCTCCAAGATACCTCGACTTGGGACCAAACCCAACTAGAGAAGGAGTTGACCTATTTGAGACTTCATTGACCACAATGTCAATACCTCTGTTCTTAGCACAAGCAATAACCGTACTATAGTTACCTAAATCAACACCAAATGGAACAGACATCTTCTATATATCTTATAGTTCTTATAGCTCTTATGGCTCTCTCTTTCTCTCTTTTTCTGCCAAAAAAAACAAACCACAATGGTTAAAATCACTCAAACTGAAAAATTATCTTGTACTATAAGAACTGTTTTCTTTTATGCTCTGGTGAAAAAAAAAACGATGATGATCTCGCAGAGTCGTGCAGCAGTGTACAATTACGAAAGGAGCATGGGGTCGTGTATTTGTTGGTTCTAAATACCGTTCTAGTAGATTCGGTAATGTTCTTTTCAATTCTAAAAAGTAGCAACCAACACTGACAAGTTGTCCACTATTGAGTAGAGCGACACTATCGAGCGGCACGACACTATCGAGCAGAGCGAGATAGTGGAGCCATACTTTGTACCTTGTTACAACCACGAGAGCCGATATTAGCTTTTTTGTTGTATATGATGTTAAGTACTTACTATAGATTCTATTAACATTACTGCAGATTTTAAGTACTCACCATATATTGCTGTAGATTTTCTCACCATATATTGCTGTAGATTTTCTCACCATATATTGCTTTAGATATTAAGTACTTACCATAGATTCTATTGACATTACTGTAGATTCGACACTATCGAGCAGAGCGAGATAGTGGTGCACACTGACTAGCATTACTGTAGATTCGACACTATCGAGAGCGAGATAGTGGTGCACACTGAGTAGAGACACTGAGTAGAGACGCTGACTAGCGACACTAGAGACACACGGGTTTGATTGTATCCTTACACACAGGTTTGATTACAACACTATCTCGCTCTGCTCGATAGTGTCAGTAGCTTGTTGCAACACTATCTCGCTCTGCTCGATAGTGTCGAGACACTAGAGACACCAGAGACTCTGTAGTCTTTAGCTTCAGACTGTTGCTTCGGAAGAAAAGACTCTTGAGTGCTAATCTTTCCATAGATTCTATCAACATTGCTGTAGATATCAAGTACTTACCATAGATCCTATCAAAAGAATTTATTCTTCCATTCCATTCATGGATGAATTTGCCTACGCATTTTGTTCCAATATCGTTAGTAAACTCTTCCATCCATCGCTTTCCTCCAATTTCAAATAATCCTCATGGTTTTTCAGCTTTATATATAAACACAACAAGTCCACTTCTTTTTCATTTAATATCCCCAATTTAACAGTATGTACAAGCCAATGAAAGTCAAACAAGTTGGCACCATTTTCAGTAATGAATTTGGAAATGGTACTCAAGCTTTGAAAATGTTCCATTGCATCGTCTCCATGACTTAAAAACTCTCTATTCTCAACAATATAGCTCTTGCTCGTGCTAGGGTTGCTGAACATTGGTTGTGGGTCTAAGGGGAACGAATCGGTTAATGACACTAACAAAAACTCACCGGGAAATGTCGGTTTGGCATTTTTCTTCACTTCCAATCCATACTCATTTATTTTTGAGTATTGTATATCGGGAACATACCTCGTATCATTATTCTCATTCATAAAAATTTGCGAAGGTTGCGTCGATCCAGTGATTATATCTGCTTTCACAAGCGACTCAGCACTTGCACTTACTTGATATGATCTCGGTTCAATCTCTCCATGCAACCCACCAGATATAACACATGTAACAAATTTGGAACTAAATTCACCAGTGGCACTATACTTTGTAATATTGGGATTCCAGACCTGATACCTGGCTGCCATTATTATTTCCAAATTAGTCAAGAAGTAACTGTCTCTGTGTCTCTTGCACAATACAGTTCCATCTCTTTTCCCTGAATCGGTTAAATCGGTAAACACCATACCAACTTTGTATATTCCCAACTTTTTGGCAACTTCATCAACTAATTTTTCGTCTTCCCATGGCTGTAAAGTTAATCCATCCAATTCGCCATGCTGAGGAGGCTCGTAAATCGCTTCAACAACAGCCTTGATCCCTAAGGGAACCTTTTCAAATTGTTCATAGTGACCGTACAAGTATCCAAATCTTTGGACCCCACTGGATCTCCAAACATTGATGAAATTATCCAAAATCTCATGCAGCGCGTATTCCACATGATCAACCATTCTAAATTTTTGCAACTGCAACGTGATTGGCGAGGGCTGACATTTGGAACATATACCTCGAGGATATCTTTGGTGTCCTTCGTTACAATTCAAGTTTATTGCAAAGTTGGCATTCTCAAGAGGCGCAATATATGACGATGCTAATTCCTTCTTGTTAAACTTGGCCATTTGTTGTTTTAAATATGCATGGTATGACATATGCTTAATAGCATGTTCTTTGCGGTACGATTCGTCCCACGGTGGTAATGGAGAACAATACTCACACATTCCCTTTGCACCATGACGGCACATGGACGAAATAGGCCTTTGTATCATTCCGTCCAAAAGGTCGAGTTTGTCGTCTACCGGCAATTGATGTACTTTGACTGGTCCATGACCAGATGAAAACGATGCTGAAGGCGTAGGTGCATTTGAACCTGCTTTTGTTACTACTGCTGCTGCTGTTGCTGTTGCTGCTGCTGCTGCTAAAGTGCTAGCGTAATTGAGGTAGAGCAAATCACCATTCTTGAGATTCAAATCAGATACAGATTCGTGAAGAATGCTCAGTAACTTTTTAGTGGAGTTTGGATCGTTATTTGGTTTAGAGGAAACTGTAGCTTCTTCGAGATTAGATTGCGGTAATTTTGGTAGTAATTGATCAATTACAGATTGAAAAGTGGATTCCAGATCAGTATTAACTCTAAACATGCCATCCTTGCATCTAAATCTTAGTATTATTGACATTGCAAAGTAATATATACTTTTATTTGCCTCTAGCTATCAAATATAGTTGAAAGAAAAAAGCCATTACATCACCAAATAATCTAAACCATCTAATTTTTTTTTAATTTTTTTTTTTGTACTTTTTTCACTCTTGCCTTAATAATTGAATCTGATTTTTCACCTAATTTTTGATTGCAAAATGGCTCCACAGATAACGTTTGTTCAATTGACAGATTATCTAGCTGTTCCTTTAAAGCTTTTTGTGAAACCGGATTTGTTGCCGTCTAATACGTCAACAACAACGATAAATGATAAATCACCAATTTCACTCCATAATATAACATTTCATAAACTTCAATCACGAGAGATCCAAAGTCTTATTTCCATTGTTTCTCCACAAATAAGACAAGTCCTTTATTTTGATCCACTTCCGACGAAACTAACCGAGTTTCGAATAGAAAAATTAAGGGTTGAGGTGCCAATGGAGGTAGTTTTTCAAGTGAGATTCAAAATGGGATTGATTGAATATGATGATGCTAGAAAATACCTAAGTGAAAACGGAATGGACCTAGTTTTGAAAAAGCGAGACTTTAAATTCAAAGAGAAGAAAACAGAAGTTGAAGTGTTGATTGAAAGTGAAAGTAGCAATGATGGTGATGGTGATGATACTATTGAGTTTACTTTAAATGAAAACGGTGAGGCCAAATCGAGAATTGATAAGAGACCGAAAAGGACAAAGGCAACAGCAAAGAAAGACAATGAAAAGGATAAGAAAATAAAAGAGAGATACTCATTCAGTGGACGACGAATCGTTGGGGATATTGCAACTTGTATTAGAGTATTTGTACAAGAATAGTAATAAAAGTTATTTGCTACAACAAACTCTGTCAGGCGCGTCCGGTGCTGCTCCACTATCGAGCGAAGCGAGATAGTGTCAATTATATTCTCCATCAACTTCGCTCGATAGTGTCAACAATATTCTCCATCAACTTCGCTCGATAGTGTCAACAATATTCTCCATCAACTTCGCTCGATAGTGTCAACAATATTCTCCATCAACTTCGCTCGATAGTGTCAACTATATTCTCCATCAACTTCGCTCAATAGTGTCAACTATATTCTCTATCAACTTTGCCTGTTTATTCAAAAACAAAAATAAGAAAAATTATCTAAAAAAAGAATTGAAATTGAAACATGTATCAAACCAAGTTTTAATTTCCCAAATTAAAAGAAAAAAAACACCACCAAATCAAACAACCAAACTATCCCCAATCATAACAGATGTTCCAACCTCATATCATCTGGGTGTGAAAAAAAAAATTGGCTTCCATTGAAAAACTCGACACTAAATGAAAATCTCTAATCCAAGTGGAAACAATCTACAACAAATCCTTCCAAGATGAGTCGTCGCAGCAATAAATGAAAGCGCGCCAGTAAACATCAATTTCAGATTGTCAATAATTATTCCAAATTGGCTGCGATTCCATCAAGCAGTACACGTTTTCAAAACAAAAGTCCTTTTTTTATCCCTCAAAATCAACAAAGCCAAACACATATCTTCAAACCACACATCAACTCCGTTTTGTATCATTAATAAACACCAAATAATCCAAATCGAATAGATTAAAAAAAAAAAGCTTGCTCGTTTTTTTTCTTTTTTTTCTTTTTTACTTTTTTTGGATTTTTTGTAAATTTTTCAGTTCATTTTTTTTTTTAAATTATTTTTGTCAACATAAAAACAATAATGAAACCAAATAATGTATTAATTGTTGGATAAGGGGAGGGGGGGGGAATAGATTAAATCTCCACCAGTGTGATTAAAAGAACATAAAAACAATCAAAATTAAACCAATCCTATTAAAAAACAAACCTCTTGTCATTTCCTTTTTCTTAATTTCTTTGTGATTTAAAAACACAAATACTCTTCTAGTAAATCAAACTCTTGTCGATGTTGTTGTTGGTTCTGTTGGTTCTGTTGTTGTTGTTGTTGTTGTTGTTGTTGTTGTTCAATTGAGCCGTCAAAAAAGTCAAATGAATCTAACAATTCTTGAAATGGTGCTGCAGACCATCAAACTGGAAATATGCAACTCTCTTTATATTGTATCGTGGAAAAAAGAAATTATATTTGTAAACTCAATCACTTGGTGCTGTTTTCCCCCTTAGTAAGTGACAGCTACTTCAATGCTATAAATCATGATATAATCAAAACGAGTACTATTCCCCCCATACAAGGTCCAATATTCTCCATGTACAAGAATACTTTTTTCCACGTATATTAATTTCAAGATAGTCAACCACCTGGTTACAGACTTCTCCAAATTAATATACTAGTTCTTGATACAAAAAAAAAATAATAGACCCTGTACAAAAAAAATAAAACGGTGCAAAAGTACATGATCAATATCCGACAAGCAGAGAGCTATCACTTGGGTTCAAACAGCAATAGCCAATTTGACCAATTCGTTACAATTTAAATTTCCCACTGTAGATTGTTGCAATTGTTTTCCTAGTTCAACTGACAAAATCACTGCTGAATTTTGCCCCGTTTCATATAATGAAAAGTTAGACTCACTTGAGCTTAGAGACGACGACGACGATGCTAGTGGTGGTAGTGGTGATGATGATGATGATGGTGATGATGGTGTAGTAGTGGCTAGTCCTGAATCTTCTGTTATTGATAATGGTGAATCAATTTGAGTCATAGTTGCCAGTACCGTATTTTTATTAGTTTCCATGTCAAATACCTCGCTTGAATTTGGATTGAGGTTACCAGTTAATGTCAAATCAATTGGTGAATTAACTGGGGAATGTATTGAGACAGGTGATAAGTAGTTGAAAAATGTATTATCAGCTTCTGGTTTTAAATGGGATTCAGTATCCTCGGCTTTGATATGTACAGGTGTAGAATCGACAAATGGTGTCATTGTCATTGTCGTGGTGGTAGTTGTAGTTATAGTATTAGGGGACGTGGCGGTTAGTGGTGTTGGAGTCGATACAACTTGTGTCACTTTTGTATCCTTCTTCTTCGATAATTTCCTCTTCTTTACAGGTGGTTTCAAATCTATACTTTTCCCCACCTGTAATGATTCTCTATTTATCTCCGAATCTTCATCCATATCCTCCTCTTCATACTCCTCTTCGTCTGCCTCAATCAAACTGTCTTTTTTACAACTTCTTCTACCGCCATTCATATTCAAATGTATTTGACTCTTTAATTCAGCCAAATCTTCCAATCCCAAGTCAAAAACATTTTTTTCTGTCACTGACTCCAACTCCCCATTTTGTTTATTCAACTTTTCCACAACAGATTGATACCCATCCTGTAATTTCTTCAAATTCTCCTCCAACTTAACAACGTAAATTTCCAAATACTCAACATGTTTCCTCTTCTTCTCCCTAGACGCATGAGCTGCTCTTCTATTCCTCAATATTCTTTCAATTTTTCGCTGCTCCTTCTCTTCTTGCGTCTTGGCTCTCTTCCTAGGAGGTAAGCTGCTTTTAAATGAGCCAGCATCTATATCTGTCGTCGTAATATTACTGCCAACGCTAGTAACAGTTTGATCAACAACAACAGCTGCAGCATCTTCTACGTCCACCATGGTGTTATTACTCTGCCTACTATATAAAAGAAAAGTTTTGCAACACAATTCCTTTTCCCACTTTACGATTTGCTGTCCTTTTTATACTTTTTTTTTCGCTTGTCTCGCCTAGTTTATTAACTGAGCCCCATCCTCCATACTTAAGGAAAATATTTAATTATTTCGTAACCCACGCACACACCTTACACCATACACGTACCACACACACTACCGTAACCCCCCTCCTTTTCACCCCCTTTAGAGGTCGTGGAAAGTTTACAATTTATATCGTCCGTTGCCACCTGATACTAATTTTTAGTCGCGTTGTAGATATACTATCTGCAGTACTAGTAATAATATATTTTTATTTTCATTTTTATTTTTTTTTTTTTTTTTTTTTTTTGTTACGATGGAAGATGGACCACTGCAAGGCGTTTATTGGCTGAGTAGGTTTGGTTTTATTGGAGAATTGTTGTACAAGCGCATTTTGAGTTTGTGGATTCGACTGGATCCAATTAGCGGAGAAAGTGTAATTTCCTTTCTTTGCCCCAGGAGGAGTTACAAAGAGTTGATAAACTTTTGCCACAAATGTCATTGTTGTAATTTTTGCCACAAATGTCATTATCGTAATTTTTTTTGTTATAGTAGTTATGGTAGTTATGTGGCTTTACGTTATAGGTAATAATGTTTAGACAGGAAATGCATTGACACTAGACATCGACATAGACACTATCGAGCAGAGCGAGATAGTGGAGCACACTAACCGCCACCACTAACCGCCACTACTAACTATAGTGTTGTAACAAGTTACAAAGTGTTGCTCGATAGAGAATAGAGTCGACACCAAATGCAATAGAGAATAGAGTCAAAACCCGGTTCCTGTAAGTGTCAAGAGCTGGTGTGAATGTAGTGTGAATCTTTCTCTGCTCGGTGTATTATGTATCAACACCGCCTTCATTAAAGGAGACTTATCGAAACAGACTATCAAAATCTCTTGCGCTACCTGAATATTTTGGAAAATAAAAATCACAAAGGCAACCCAAGTCAAAAGTCAACAAAGGTTGTGTATATATCAGTTGGCAACAAGTCAACAAGTTATGTATATATCAGTTGGCAACAAGTCAACAAGTTATGTATATATCAGTTGGCAACAAGTCAACAAGTTATGTATATATCAGTTGACACCTCGTATGTGTCAACTGACAATATCTTCTTTTCTTACTCGCAACAGGTTAAAGAAACATGTGAAACAAATGAATCTATAACAAACAAACAAGCCAATACGTCTTCAAACTGGGTAATTGTGAATTGTTCAATTCTCAAATCATAAAGGAGTGAAAACAATTTTATCTTGTAAACTTGAAAAGAAATTACGGGCTGTGAAAACAATCTTTTCTGTGAAACGCGCTTCTATCAAAGATTGCTTTTATTAGAGCTGTAAGAGACACACGTTTGGTGATTGAATCTGTTTACTCGGGCACTTTCTTTTTGGTGTGTGCGCCTTAACTCTATTGATTTCCATCCAGAACGTGCATCTTTACATAGGCAATAAACACGTCGCGTATGGTGTGTGCGCCTTAACTCTATTGATTTCCATCCAGAACGTGCATCTTTACATAGGCAATAAACACGTCGCGTATGGTGTGTGCGCCTTAACTCTATTGATTTCCATCCAGAACGTGCATCTTTACATAGGCAATAAACACGTCGCGTATGGTGTGTGCGCCTTAACTCTATTGATTTCCATCCAGAACGTGCATCTTTACATAGGCAATAAACACGTCGCGTATGGTGTGTAGTACTGCAAGGTGGATAACTGGTCCATTGTGGTGTAGTTACAATTGAAAAAAGAAAAGAATTGTAGCTAATTTCTACCATCTATTGTAATTCAATATCTTGGAACAATGTCAAGAAACAATCCCACTTTCTTTACAATAGAATACCAAATTAAAACATAATAGTGTAAATGTGACAAACAAAGAAAATCTAGTACTTTCCATATATAAGCTATTGCTAACAAAGAGAATCTCTTGATCATTCCCATAGACTATATCAGTGCAACTTATTATGAAACCAGACTAAACTTTTTCTAAACGGAGAATGTTTCAACTCCCTATCGAGGAGCAAGATAGTGAGTTTTAGAGTCTATTAGGTGACTACTCGCTATCTCGTTTCTCGATAGTGAGTTTTAGAGTCTGGAGGCTGGTTGACTCCAATTTTTACCATTTTTCTCTGCCCTATACTTTTTAGGCTCTGCTAAGAGTAACTAGATACTCATTCCATATCAATACAATTCTCTCTCTAATAGATCCCCCGATACTTGCATAATGTGTCCACTGGGGTAAATGCTTTTCATCTTGAGTTTATCAAACGTGTCATACCCACTTTATCTTGATGCCATTCCCACTTTATCTTGATGCCATTCCCACTTTATCTAGATGCCATTCCCACTTTATCTTGATGCAATTCCCACTTTATCTCGATGCCATTCCCACTTTATCTTGATGCCATTCCCACTTGCAAAGTTTATGCGCTTATAGAGAATTGAATCTGAGCTGCGCGCATAATTTTTCCTTTTTAAGCAAAAAGAAGCGAAGAATGAAAAGTGAAAAATTTAAGGCATTACTTCTAGAAGAGGCATTCACATTAGCTTAGTAGCTTGTTACGACACTATCTCGCTTTGCTCGATAGTGTATAGGGCTCTATGAAATCGGTACTATCCATACAATCTCACGTTGTACATGGCTATGCTGGTGGGAAAGCCGCGATTTTTCCATTACAATCACAAGGATGGGAAGTAGATAACATCAACACCGTGCATTTTTCAAACCATACGGGGTACGGTCATTTCACAGGAACAACATTGTCGGAAAAAGAACTCAACTCGATTTTCGACCAGCTAGTAAACAAATTACGTCTAAGCTATACAGCAGTTCTTACTGGATATATACCAAATGCCAAATTGATTGATTGCATAAGTCGGTATATACAAGAAATGAAAAAGAATAACCCAAAGTTAATATACTTGTTTGATCCCGTAATGGGCGATGACGGATTTATCTACGTTGACAAATCTTGCGTGCTAGAGTATAGGAATTTGATAAGTTTAGGAATTGTTGATTTGATCACTCCGAATCAATTTGAATTGCAATTATTGACAAATGAAGAGATAAATGATCGAGGGAGTTTATACAGGGCTATTGACAAGTTACATAGTGGGTGTCATATACCGTATGTTGTTGTGACCTCGGTAGATGGTGGTGTTTTGGGCAACAAGGAAAATGATGAGAAGTATATTTACTGCATTATATCAGCAAAACAACAAACAGCGATTTTCAAGATTGTCAAAATCGAATCGTACTTCACTGGAGTAGGAGATTTATTTTCCGCATTACTCTTGGATAAATTCGTTGGCAATGGAGAAATAGCCAATGAGTTTGAACGATTGAGTCGGTCCGTAAATCAAGTATTGACAATCGTGGCAAAGACCTTAAAGTTGACACACGAGTTGGGGAAACAACAGGCGCAAGCAGTTTGTGAAGACAAAAAGCTAAATGGATGTAACAAACAACTGGAAATTGTGAGTAAAATGAACGATGCAGAGACTATGAAATTTTTTGAGTTAAAGATCATCCAAGCTAGGGACTTTTATAGTTACGATGGTATGGGAGAATTTTGCGTATTTGACCAGTTGAAATAAAATATATTAATATTATAGATTAATGAAATAGAGATTTTAGACATGAAAATTTGGTGGATAGGGCCAACCTTGTTTATTCTCTGTTGTTCAATAAAGCGTCCAAGGTTTTACATATTTCAACTCGTTTTAAGGTATTTTTTCTTTTTTGTAAAACCTTTTTACTTTGGTCGTCGTGATTCATTACGTTTCTCTACTTGATGCAATTTTTCTCCATGTAGATTCTCATTTCCCCCCTTCCCCAGATTTTTCCCCATGTCTTCTTGTTTAATTGGAAAACTTGGTGTATCCAGCACTATTTCTACAATCTGTCTTTCCCTTTCATATACTAGCTTTCTCTTAACTCTCTTATTTGGCAACTTACCATCATCACAAAAACTCCGTGGCCGACGCCGTTTCTCCTTTTCCTTTTCCATTTTTTTCAAAAAAGAAATCTCTTTACCAATTACACTCACATTTTCTTCAATAGTAATGATGTAATTTGCATTTGGCAAAATAAACTCATTATCTAGTTCCAATACTTTATGAAGTATGACTTCTTGACTTTGCTTGTGAAAAAAGTCCGTTTCAACCAAGTTCCAGTTTATATCGTAAATCTCTAACTTGTTATTAAACTCGTAATAACGAAGTCGACCATCTTGCCATTTCTTATGCTTCTGAGTTACTCTAGCAGAATAGAGAATCTTATATTCATGCACAATCGATATGATGGACATTTTTTAAAACAGCTTTCATCAAAGCTGCTATAGTGACCAACAGAAGAACAAAATCATATCAATGTTTACAAAAAGAGTATGCTTGATACAGCAGAGAGTAAATCACAAACTATAAAGTGACAAGTAGTAACGTGTGTTATTTGGAACGTTTCAGTTGTTTTAGAAAAAAACCAAGATAGAAAAGGGCTTCTAACTATCTGAAACCAAACCCTTGAAAAAGGCAAAAATTAAAAAAAAAAAAAGAAAAAAAGCAGTATGAGGTAAAGGTGATGAAACAGTATGAGGTATACGTGATGAATTGCAGATACAGTCTACATAACGTATTAAAGCCTAGTAGTCAAACTAGTGGTAGAATAGAAGTTTGAAAATTAAAACAAAAGAAAAAAATTAGTAGTGTATTTGTTTGGTGACGCGAGAAATGAATTTGAATAAGGATATTGCCAAACTATGGCTAAATGGAGTTGTTGTTCCTATGAAATGTCTCGATTTCATATGTCTTTCAGTCTTGATTTCATATGTCTTTCAGTCTTGATTTCATATGTCTTTCAGTCTTGATTTCATATGTCTTTCAGTCTTGATTTCATATGTCTTTCAGTCTTGATTTCATATGTCTTTCAGTCTTGATTTCATATGTCTTTCAGTCTTGATTCATATGTCTTTCTGTCTTGATTCATATGTCTTTCTGTCTTGATGTTCTCTCTTTTCTGTTTCTTTTCTTCAAAGTCTCTTGTGAGGTCCATACATGTTATCTTGTAATCTTTGATATGCTCCTGTATCTTCGATTCTTCTAAATAGTTTGGCCAAAGGCGGAGACCAATATCCATCAGTTAATATATATTCCAAAGCGTCGCTCAAAATGTTTTTTTGCTTAGCATCTTCATAAGTGGACTCCAAGTCAAGACCATCTAATGCACCATTTTTGTATAATGTACTGGCTATTGTGTTTGTCAAATTTGAAAGATTTGGAAGCTTCAAAATGTCAAGAACTAAAGGACCTACAATACCCGATTGATTTAATGCAACTATTATATCGTTGGCATTAGACTGAACTATATTTGATTGCAATATTGTGTTGATTGCGTTATTAAGGAACTTATCAAATGATCCCGCATATTCGTTATCGTCACCGTCATCTCTTGCATAATTCGTCTGGCTCCCTTCTCTACCACCATTAACATCAATCACAATGTCATAATTTTGACCTTTTGGTGTAACTGGTAATCCTTGTTCAACATTGATTTCAGACATATTGTCTTCATTTGTATTGGCTTTTGAAGTGGTATTAACTATCAAATCTGCAATCCAGTCCACAGTTAAATCGTGCCCGTCACCCAAACCTAATAATAGCCAGCCTACCCAGACATTCTTTGGAGCACCCAATACCTCACCAAGAAAGTTGCCCAAAAATTGATTACTTGCGTCGTTTACTAACAAGTATTGTGCTGTTGACTGGATTATCCCGGAAGACATCACCGAATTCAAAATTTGGGTCATATTCAAGTTGATGCTCAATCCTTCAGTTGATGTTTCATTTCCACCATCACCTGATAAAAAAAACTCGAGATAAGTCACCAAGTTTTGTGTTTGCTCTGGACTTGAAGATATCTCGTTAATAATTTCTGGCAAGAGTCCTGAAGCACCTAATGTTTGGAAAAAGGTTGTATACTGGGAAACAACTGCGTCATTTGTTGAATTATCATCTCTTTTTTCAAACATTTGAATACTCTCAAAACCGTCCAACGTATCCAAGTCACTAATTTCTTTCAAAATGTAGTCGTATTCGTCAAAGTTTATACATCTGACAACTTGCGAACAAAGTAGTAAAGTCGTAGGTATTATTGTTGCTAACATTGGTACTCTCATAGTAAACTATAAAATTGTATGGAAAAGCCGTGCAGGGTTTCAAGGCAAAAAGAAAAAAAAAGAAAATTAGGGATGTCTTCAAAAGAAAGTTGACCAAAGGTTGAAGTATGATCTTGATGAAGTGAAAATGGTGAATCTAAAATAATACCAAAACTACCTGAACAGTTTCGAAAAGAAAGGAAAGCAGAATGAGGTCTTGATGATTTTCAAAATTTATTAAAAATTCCAGACGATATTAAATTACCCCGTTGATGCAAAAAGAAAAGAAAGAAAAATTGCAAAAAAAAATTGCCCCAGACAATATTTTTTTTCTTTTTCACCTCTCTAAACAGAATAAGTTTCTCGAAACAGGAATAATATATATATATATATATATATATACATATAGGTGAGCTTAAAGTATAACTAAAAGCGTCAACTCAAGAGCTTAGTGTACTATAATGACGGATAAATAGGATGAACAAGGGGGGTAACTATTACACCCATACTCCTCTTGGCAATGGTGGTATCTAGCTTTTAACAGGTGGGAGTAATTTTGGTAGCATTTGGGATGGACCCCCTTTGTTTACCGAATATTTGTGTTTTTTTTTTTTTGCCAAAAAAGAAAAAAAATATCATTTTCCATTTTAGGAAATAATTACAAAATGCTGCAAACAGATGCGCCGACAAAAACCCCTGAAACAGGGATAATTCAAAAGGAAGGCAAAAAATCATTAAGTTGTGTATTTGGTCATGACCTGCTTTCGCTGAGAGTATACTTTATTACTTGGTGGTACAGCTCAATGGACAAAAGCACATAGCTTTCCTTACTCTTCGGCGACCCCACCTTCTCCCTCCCCCCCCTCCCTTCCGGTTGTACTCTTCGACCCCACCCCCGGTTTTATTTTCCGAATCTCAAAACAGTAATGTCATTTTTTTTGACACTTTGCATATCCTGTATATTATAAGTTTCCTTTTTGGGAAACCATATGAACGTTTTTCTATTCTTTTTGCAATCAAATCAGAATTTTAATAACCAAAGATGGTTAAGAAAATGTATACCCATAAAAGTAAAGAGGGAGGCCATTATCAGGTACTTTTTCATATTGATTCAACAATAAGGTATTTAGGTGCTATGTTGCTGTTTCAGATAGTTTTTTTTGAGTTTTAAGCTCTGATAATGACAATTGATAGCTTATTTCTTATTTCTTATTTAATCAATCTTTTTCATGCATTAGTATACTTTCTCTTTCTTATAACTTCTTCAAAATAAGTTATTTATTTTTATACATTGTTATCACCCACTTTCTTCTTCTTCTTCTTCTTCTTCTTGTTCTTCCTCTTCCTCTTCTCGATACCATTCTTCATTCGCTGACTAGCAGGTTGGCTATTACCTTGGATATTTCAACCAAAAGGCATCCATATTCATTAGTTTTACCGTAGGGCATTCATATATCATCAAGAGATTATATACACTACATATGCATTTCATACATATAATAACGACACTCGTGTGTCTACTTTGCTCACTAGCATACTCGAAAACATTGCCAACACCATATGGAGAGTTGTACCATCTAAAAGACGAAATTGACCACTTTGTAGAAACTCACTTTGACGACCATGAAGTTGGATTATACTACGACATGCTTGAATTATTCAGTGAAGATGGAGAAGTTTTTAGTTTTGAAAAGAGAGAAGAAAATGACGATGATGGTCAATATTATGATGTTATCGTTTCAGTTTTAAACAGTCTTAACTCTTCGGGGATCATTTGGACGTTATTAGACGCTGTGGCTGATCATCCAGATAGAGTAAACTATATTGCCAACTTGACCTCGAGCTTATTGAAGGGGAGAAATATCACCATTAATGTCGCTGATATAATCCTTAGTGGAAGCAACCCCATAATTCAACAAAATGTTAATTTATCTGCCATTTCAGCTGCAATTCAAGAGAGCGGCTTGGTTACTTCGCTTATGGATGGGATTTTGTTGGATGAAAATTTTAGACCAAAGTTGGTAGATTTGATTTACAATGTTGTATTATCACAAAAGAATGTACTATTGTATATTTTTGCCGGTGTTTTACAAAAGAGGGATTCAATGCTATATGATGATTTGATAACTGAAATACTCAAAAGAGCTGATGATGCTGCTTCTAATGACGAGTTTGCTGGAACTATGCAATCGTTTTTGACCAATGGTTTGGCTACTATATTGGGATCTCAAGCATTTGGACAGTTTACGGGAAGTTTGTTAAATGCATTGAATGATACTGGATTTGCCGTATATTTTATCAAGCGGTTTATTTCAACTGATTCTTATATGAATATGACGAGCAAATTGATATCTGCAGTGACAAGTTCTGGCGCAATTCACATTTCATTCTCAGGCTTGAATATATCGGAATTGGTTACATCCGCAATTGAAGACCCGACTATTATCACTAAGCTTATCGGATCTTTATTAGGTGGTGATCCGAATTCGTTAATTGGATTCTTTGGTAAATATTCAGGAGCCATTCAACAAATTTTGCGAGATTTAGAAAAAAAGGGACTATTTGCTGAGTTGAATAGCTATATCTTTGGCGATGAAAGCGCAACTACATCTATCACCCTAGCACCTGGTGCCACTTCAAATGCCAATAGAGTTATCGCATCTACAACACTAGCGCAAAGTACTAGATCATCTTCAACTTCGGCTAAAAGTACCGGAACAACTTCAAAAGACCAGCAAAATGATGCGTCAAGTTTGCTTTCAAGTATGACAATATTGAGAAGTATATTCTACACTCAAATCGTCGTGGTTATAGCGTTTTTTATTTGAAGCAAAAGAAGTAAGCATTATTAAACCATTATTAACAATAGCACACATCAAACCCAGAGTTTCATTCATTAACAAATAGCCTTACATTATTTAGCCATGAGTTAACTTCTCTTCCTAACTTGAATAACCTTTTTTAGGAACCATATACATATATACATATACATACATATGGATGTATATGTATATAAGTATTATTTAACTTTCTACGTCGTTATATTTTCACTTTTTAATACCAAATAAGTATTTAATTCAAGGTAACTTTTTAAACTATTACTTTACATATACCGAAAAAAAATAAAAAAAGGAAAAAAATCCAAAGACAACTAAAACACTTCCACAATTAACCCTTTTTCCATCTCTCTCTCTCTCTCTTTAGTTCCATATCCCCGATCCGTAGCCATTACCAGTTGCAGAACCACCATTATTCAATTCATTTATGGTGCTCAATAATGCGGTATCGTTAAACAATCCTGGCGGCGATGTTCTACTCAATGCTAATGCTGGAGAAGAAGTACTGGATTGACCAAACGATCCTTGTGACAGAAAGCCCGTGCCTTGTGGTTGAGTTGACTGTTGAAACTGAGGCTGCTGCGGCTGTTGCGGTTGTTGCTGGAGTTGTTGCTGCTGTTGTTGGAGTTGTTGGAGTTGTTGCTGCTGCTGCTGTTGCTGTTGTGGAGAAAATCCAATCATTGTAGAACTTGCGGACATTGGTAATTGTTCGGCGGTTGAATTACTTCTTACAATAAACCCATTACCATTCCCGCATTGACCAACTTTCAAATGTGTCACTGAGCCAAACTCATCATAAATAAATTCAAACTGATATAATGAATTTGAATGACAACAGTTGAGAAATTGGTTAATTGTAAACTGGGGATTACCAATTATTCTCTTGACATTTTGATAAATAATCGATAACGGTGCTACATTGAATTCCAATTGCTGTGAATTTTGCATGATTTGAAAACAATTGTAAATTGTAGATTGAATCATATCCATCTCACCTTGCCCGCCGGAATTAACAAAGTTGTTGTTGTTGTTGTTGTTGTTGTTATTGTTATTGGTATTGGTATTGTTATTGTTGTTGTTGTTGTTGTTGTTATTGTTATTGTTGTTGTTGTTGTTGCTGTTGTTAACGCTGAGATTGGTGTTACTTGAATTCCCCCAAAGACTACTTGCTTTTGTTGTATTGGAGTTCAAAAATGGACTGGAACTCTTCATTCCGGATGTACTTTCCCAAACTGAGTTGTTCCTACTTATACCTGAGGGTGTAGTTGTACCGGGGGTTGAACTATTCCAAATATTGCAACTAGTGTTTATTGGAGCTGCTGTTGCTGCTACTGCTGTGGCAAATGAATCATTGACAGTAGGTTCAGCAAATGTATTGAACGGACTGAAATAATTTTGCTGTTGAAATCCAGGTTGCTGTTGAGGAGCAACGCCAGTGGTTGGAGCTATTGACGATGATGAAGCTTGTGGCATAACTGCTGATTTGCACAAAAAGGAGGATTGATGATTTGCAGACATTTGTGTTGTGTTCATATTAGCTGACTTGCCAACCCATGGTAAAGCATGCGTGCTACCGTTATTATTCAAGCCTATATTGGTAGCAAGAGATGCACTCATTGTTGTGTTACTTCCATTTAGTAAAGTGATTGGAGGTATTTGAGGAGAAGCCGTTGCTTTTTGTTGGAGAGTTGCCGGTATCGACGACAAAGGATCTATTGAGTAGGGATGAGATTGAACTGGCTGTATTGTAGGTATATGTGCACTCATAGAGAGTCCAACTGAAGACGAGGTGCTAGATATTGAGCCTGGTCCTGTTGTGTGATAGATATGGTTCAACGAGTTGATACTACCATTAGAATCATTCGAAAATTTGGATTTCTCTTCCTCAATTTGTCTTGCAAGTTCTTGTTCTTCATCATAGTCCATCATTGCTTTAACTTGACTACGCCTTGCTTGACTAAAGTCTCTTGTATTTGCACCTTGAGTTAATAGTTGTTGTTGTTGCTGCTGCTGCTGTTGTTGTTGTTGCTGCTGTTGCTGTTGTTGTTGCTGTTGTTGTTGCTGCTGCTGTTGTTGCTGCTGCTGTTGCTGCTGTTGTTCTTCACGAGCAATCCTAAGCTTTTCTTTCTCATCTTCTTTTTGTTTTTTCAACAATTCTCTTAGTTTCTTCTCCTCTTCTTTTTTTCGTTTCTTTTCTTCCATCTCTTTGCGGCGCTCTTCTTTGATCCTTCTTTGCTCTTCATCGTGTCTAATCTGTTCTTCAACTTTTCTCTTGTGCTCAGCTTCTCTTCTCTTTGCCTCTTCCAATTTCTTTTTCTTTTCCTCCTCTCGCTTCAATCTAGCCTCTTCTTTCTTTTTTCTTTGTTCGGCTCTTATTTGCTCCTGTTTGGCATTCAATTCATCGGCTATCCTTCGTGCCTCTTCCTCTTTCTTTTTTTTCTCTTCTTCTTTGGCCAATTGTTGTAATCTTTTCTTTTCCTTTGCTTTCTCCTTTTGTTTCAACTTCTTGGCTTCTTTTTCCCTTTTTGCCGCTTCTTCTGCTTCCAATTCTTCAAATAATTTTCTAGTATTATCCTTGGACACTTTTTCTTTATACGCACTCTTTAATCTTTCTTGAAATAGTTTGATTACCTGAATTAAAAACAAACGACGAATCTCCTGCATTTTCTCTTCTTCAGATATTTCGGACTCAGTATCACTTGCATCTTTTTCGTCGAAATCTTCTTCCTCATCAAAATCTTCCTCATTCTCATCTTCCTCATCGTCCTCGTCGTCATACTCGTAATCTTCATCCTCATCATCGTCTACCTCTTCTTCTTCATCCTCTTCTACTTCATGAGCATCCACTTCCTCCTCATTTTCTTCCTCTTCTTCTTCTTCTTCCTCTTCTTCTTCTTCATCATCTTCGTAATCTTCATTCTCCTCGTGATGATGATGGTGATGATGGCAATAATAAGGTTCCTCTTCGTCATCCTCATCAACCCAATGTGACTGTGACTGTTGCTGTTGTTGCTGCTGTTGTTGTTGTTGTTGACTAGGTAGATTCTTTACTGAGCCACTGAATTTAAATTTCTCCTTTAAAAATTCCTCACGAGCAGAACGTGACTCTGAAAGTGCTTCCATCATACTAATGAAAGAATTGCCATCATTCTTCAATAGATCCTCAGCAAACGTGGAAAGACCTTGATTGAATTGATCACTCAACTGAGCAGACATAATCTTCGGAGCAATCCCTGAACCAGTTGGATTCGAACTTGCCATTTTGGAAAATAGTTTGCCCATGTTCTGAACGTAAGACATGCCCTTCTCCAAATGATTTCTATCTACGTTATGTAAATCTCTCACAATTTCTCTCAAAGACCCTGCTTTTTCCAACATATTAATATGTGCTGCATTTTTTGGATCAAAATGAGATACTTCCTTCATTTTTTGCAAATCCAAACTCTCAAGAGCTTCAAATAGTTTAGGATCTAGCAACTTGTTGAAAAGTTGTGTTTCTGTTGAATTTGAGCTCAGAAATGTAGCACTGATTTGCACTGTAGGATGCTGCTTTGTTGAACCAGCAGTTTTCGTGTTACTAGTTCGAATTTGAACTTGTGGTACAGAATTTGGTTGTTCTTGTTCTTGTTCGTGTTCTTGCTGCTGCTGCTGTTGTTGTTGTTGTTGTTGTTCTTGTTCGTGTTCTTGCTGTTGTTGTTGTTGTTGTTGTTGTTGTTGCTGTTCTTGCTGCTGTTGCTGTTGTTGTAATTGTGTTATCGATGGCGGTGGCGGTGGTGGTGGATGAGACAGTTTAGTGATACTCAATGGTGCTCTCATTTGAGACGATGATTTTTGTTGTTGCACTTGTTGCCTCTGTCCCATCTTCAACTTATCCATTTGCGATCTTATTTCCTCAATATGCGCTTGACTTGTAGTATTGGCATTCTTTGCTAATTCCAAACTTTCATTATGTAGTTGTTTCCGTTTCTGTAATCTTCGCTCTTCTTCTAGCATATGAAATCCACCAAACAATAATCCTGGCAATGCATTCAAGTCATTTATATCTCGCACTTCGTGAATAAAATCAATAATATCGTCAAAATGGTTATCATAAATACTCTCCAATTCTTCTTCGATGATATTGTTCCTTCTGCCGCAATATTTACAAGCACAGTTATTGGAACTTGTCGAAGTATTTGGATTATTCACATTTCCACCACTTTGCAGCTGCAGTAGCTGTTGCAAATGTTGTCTTGTTTCGTTCTTGAACATCTTCATAATAGATTCTTTATCAATCTTGACCAAATCTAATTTCTGTGCTTCTTCCAAGGATTCCCAAAACTCTTTTAATTTCTCTTGCTCCTCAATAGAAGCGCTTTCCCATAAACTATTATGCACATCCTGGCTGCTCTTTCTCAATTTGGCATTAGACATATGCTGGCCAAACCCATGCTGTAATTGATGATGATGATGATGGCGGCGACCGTGATTATGATTATAATTATGATTTGAAGGGGAAACATTTCTGCGTGTTTGATGCAGGTGTCCGGCACAAACACTACTTTCATTCTCACTCAACTGGTCGTGATTGGAATCGTGGTTGGAATCGTGGTTGTGGCTGTGGTTGTGGTTGTAATTTTCTTCCTCTTCCTCAAACTCTTCCTCAAATTCGCCGTCGTCTAGGCTCTCCACCACAACATCGCCATTTGGAGCCTGCTTGATCACACGAGACGTTGGATAGTCCTCGTCTGGTCGATTTAAATAGGCTTGAGCTCCTCGAATCATTTTACTAGCCTTTTTACCTCTTCTCTTTTTCTTCTTCTTTGCTGCACTCGCACTCTGAGTTCCTGGATCACGTAAATTCAATTGCAGATGTAAGCGCTGACTAGCTTTTGCCTTTTCGAGAGTGTCACCAATAACAGCACCGGCACCTGCACCTGCACCACCTGCACCACCTGCACCACCTGCACTTGCACTTGCACTTGCACTTGCACTTGCACCATTTGCACCACCAGCATCACCAGCAGCTTCCATAACCATTTTGCCATTTGATACTTCAAAATGAATATTCTCCCCTAGAATAAACTTCTTTCGAGAGCCTTCACTATTGTCCTCCAGCTTAGTCATGGGGGGAGGGGGATAATTAATATCTATGAGACAACTTTCAAACCAGCTTAAGGGAGAACCACACGTACACGTACACGTACCTCTTTACAATGTTAAAGCCGCAGATACTTTGTTGGAAAGATATACCTACAATATAGAAAAGTAAAATGCGTTGGCTAGTAAGAATTTTTCTTCCTCTTACTTTAAACTTCTCCATTTTCTCTTTGAAATTCTTACGGAGGGAAAAACTTTTCGGGCGGGCGACACTATCGAGCGACACTATCGAGCGACACTGTCGAGCGACACTGTCGAGCGACACTATCGAGCGAAGCGAGATAATGGAGCGAGATAGTGGAGCGAGATAGTGGAGCAGTACTAACTCCCACCAACACTATCGACCTACACTCCACTATCTCGCTTCGCTCGATAGTCGAACAGTACTGACTCCTATCAACACTATCGACCTACACTCCACTATCTCGCTTCGCTCGATAGTCGAACAGTACTGACTCCTATCAACACTATCGACCTACACTCCACTATCTCGCTTCGCTCGATAGTCGAACAGTACTGACTTTTGGGGCGACACTATCGACCGACACCATCTCGCTTTGCTCGATAGTGGGGCAGTACTGACTCCTATCAACACTATCGACCTACACTCTACTATCGAGCGAAGCGAGATAGTGGAGCAGTACTGACTTGTACCAACACTATCGACCTACACTCCACTATCGAGCGAAGCGAGATAGTCGAACAGTACTGACTCCTATCAACACTATCTCGCTTCGCTCGATAGTCCTACACTCCACCATCTCGCTTCACTCGATAGTGGGGCAAAACAGGCGTAGAGAGAAGAAAAATTAAACTAAAAATAAATAGAAAATAAGAAATAGTAAGAAATAAATAGTTGAGAGTAATAGTTTAAGACATAGGGAGTAATAGATTAATGGGATGTAGATTAATGGATAGATTAATGGGTAGATTAATGGATAGAATAATGGGTAAATAGTCAACATTTGTATCAAGATCGTTGATAGTACTAATAGGAGTTTTACAGTAACCGTTGATAGTAGAGTATTTAGCCGTATCTACTGTATTTAGTAGACCAATGCATGGCGCATCAAGACCAGCAGTGATAACCCCAGTGGTTGTAATACTAAAAAGTTTCTCGGTTGTTATTAATGTAACTGGTGCAATTAAATTACAATGAGAAAAGAAAAAAACTCCACTATTGACCAACTATCGAGCGAAGCGAGATAGTGGAGCACACTAACTGCTTGACACTATCGAGCGA